TCCTGTCTAACGAATAGGACTTTAGTCTGAAGACTCCGTTAGGGTTTCGAACCTCGTCCAATACAGGACGGGAGATCGATCGGTGAAGGTGTAAATATAATATCATACTTGTGAACAAGGTGTGTCAAATTTGGTATATAAAGCAATGTACTAGAAACTGGCATTCTTATTTGTATCAGATTTTATATGTTCCAAATCGGAATTAGCCGTAAGATTGCAAAATTTCTTCCATTTAAACATTTAAATTTGTAACACATCTTTTACATCGGGGCTTAATCATATTATCATGGTGCCGTTTATATATTACATGGCTGGCTGGGGAGGAGATTGTTTGTAATGAGGACCTTACATTGCTGGCAATGTATATTGGTTCACGTCGCCCTTTACGCGGCTCTCGGTTTTTATATCCTAGTGATTTTATCAAGATGGACTGGACTGCCACTGACCTGACATCATGCTCAGAATCAGTGACAGTGATGTTAGGGAGTTCCGTAACCGTAACCGAAACTATCGGATATCCGATATGAAGAAATATCCGTAACTGTAACCGAATCCGAAATAGGTAAATGTGTCGGATAATATCGGATAGGGGCGGAACCTAATTGAGACACGTTATCTAACCATTTGTATTTTACTTTTTAAATTCTATAAAAAAATTATATACGTAGCCGAAATTATCCGAAACTAACGGAGAATCCGAAATCATTTCATATCCGCATCCGTATCCGGTAATAATCATTCCTATATCCGAAAGATATCCTTATCCAATATTTCATATCCATAACATCGCTCACCTGCTCAGAATGAAATCATTCTCGACTTGGTGTCCCATCAGCCTATACTGTTAGTGCAGGTGCATCATTCCATTATCATGAATTAAAATGTAAAGAGGTTGACTAATTATAATTTCTTATTATTTATGTACACAATATAGATGATGTGTACAAAATAAATACACTTTGCAAGTACACCTTACTCATTGAGTTCACTCTTTAAACAGATTTGAAAACGATCCAAAGTCATCGTTTTTCTTAGAACACACTCATTTTGTGTTCTGCATTATCATCAGAACAATATTGACATCATATGCGAATGTTGTTTCCTTTGTACTAGTTACTGCACGCGGGTTTCATCGACGTTTTCGTGTAATCCTGTTTTTAAATGCATATATGCATGTTGATTGTGCTGACTATCTTACTTTACCTTTAATAAAATATACTTTAGTTGCGATGGTTGTTTAATTGCTAGTCTTTTGCTAACGATATACTATGTCAGGTAGACATACACGCGGTTCCCTCTGAAAGCCATCATAGCTAATTGCTAGTGAAGTTGCTACGAAGGAGTAATTGGCCTGAGTTAATCTTCATCCTGTCATTCTCCACTTTCCCCTTCAGCGTATACCGTTAATGCAGACCAATACTGATGGTTAAAAAAATATTAGTCTATTCCTTGTGCTAAAAAGTCGCTTTTTATGAAATACACTTTTGAATGCTTTTTATTCAAATATCGAAATAGAAATGCTGCACTATCTATAAATTTATTTAAGGATGTACTACCTATAAATTTATTTAAAGTTAACTATAGACATACCTAGTTACGGACAGTGACATTTTAATTGTGTGTACCCACTCCCAATGTCCCATTAAAGCGCATTTGGATCTATTAAACGCTAATTTGACTGTGTCATTGAACTTCTTCCGGGACGCATATCGTTGTACATTTTGATTACCAATTTTTATTAATCAAATGCATCCATGTATAACGCTGCATCTTTATTATCAGATGAATATAAATACACATTGTTATAAATCGTTATTGGATGTCTTGTTTCTCATTATTTATCTTAGAAAATACTAGCTGTCCTGGTAAACGTTGTTTTGCCTAAAATAAAATAAAAAATTTAGGGGTGGACTACCCCTAACATTTAGGGGGATTTCATGAGAATCGGTCAAGCCGTTTCGGAGGAGTATGGGAACGAAAACTGTGACACGAGAATTTTATTCATAAGATGTAACCTATTTTGGTTATTAATTATTTTTCCCCCTATATTATCAACTAGCGATCCGTCCCACCTTCACACGGATGCATTACTGATCTTCGAATTTTTCGACTTGTTCTGTACTATAACAGGCATATAAACCTTCCTCTTGAGTCACTCTATCTATTGCTGAAAACAGCAATAAAATCAGTTGCGTAATTTAAAATATATAAGCGTACAGACAGCGGCTGAGTTTATTTTATACTATGTAAAGTTTAAAAGTATGGGCTGTATTTTGCTTTCTAAAAAGTGAGTGCAATCTGTAAAAATTGCTGGTAAGTAGGAGGATGTCGCTAGTTATTAATAAAGAAATATATATGTAGTGTTAATTAATTTTTTTTTAATGCTAGTAAAATGACCATAATTAAATAAATAAATAATTATTATTTGGACAGAAGCAGAAGTTATTTTAGAATTCTTCAACGTCACTACTGCTTATTCCTACTTTAATTTTAATTTTTGGTGTCATATTTAATAATAGTTATGCTTTTATTGTTTTTGGCGATTTGACAACTTCATTTGCCTGCACAGTTTGTGTCTGGTCGTTGTGAAGTACACACGAAAAGACGGAAAATTATTTGGAAATAAATTTAAAATAATTTTCAACAAAATTTTGAGGGCCGTGCCATCGACTGTGTTGTTGTACAGTGTCATTTATTATAACAACTTAAATATTATTGCATTCTTTTGTGTATATTATATTTAAATATTTATTATAAACAACAAGGTATAATTACGATTTGTGCCGATCTGTTTAAACCATTGAGTGTAGATTATTTTATACATAATACTCTTTAAAACAAAATTTGAAATTTATTTACAGGGTCAGTCGTATGTTGTAAAGGATATTCAAAGCTTTCACCTAAAAAGTAGAAGTAGAGAAGAGAAAAAAAATCAATAAATTTAGAACTCTCCTTACTAAATTAATTACAAAACCGCTTATGCTCATAATATTATTTTATATGTCAGCTTAAAAAAATATACTTCGTTAATTTTTTGGCAAAGCAGTTTCAAACTCTCAACTTGACTTACACCCTTTACGATCGATCCTGTTAATTCATTATAGTTTGTTTAAAAATTTATGTATGCTTATTTAATTTATAAATTTTTAATTTCCGTTAAACTCCATTTATTATAATTCTGTAATTGTCCTGAATAGTTTCATAAACAAACATAAAATAATTTCTAAACAATATTATTTAAAAAACAGTGAACAGTGCGTTTTTGCGTAATAAAATGGATACTATAAAAGTAGTTGGGGAATTTGTCCGAGAAAAATCTCCGTTTTCGGTGAGTGAATTATTAATATAAGATAAATATACATACCGCACATTTCCACCCGTTCCCAAACTAAGCTGAGTTAGTATTGTAAATGTAAATAAATAATTAACATGCCATACGTTATTTTTTGTTATAAAACTAACAATGTCCGCTGTTTGTACTAAATAACTAATAGGAATACTTAAACCATGTTTTTTAAATAATTACATATGTAGATTGTTAAAAAAACCTAAACCCATTCTCGTGAATATACGTAGTGAACCTACCTACTAATGTTTGTATATGTACTGCTTAGCGATCATTCAATCAAGTCTGCATATGTAACTACTACTTCACATGGGATGATAAATCTTATTAATATTATATACGGAAAATTTTGTAAGTATGGATGGATGAATGGATGGACGTTTGTTACTCTTTCACGCAAAAACTACTGATTTTGATGAATCTTTACAGTAATATAGCTTATACATCAGAATGACACATAGGCTATAAATTTCATGCAAGTGAAACCGCTGGCACGGCAAGTAAAATTATGTTTTAATATTTATACCGTATAATAAAAAGGCCTATGTCCAGCAGTGGACGTCTTCCGGGCTGCGATGATGATGATGATGATGATGATGATGATAATAAAAAGAAATAAATTTACATATTCAACATTAGGTTCGACGTAAGTGACTAAAATATTAATACTAATACCACCCACATTCCGATAATATCTTCTCAAATTAGACGATAATTAGTTAGGGGTTTTCGATAAAGGCACGAGTATAAAAGTACAATACGAACAATAGCAATGAGTATTCACGTAACTAAACAAAATCGATTCAGTTTCACCGTAATCGATTCGCACTGCCATTATTTTGAAACCCTGCAGGGGTACCTAACAATATCATAATGGTAGTTACTAATGCCTACACAGACTTATACGTCGGTGCCAGTCTATTGTGACCGTAGAAAATTTATTCGCCGTTATGTGTGTAAGGACTCGTTGAATTTAAAATATATTAATGTCGTTCAAGTGAATGAACCATATATAGAAATGGCTACTTAATGGTCAGCCATGCTATTGTGTCTTTTTTAGTAGATGATAATGGTATACTTCATAGTATGCTCTAACGGTATACACTCACGAGGTAACTGTGGAAAGTGAAGAGGATGAAGTCATGTCAGTTTGTATATCATGGCGAATTTACTCGGGATTTATTACGATGGTTTCCAGAGGGAACCGCGTGAAAGTTAATATCGAGGTTTCGCGTCCTCTCTCTCTCTTCTGTTCACTCGTGATCATTAATACAAATTACTCTGTAAAACTATTAATTCCTGTATTGTTAGGCTGCTTGCGCTCCACAGTTATCACAAAATCATAGGGTTCAAAAATATATATTACGTACAGTTTTTTACATTATGATATTTATGCAATATTTACGCCGGAACCGGCAGGACTTATATGAAATATGTAATTTACTATATTAAGGGTACCTACCCATATTCTAATAAATAAATCACAGAACAAAACTACAAAAGAAGTAACTTACTTCTCTGTTCGTTGAAATAGATACACAAATATAGTATAAAAAAAAATCAAAATACATAAGTCATAGTGACTTGAGCAGCATCAGACAGCACCCATTCATGAGTGTGACGTTATTTATAAGGCATTGTTTTTTGTCAACAGCTGGACACATGGTTCGGGAGGCCGAAGAAAACAGGCGGCGGCGGCGTCGAACGCGGCTACGAAACGGTCCCTCGGGGGGCCGACCCGAAGGTCGAGGACGAGGCCGCCGCCGAGTATACCAGCAAAATCAAGGCGCTCGATGACAATCATTTATCCAAAAGATTTGAGGAGATGCTTGTAAGTCATAAGTATCTCTCAATCTATTCTAATATTACAGACCTGAAGAGTTTATTTGTTTATTTGGTTAATACAACATCTAAATCTGTGTCAAAAATTACTGGTTCCTTTTAAAGAAATTTTTAAGTGTTGGATAACTGATAAAATTAGGATCTTACTACGACGAATTGACGTGAACCATCAATGAGATATGTATTCAAATTGGGAAAAATGAAAATGTAAAATGAACATACAAAAATACTGGCTATTTTATATTCCACTCCTTTTTCAATTTGTTTGCCAACATCAGTTTAGTTTGAACCTTAAATAAAAACAGTTTTTAATGAAATAAATCTTTATAAATACTATAAATTTATTTATTCCTGTTCACAGAGCGACATGAACCTTAGTGAAGAAAAGAAAGCACCTCTCAGAAAATATTCAAGAGATCAGAAACAGAAGATGTTGATCGCATATAAGTTCGTTAATGCCCAGGTGTGTATTAACCATATGCCATAAAGTAAATTAGGATTTAGGGACTCTAGTACACGTGGCAGAGCTTTCTATAAAGCCAGTGTTGGACCGAATGTCTTTTGAATCAAGAATAACTGATAAAAAACTCTGCCCTTTGAGACTTTAAATAAAAATATGTATCTAAATATGCAAGAGTATGGTATATCGTACCATTCTACACCTCAGAAATTATGAAGATCGCTAAGAACACATTGAAATTACAGGGTAGGGTAGCATGACATTTTAGTCCTCCAGAATGGCATAGAATAAGTGTTATTATGGCTGTCACATGATGACGAGAATGAGGAGATGAGGATGATTATGTAATCCGTGATGCTGTATATAATTATATATATTGACAACCATAGCAAAAGAAAAGATAGATGTACATACTTTATGGGACATTACTTGTGTTATATCCACTAATATGAGTAAAAAATAACCTTTCTACTTTTAAATTTCAGGAAGGCAGGTCCAAATTCGAGAAACCCTCCGACTACTTAGCCTACCTCAGTCAGCCAGATATCTCAGTTGGGAAACTGCACAGTTGCCTGGAGAATCTTCGAATAGCGCTCACGAACAACCCGCTGTCCTGGATAGAAGAGTTCGGCACCAAAGGAATCACAACTCTGCTGACTACCCTTAACTTGTGTTATGTGCAGTATGTACCTGTGTTTAATTTATGTATTTTTTCATATTACTGAAATGACAATCAAATTGACAGCTCCGGTATATACGAGAAAATTTGAAAGTTGAGCCAGTTATAGACGAGTTGTGAGGTAACAGATTAATTTTTTTTTATTGCATAATAATGGAATGTGTCCGAGTGGAGGATGATACGATGAATATGGGGTCAGGTCAGTTAGCCCATAGTGAGAAATTCACCTGAAATTTATATTTTCTGTTTGTTACCTTTTCACGATTCAACAACTGAATGGTTCTTAATCAAGTTTAACGTGACGATTGTATTATTGTTTTACCTTTAAAAAAAGACAAAATAGCCAGTAAAAGCTAAGTTTAAGAAAATATAAATATGTTCACATTATTTGTTCGGAACTACTAGTCCCACTTGCACTTTACCTGTTTCTTTTTACATGCAATCAGTGGCAGTGGGTTTTATCGGTATGTATTGAATTAAAAGAGTTGTAATTAGTTAAGGGAATGATTTATAGAAAAATTTGATTCTCGGATAATGATAAAATTATGTTTTATATGGTTTAGTGTATGTTGGAGTTTCTCTCTGTACTTGTCTCATATTGGTATTTTGTTGTATATCTAGCGGAATATAGCTATCAGAATAGTCTTCTATATTATTGATATAGCTAGCTGACACCGCGAACTCGGTTCCGCCTCAAAATTAAATATGTTTTTGGAAGTTTAGTTACGCAATAAATTTCTAATTGTTTTGGATTTACTATTTTACACGCAATTTCTTCGTATCACCATATAAACCTTCCCTGGACTTCCACGAATATTTGAAGACTAAAATTAGCCAAATGGATTCTCGAGTTTTAGCAAGACTAATGAACAGCAATTTATTTTTATTTTAACACGAATAATTTTATAGCAAATAAAGGTACTTATAGGTTGCACTAGCCGTGGTCATGAGCTGACTGGAGCAAAAGTCTTCTATACTTTATAAACTAACCTGTTCTGTTCTCAGTGACTCCCGCTACGATCGAGTACAGTACGAGTGCATTCGTTGCATATCAGCCATCTTGAACAACACAGTCGGAATCCGGACTATGTTCGAATGCAGAGAATCTCTACCAGTGCTGGCTAGGAGTTTGGACGCAAAGAAACCCCATTGTGCCTTAGAGGCGGCTAAGGTATTTAATTATAAACGAGATTTCTTACAATATTAATGTTATACCTTCACATCTCAAATTCCAGATGGGATAGTCAGAAGAGCGAATTGTTGATGTCAGGCAACCTATATGTCAGAATTATTGAAATGTCACATATCACTAATTAATTTATTAATGGCGCCCTCGATGATCATTATCATTTAATATCAAATCGTAATTTGCATTCCAGGTTTTAGCCGCCATTTGTTTTATCCCCAATGGCCACGAGAAAGTCCTGGAAGCCATTACGATGGCCGGAGAATCAAATCAACGACCGAGGTTCCTGCCTATCGTGGAAGGTCTTCATCCTAAAGCGCCGGAGAGTTTAAAGGTATTATTTTAGTTTAATTAACTTACTTTTTAGTTCTTTTAGCCATAATTAACGGGCGTAAATAGACAATATTAAAAAAAATATTGTATAAAAATATTTTTAAGAAGGTACCTAGTATTTTATTATTTAATGTATATTAATAAGTAGTTTTTATATTTATTGCTGACAATTTTTTTTATGGATGATAATGGAATGAAGCGTCCGCCTGCACTAACGGTTTACGTTGGCGGGCAGTAGTGGAGGATAATAGGAAGAGCGTGAGGTCAGGTCAGTTAGAGTTGCGTAGAGGTCAACCTGAGATGGTACATTGCTAGCAATTACCACATTACTAATAATCACCTTCCCCCCTATTGCGGTCGTTTGATTATAACCATTAGATAGTATCTACAAATAAACGTACACACAGCACAAACTATCGGCCAACAAAAAGTCGTGAGCATCATTATAGTTTTGATTTTAATTTCTAATTGATAAGCTTAAAAGTACTTACGCTATTTAAAATACAGCCATTTATAAAAAACTACATCTATTATTTACTCAATTTCAATGCACACAATACAATACAAAAGGTAATATATTTGGCGGTCTTAACATACATGATACTGAGAATAATTATTCATTAGTGAGCATTACGTTCCCTGTTCTATATTAAAAAAAATATGTATAATACGGAATCAATAACAAATTTTTGATAATCGCTTTTTACAGAACGGCTGTATGCAATTGATAAATGCGATAATCATTGATCCAGAAGAATTAGAGTTCAGGATGCATCTACGCTGCGAGTTTATGAGGACTGGACTTGTTGATCTGATTGGTAAGTATTCTATTTAATTTTCCGGGGGTCGGGGGTTCGATTTCTCGTACGGTGTAAACACTTTTATTCATGAGTATGATTATTTGTATTACTTTGGGTGTTTTCTATGTATATTATATATCTATTTACAAAAAATATATCTAAGTATTTACATCAGTTGTCTAGAACCCATAACATAGCTATGCTCAGATTGGGACTAGATGGCGCTATGTGAATTGTCTTGGGTTATTATTATTATTTTGCCAAAAAAAAATAGCATTATTTACCGCATCCAATTACATCCAAATCATCCAGTAACCCATTGAAATATAAATTCAAAATTTCAACAAAATCACACCATCCATTTAGGAGGAGTTAGGTGACAAACGTACGGAACAATTGTATATATTGAGAAGATGTATGTGTATATCAAGACAACGACAATAGTCGTGAAAACAATGCTCGCAGAACAAATATTTGTATTAATTCGTATTCGTATCTAATACGAATTAACCCATGACCATCAGATAAGCAGTGTACTAAGCCACTGAGCTATCAAGGTATTCTAAAATAGTGATAATTTGTATTTATTATTACTACTAATTTCCAGATGATCTCCGAAAAGGCGCAGAGGGAGCTCGGCAGATACAGATATCCGCGTTTGACAGTCACGCCTCGTCCGACCAAGAAGAGTACTTGGCGAAGTTTGATGATGTTAGGTAACTGTACAATACAATACAATAAAATAATAAAAATTTAATTCAATTAAACATATTGCATATATTAGATACTAGCTGTACCTGCGACTTCGACCGTGCTTTATATTGACCTTGACTAAATAAAGAAAAATATTCAATAATCTAACCCAAAAAAGGCAAATTTCATAGCCTAATTGTAGTCTTACTAAAATATTAGTTTATTATTAGATCATTAAAAGTAACTCATAAAATATATTATTAATTATAAATACTAGCTGTCCCAGTAAATATTGTTTTGTCATATAATTATACTTTTTTCTTCGACTAGCAACACCAACGACAGTAGTCATTTTCAGCTGGCCGTAATAAATAAATAATTTTTAATAGTCTATCACACGAATATTATATTTTCAACATCGTTATTAGTGATATAATAGTGCAATAAGTGTCGATTATTGTTTGTGTACAATTTGGTAGTGTATTATTTGCAAAAATCGACATCAAAATAGTGTACCGGCTATCTGTCAAACTTCTTTCGTTGGTAAACAACTAATTTTAAAACTATTTTTATTACTATTTGTTGGACTTATTCAAAGAATTTCATAATATATACAAGTTTTATAGAAATATTCACATAAAAATTAAATTGATATTAATAATTGTGAAGTTCAGTTGTTGCATACGTCGAAGGAAAAAATATACCCACAAAATATATTGTAAGTAATTTTATGTTTTATATTAATATAATTTGAAGGAAAGGAGCACAATCTAATTCCATTTACTTAATCTTGTAAAATATAGGTTGTATAAATATATCTAACAGAAATTATTCAAAATTTTAACACATAAAATAAGTAAGGTTCAGTTGCTGTTCTCGTTGTGATACTTTGTTTCTTTTAGAAATAACTCACTTCACTCTCCCTAGTAACTATTCATATATTCAATAATGTCACTATCTACCCGTTCCACAACTGCACGGCAGACAGAGATGAAGCTTAAATTGGCCCTACAAGAACTTCAGGCATCCAAAGATCTCAGTGACAAGTTGATCTGGGAGAGAGAAGAGAGTGAAGATGAAATTTTAAAAATTTTAAATAAAAATACCCAATTAAAATCAGAATTGTCAGAACTTCATAATAGTCATCAGGAAATTATTGAGCAGCGGGATCAGCTTCAAGAACTAATAAGTAGCTTTCATCAATGTAGTGACACTCATGAGCAAGCCTTGAGGCGTATCACTGAATTGGAGCTTGAGTTAAAGGCAAAGGCAGGCATATTCTAAAATCAATGATCTAGACACAAGATTGGAATCTCAACAAAATAATGAGATTAGTAATTTATATGAGGAACTTATTAGTGTTGACTGTGTGCCTCCTTCTACTACAGTTCCATGCACCCATCCTGTTGTAATTGACCTTACTAGTGATACATCACCTAAATTAGGCAACTATAACAGTAACATTTGTATGTTGAGTAATAATAAATTAAAAAAATATTTAAAACTAAAAAAGTTTATAATTAAGAACCGGAATATATTAAATAAGCGTTGCAAAAAGGGACAGTTATTGAAAAAAAACGAATGAAATAGTAAATTTTGTTAATGATACAGTTTTTTTAGGTATAACAGTGGACCCGAAATTACAATGGGGGCCCCATATTTCAAAATTGGCCAATAGACTCAGTTCAGCTGCATATGCAATTAGAAGAATTAGTTATTTCCATAGCATTATGTCATATGGTATACTACTCTGGGGTAAAGCAGCCGATATAAATACTATATTTATTTTACAAAAGAGAGCCATACGTTCTATTTATGGTATGGGTTCAAGAGAGTCATTACGTCAGTGTTTTAAAGATTCCAATATCGTCACCGTTACTTCACAATACATTTATGAGAATATCATGTATACACGGAAGAATTTAGAGAGTTTTAGAAAACTTAAAGACTGTACAAATAGAAACTTACGCAATAAAAATAAGCTAATTTTACCTAAATGCCGCCTGCACAAAGTCAGTAATTCATTCTATGGTAATTGCATAAGATTTTATAATAAACTGCCAGAATCTGCACTAAATCTGACAGAGAGGCAATTCAAATCTTATATTAAACAATTTTTGTGTAAGAAAGCCTATTACAGGATAGACGACAACATAAAAAGTAAATAACTAGTTTATTAGCATACAACGTTATAATTTAATTTTCTCATTGCTTTCTTGATTTAATTGATTGATTTTAGAAATATGAAAGCGTAGCGGTTTTTGTATTGATTGCCGCATGCATTCTTATGTAAAATGTGAATACTATAACCACAGATAATATAATATTACATACGGATACCCCATCCCATACAAGAAAATGGTTCCTTCCTAACTCGGGCTATTTTATTTCGCCACCGTAGCCGCTAGATGTCGCTAGATCTGAAGCAGTTCGGATTACTAGTGGGTGCTTAGTAACAAAGCATGAAAATAGATGGCAGTCAATTCAGTCTACATGACATCTGTTTTGCAAAGATATGTATATAATAGATATGTAGGTAACTGTATCGTGTACCTCATTAGGGACGATTCAAGATTCAATGTAAATGTGTAGGTATAATATCGTTAGCCGACACTCTGCAGATATGGCTTATGTGCCAATGTATATACCTATTATGTTATGGTTTATTTTACATTCCATGCCTATTTTTTTGATATGTTGTAACGCGTCTGCGCTATACGTATAGCCTGATTTTGATACGTTTATACTCGTACGTATCAAAATCGGGCTTTACGATTTTTTATTTCAATCGTTATATGTATGAGACTGATTTTAGCTACAATTAATTTACTGGTATATACCTCATGTATTCTACGATGTACCCCTCTTTTACCTAATGAGAATTCCGCTATATCTTATATATAAATTTTGTATAACAGTGTTAGTTGCCATATTTCTCCCACATTTTGATGAAATTTGATATGTATACTTGCCAGGTCTGAGGTAGGTTATCTATTTTTTATACCCCAAAGTCATAGGGGTGGCCTACCCCGAAAAAATATAATTTTGTATTATGGACAATTTTTTATTTATTTATAATGTTACATTGAAAATACATACACGCCTAAATTTTCACCCGTCTTTCACCAACCCCTATTTTTAATAGCGATATTCTTACAAATATTATAAATGCTAAAGTAACTCAGTCTGTCTGTTTGTCTCGCTTTCACGCCAAAACTACTGAACTGATTTAATTGAAATTTGGTAGACAGATAATGTAGACCCTGAGAATGGCTACTTTTTAATGCGAAAAAGTATTGAAAGGGGAAATGAAAGGCTATATGAGGATATCGTAATTTTTAAAGTCAGATCTTGTAAGATTAAGTGAACAGGGTCGGTCTAGGTTTTTCATTATTAGAAATGTGTAACGGGGTAACACGTTATTTAGTGCGAAATTGTGTATATTACAATAAAATTTAACGAGAAAATATTATAATGATGTCACTAATATGTATAATATAATATAATGGACACTCATTGCCTTACTACTATATCGTCCGTTAGTCGCGAACTTTCTGGAAACACGAGAGGCGCGCTCCTATTGGTCGGTCGGCGCGGTTACCGCGCGTAGATGAGTAGATGAGGTAGACGAGTCTCACGGCGCCGCAGCGTAAGTACTTACTATACATACGTAGTATACATATGGGTGTTACAAATGTTTTTATTACGAGTAATATTAGTCTGTTATCTAAGCAAGTAACGTGTGCTTATTTTGAACTTGATAACATTCTGAATTACTCGTATATCTTTCAATATCTTTAGCGGTATAAACCAGGTTATGTACTACTACTAGTATTGTTAGTGAGGGATAAAGTTGATGAACAAAAATAAAACAATATTCGTATTAAAAATATATTCATCTAATATTTTTGGCATTATTTTTTAATTTCTTCCAAATACAAGGGGTCTGACATGGGGTGTTATGTACCTACATTAAAAGATACTTTTTGAAATGTATGTACCTACATTAAAAGATAATTTTTGAAATGTATGAAAGAAATGTATGTACCTACATTAAAAGATAATTTTTGAAATGTATGAAAGAAACGTATTGTATGAAATTTTTGAAATGTGTGAAATGTACATACATTTCACACATTTCAAAAATTAATGTACCTACATTAAAAGATAATTTTTGAAATGTATGAAAGAAATGTATTGTATGAAATTTTTGAAATGTATGAAATGTAAGGACCTACATTAAAAGATAATTTTTGAAATGTATGAAATTTTTGGAATGTATGAAATGTATGAAAGAAATGTATGTACCTACATTAAAAGATAATTTTTGAAATGTATGAAAGAAATGTATGTACCTACATAAAAAGTTCATTTTTGAAATGTATGCACCGTACAATAACAATACACGTTAAACATCATACCACAGAGTCATACGCAAGTTAAAAACAAACTGCTATGATATTAATGAGAAAGGAAAATCAACTTTATGGTATTCGAGTTAGGGTCGATTTCTCTCTTTTTTTAAATACTATTTTAATCTTACCAGTTGCCAGTATTCGAAGACAGCTACGATTCGTACTCGATATTTTAAATTATTATGAAATCGATTTTTCAGTACAAATGTAAATAACCAACGATACTAATAATGTACTACTATATTCCGTTCTTTGAAACGGAACACTGCTATAATACAAAATAATGAAAATTTACTGTTCACAACGACTCATTAAAAGCATCATCGAATAATGCGCTGTAATAAAATCCTGTTATCGATTATTCAAAAAAATCGATAATACATGTAGTTATTTTTAATATGACAACACTTCATACATAAGTATTATTGGAAATAGTATTACTTGCTTGTTCGGCTATTTTTAATTTACTTAAAAAATTTTTATATGTTTAATTTACAATAATAATATATTAAGTGCTTATTATTGGAAAATATAAAAAAGACATTTAATTAGGCCGATACAAATGACGACAATGCCATCTATGAAAGCATTTTGAAAACATTGAGCCCCATATTAGCACTGATTAAAGTGTAATTAAGTACTGGAAAATAACAAAATGAGTAAATATATGAAAATTACTTTTCTAAACGCATTATTTCATTTTAACATGTATATATAACTTTTTAAAAATTGATTAAACATTTTTGAAAACACAGTTTTGTTTTTTAAAACGTTTGCAAAACTATGAAGAATTCCATCGATACCAATCACACCATCTATATGCAACTTTTAGCAATAATAATGGCTAGTTTCTCATTGAGTGCCACTGCTATAACTATCAGATAGCAATTGTAAGTAGCTTTGACGTAGTCTAGTGTTTTGAGTAGTCATGCTCACTAAAATGTCCAGACTTGTGGCGGCGTGGTGGGCCGGGTCATTGGGCTCCCTAAAATATGGTCGAGCGCAGTGATGGCTAGCTCATCCGTCATACTCGTGAACGGGTGCTGCTTGTAGGGACTGGTCTGCTCTAATCACTATGACTGATTTCCTCTTATTAATTGTTTAACCAGTTGGTTATATATTCAATATTTTTTCTATTTGAGTATTTAATAGAATTAGTGCTAATTGGTGGTTTGTATTCACACACTTAAACTTAAAAATGTAAAGTAATAATAAAATTATTTAAAAGAGCAACACGCAAGTTTCTTGCTCGTTCTTCTTGTGATGAGACAGCTTTCCGAACGAGCGGTAGATTAAAAAATGTAATGACTATTCAAAAGTGCTTCAATGTAAGTTTATTTGAATAAATGATTTTCTATTCTATTCTATTGCTATTAAAAAATAGGGGTTGTTTGTAGAAGGGTGAAAATTTAAGACTACGTATTTTTTAATGCCATATAATAAAAAAAAATTTGGGGTGAGCGACACTTAGAGGTATAAAAATTTATTATAAACCGATTTTCCGACCTACTGAATATACATATAAAATTTCATCAAAATCGATCAACCCGTTTCGGAGGAGTATAAACACGAAACCTGTTACACGAAAATTTTATATTTCAGATATCCGTTTTTAATGTTCCTGAAAATTTAGAAATAATTCAGATAATGTCGGAAATTGAAAATGTGCCACCACTGTGATATAAAATATTTAAATTGGAATTTATTCTAAGAAAATAATGTTAAACATGAAATTTATATATAAAAAAGAATATTGATAAATTGGAATATTAATAAAGAGAGATTGATAAATTTTCTGAAAGTTTCCTTTCTATACACTATTTTATAATAGTCTGTTTCATATCTATGGCTTATTATAAGATAGATGATACGACATCTTATTGGGTAATTAAATTGTTTTGACTACCTCGGTGGTCTAGCGGTCTAGTACACCGCTTTACGTCCGAGGTCGCGGGTTCGATTCCTCGCACGGCACAAACATTTGTATTCATGAGTATGATTGTTTGTATCGGTCTGGGTGTTATCTATATATATATTACGTATGTATTTACGAAAAAAAATCTATGTATTTGTATCAGTTGTCTAGTACCCATAACACAAGCTTTAGCTAGCTTAACTTGGGTCTAGATGGCGCTGTGTGAATTGTACTGAGATTATTTTTATTATTATTGTATTTATTTTCCACTTTTGCAGAGTCGACTTTAACGACACAAATGACTGCTTTGAGCTGGTGAAGACCTTAGTGATGGATACACCTGCTGAGCCTTACCTACTGTCAATATTGCAGCATCTACTTTTCATCAGAGATGATGAACTTATCAGGTGCATTACAATTTATATATATCGTTTTCTTATGAAGACAGAAATTCTAAAGACTTTGTATGAAGCCATCTGCATTGTTACTTTTGTTTCGACGATTTTTGCTGCCATGAACCTTGTTTAGTAGTAAAACAAAAAAAAACACACACACGCAGTTATTACATTATTAGTATTTAAATGTATCACACTATCTCTTGTAACTCTCAGGCCCGCATACTACAAGCTGATAGAAGAATGCATCACACAAATAGTTCTGCACAAGAATGGTTACGATCCAGACTTTCGAGCGACACAGCGCTTTAGTATAGACGTTCAGCCGCTTATAGATGGACTTATAGGTGAGTTGGCAAATATTAAATCTATTTATTCTAAAGTATAATTCACAAAATGTATGTTTGAAATAAATTTTAATTTCATTATTTATATGTAAACTGTTATTTATATATTTACTATTGTTTGTCGAATCAATATACCTTCATGTTATATTTTATTTGTAGTAGTTTAGCAACACTATACACTTTATACTTGTATATCTCTCTTACTTAATACACTTTCATGTGTCTTATATATACATAAAATTAAAAAACTGAAGTAAATTAGTATTTTTATTTATTTATTTATGATTAGGCACTCACCACACTTACAGATAAACCAAAGCGTGTAGTGAGCCAATAATATAACGTAATTACATAAAAAACAACAAACAACACTCAATTAACTTATTAATATTGTCGTGAAAAATATCGACCTCTGGCCGCTCCAAAACCAAGCTATTGAGCAGCGAGATACCTTGATAAGTGGGAGCAAGTTTTATGTAAAAACACTAATTTACTCATTTCTAAAGATAGTATCCATATTCTACATTTCTTGTCCATATTTATGACCTTCTATTATTTTGCGTGTTTTAAAACATATTAATTATATATCTTATTTTTTTAGAAAAATCAAGAGCAGAAGAAGAACGTAAAATAGAAGAGTTGACAACAAAGTTGGAAGCGGCAATTGCAGCTAAGCAAGAAGCAGAAGCACGCGCCGCTCATCTTGAGGATCGCCTTAAAGGCGCTCCCGCTGGTGGTCTGCCGCAGTCTACTGTTGCTGCAATCGCTAAGGTATTTGGCCAATGCTAGGCGTCCACTTGAGATTTCCTGTTTTTTTTATAATAAGTATAATAAATAATCTGACTACCTACTGGTGAATGGTACTTACATATACAACCATCATAACATAACTGACGTCACGTCATCATGGGACGCGCGTGATCCCTTGTTCGTTATTACTAAGGAGCAGTAAGATGGCATGCCTCCCGTACCCAGTAGTTTCACTACCATATCTCACCATTCAACTGAAATAACTTAAAAATCAAGGTGCTTGTTAGCTTAATTTGTAAGCTATGTTAAATACATTGATGTTGTTATATCGCTGCAGCGTTGTTGCATAACATGTTTGTGAGGAGAAATAAAGAACAAAACTATAACTTTATTGTGACCAGTTAAACAATAGAAATACATTAAAAATCTTTTACAAAATTATAAATAAATTATTATTATAATACAGCATTAACTCTGTAGTAAATCCTGTCAAATAATCAATTAACAATTAAAATTAAGATATCCCGTACACAGACTATCAATATAAACATTTTAGGCACCATATGTTTCTTATGAATGGATACTGCTAATATGATACAGTTACTTGGAAATAGTATCATATATGTTAATTTTTAATGTGTGTTTTATGGTACAGGTCATAGGAAGTCCAGGAGGTCCCCCACCACCACCGCCCCCTCCCATGCCCGGAGGTGAGTCTACCAACATTATGTACTTCATTTCATGGGTGAAATACACTTAAATCACCTATCGCATTGCATGATTACGTCATACCATGGTGGTGTGTATATATCCACTTTGGTAAAATAGGCATGATGACTAATCTTTTTTTTAGTTTCATTATTATATTTACTCATTTAATATTCCTAAAAATACTAATATTGTATTAAGAAAGTATGTATGATGTATTGTATTAAGAAAGTATGTATGAAGTATGTATGATGAACTGATGATAATGAAAAAGTGATAGCTGTCACAGAATAAGAGTTTCAGAAGCCAATAATTGTAACTTATATGTTACTTCATCTAATGTAATATAATATATAGGCATACCAGTTCATTGATTCTATGTCATGTCATCATGGCTGTTGATAACATATATTCACTACTCTGATACATATGAGGGATATTTGTTATGCTGGTTTTATCAATCATACAATATTTTTCTTCTTTCAATTAGGCCAAGTTCAAGACCAAGCAATATTATGTGTGGTCTTGTTACCTATTGTTAAAGTGTTAATAAATCAATGACTGTAGAATTTGCTATTAGTAGTTCTGCTTCTATTCAGTGTCATAAGTGTACATATATACTAAAACTAAATAAATAAAAAGTACGAAATTTAAAATTCGAATGCGGAATTAAATAATGATGAGTAAAGTCATATATAAAATATGACTTTAATCATAATTATTTAATTCAGTATTAGAATTTTTAATTTCTTGCGTTTCATTTATTTAGTATGTACATGTACAAGTGTCATTGCGCTTAATAACAGTGTACTCTATTATGTCATTTTTCTTTTTTTTTTATTTTGTTTTTCGTAATTCTTTATTAGCACCACGTAAATATATTTATTTCTTACTTAGCTATTTATTTTTATTTACGGCTATCTACTACTTGCATGTGCATACACTATCTATGTTTCGGTATGTGCTTCTAGGGGGACCACCGCCACCACCTCCACCACCGTTGCCAACAGGTTGGTGGTTATTATTTTGACGACTGTAATTACTAATATTTATATTAATATATTAGATTTTATAATATGTACAATTACAAACCTAAGCCAAGATTATCTTGAACTATCTAAGATAGCTTTACATAATGTTTAATAACTAATAAACTAACATACTCCAAATAATATAATAGTATCTAAAAATGGACGACTTATAAATTAAAGCAAAGGAAGATAAAACCTAAGTCGATCTATTTCATTTTTATTTTCCTTTTTATATAAATATATATTAGAACACTACTTCACAAAATATATGTACAATCAGTTATAAATATTAATTATAGTGATGAAATGCATGCATAAATGGGTGATTGTAAATCAAAGTATTTAGTACACAATGTCTCTCATTCTGTTATGTTTTCATGTGTATTTGTTTTTGTCTGTATTATGTATTATTAGTGGGTAATTTCATTCAATATTTTATTGGGCATCACAGAACGCAATATGGAAAAGTCATTCGCATTTATGCAGACATTTGAAGCAATGTTTTACAAAGCAATGAGTTTGCTTATACTTATATTAAAAAAAAGATTCTAGTGTAAAATTAAGTAATATATAAATATGTTTATTCAATTACTTATAATTTTATAGTAACATTTATTGAATATACTTGTAAATATTCGATGGACTCTGTTGTCCAGCGGTTTAGAACACCGCCTTACTTCCTAGGGTTACAGTTGTCATGGTACATAAATATTTGTACTCTCGATTATCAATGTTTTTATTAGTCTGGGTACTCGTATGTATATGTAAAAACAAATACACAGCAATCATTGCAGTTCTTTGTCCATTAATGTTAAGTTTCTGGTGAATGCTTATCTCACTGCATGCAGGCACTATAGCTGTCTCGGTGTGTTTTTCTAGGAGAACCAGCCCCTCCGCCCCCGCCACCAATGCCATCAGGTTGGTCTTATATACATGTGTGGTTATGTTGTAAACACCATATGTGTGTAGACAACATAAGAAACTTCAGTGATTGTTTTCATATATATATTAATAAAAGAGGTACAATCTTCGTACCCCCTTTTACGCAAATTGCGTGGATAAAGTAGTATGAAATTTAGCACACTTATAGATTAAGTAGAAAAGTAGTAAAGAATGTTTGTTTTTTAAATTATGCATAAAAATACATTAAATCAATAAAAATAATATATACATTACCATGTATTTGACACACATGCACAAAAGAGTATATATCTTTTGTTTATTGACAATGGAACCTTAATAATTATAATTGAAATTAATTGTGGTCGATTTACGACCGCAAGGCGACCTCAAATATAAATAAAACATGAGCTATCATTACAATGTAAATCTGGTCTATTTTCACTTAGTAAAAACGTCATCTTGTCAATCCAGTGTTATACAAAAGCAGTAAGAGATTTGACAATATTTAATTGTGATGGTAATTACAGGTGGAGGCGGACCTCCCCCGCCGCCGCCGCCCCCGATGCCTGGTGGGATGGGCGGCCCCCCTCCGCCCCCTATGCCGGGCATGGGAGGCCCCCCGCCGCCCCCCATGCCAGGTATGGGGGGACCTCGGCCGCCCCCGCCGCCTGGTGGTTTCATGGCTCCAAGAATGGTAAGATATTCTTGTTCTCATATGTTATATATTTTACAAGATTGGAAAATATAATTGTTAATAATAGGAACTACTGTAGTAAATAACATATAACATAACCATGTAAAGCTCGACCAGCTTTATCACCATGATTAATTACCATTACCCTACCCTTTAGTCGCCTTCTTAAATATTAGTGTATGGAAAGTGTTTGAGAAGTACAAAATTAGTCTTCAAAATCCTCAAAAAGAAGAGAAAATGTATTTTTTATTTTATGTATTATATTATAAAGTGTCCAAAGTTGTTTTTGATTTATAGGTACTTTATTTATTTTATGTTAATGCGTTTTATATAAACTTTCACACATTATTTCTGAATAACCTATAAAAAGCAATAATTCATATTAATTTCCAACGGTGCCATAACACTTTTTAAGAATTGACCCACTTTAAAATTTATGTCCGAGTTAAAAAAAAGGGACTATAGCTACTGTTTTAGTTGTATTATAAAATGTTTGTACTTACAGCCACAACCAGATGTTCTACCACATGGTCTCAAACCGAAAAAGAAGTGGGAGGTGGAAGGTCCCCTTAAAAGGGCAAACTGGAAGACGATTATTCCACAGAAAATGTCAGAGAAGGCTTTCTGGGTCAAGGTAATTACCTTATTATATATGCCAGTAATAATATTTTAATATTCTAGAAGATTACAATGTAAATATCAGCAACTAGTATTCTGTTATTTCCAATCTAAATAAATTGGACATACGAAATGTAGAACCTATAAGGTGTTTTAAACAATTGTGACCATTATCCGCCTTATGTAATGTTGCAAACAATACTCAGAACTCTAAATAAAATAGGAATTATTTATAGAGAGTCTGTAACTGTTTGATGTTATATTAGGTACAAGAGGATAAGTTGGCGTCCCCAGACATTCTCAGTGGGCTCGCTCAGAAGTTCTCCAGCAAACCTGTGGCTAAGAGAAAAGAGGATGCTGTTGAAAAGTGAGTATTCATAATCACTTATTTATTAGTCCTCTACGATTTTTACTATTATTTGTGAAATTAGATGTTTGTGATTTGTATTATTTTTAAATTCAATTTTGAAGATGGTATTACCCCCTCATTATATTCAACAAATAATTTCGTGGTGTTTAGTAGTTTAATTTAGTGACTTTAGACTTTACTCTCCCATAATGTTCCATATTATGATTTTTACACATACATTTCATTTATAATTTAACCGTCATTCTCTTTAAATATTTATACTACTCTATATAGCTATACTATACTTTAAGTTATTCCTAAATCTACTTGATATACGCCTCTTAGTCTTCCTCTTTTCTATTTTACCGTCAATAATAATGTTTAAGTTCATCCTGCCATATCAAGCGTCCCAACACTTTTGTCCCTTATATCCTCCAAATAGATATCTTTTAAACACTGTTTTAAACATTTTTATTCAATGTTTATTTATATAATATTAACATAATTGTACACGTTTCACTAATGGGATATTGTTTTAATTACAGAATGCCAACACTAAAGAAAGTCAAAGATCTTAAAGTGCTAGACAGTAAAGCAGCTCAGAGTTTATCCATATTACTGGGCGGATCTCTAAAACATATGTCATACGAACATATACGCACGTGCATATTGAGGTGTGATACCAACGTGTTGAACGCAAATGTACTAGATCTGTTAATACAGGTATGTCTCATATCTAATATCATACATTTTTATTATATTGTGGTTAAATTATATGCGGTAGAAGTGGAGGCGAGATGTATACCAGCAAAATCTCAACAATCTAAAAAATTTTGGCTTGTCTAGAACTGCAGTAAGTTGTATACTAGAATGTGAAATCTAAAGCAATACTAGCACTAGAACTTAAAGTTCCGGGAACTGCTCGGAGTTTCCCTCTCTAACGCACGTGTACCACCACTGTGAATCCATGGCATGCCTATCAAAATATAATCTTCCATTCTTACCGTCTTATATTTCGGATTAAGAATGCCGTTGATAACTTTTATCATATAACGTAAAAATAGTTTTAAATAAAAGAGTGCTCTATAAAATTCTAGCCACAGAGTATGATAGATATATATTAATTAAAAATAAAAAAATTGCTATTTCCAGTATCTCCCACCAGCGGATCAACTAAAAAAACTAGCAGAACTGAAATGTAAAAGCGAAGAGTTGACAGAAGCGGAACAATTCGCGGCCATAGTGTCTGATGTAAAGAGGCTGGTGCCAAGGCTGAGGAGTTTGGCCTTCAGGGAACACTATTCGGAGATCATATCCGAGGTTAAACCGGTGAGTTGTAGTTCCATAAATAGTTTTTTTTTAATAAATGGCAATGTGATATTTGTACTACTGGTTCATGTATATAGGCGACGGTTACCGCTTACCATCAGGTGGGTAATTATTGCTCTGTAACAGAAAAAAAAATGTTTGTAATAATACCTCATACCTCATTATACTGTAAAAAAACTTAAAGGGATACAAAGATCTTATGAAATAAATTGTACAATGTTTTTTTATTCTTTCACAGGATATAGTTTCAGGTACGGCGGCGTGTGAAGAGGTGAAATCGAGTGGGAAGTTTGCAAAAATTCTAGAACTGTTGCTCCTACTGGGCAACTATATGAATACAGGGTCCAACAACGCGGGCGCGTACGGATTTGAGATTAGCTTCTTAACAAAGGTGCGTACATAGTCTATTTTTCCAATACGATCCTGCGTCAGGCGTTGTTGTTTTTACCTTTCAACTTTAGTTGTCTTCACAGCTTACGTTAATCACTGGTAATGTAGCCTTTTATAAATGGAAGAGATAAACTTAAAAAATAATTTAAATAACATTTTCTGCAACATATATGTCCATATCGAACAATATGTTTTGTGAATGTTTTATAGTAATTTCATCTGCCATATTTACCTGTTACCTTAAGACACACACAGACAGTTCTTACTACGTCACAATTATACTTTTTTAATGATATGTCAAAAAAATAACATTGTAAACTGTTTTCCCATATATTTATCAAATAGTAACATTATTTGACAAGTAGTAACTTGGATCTGTAAAATCCGTTCCTTTAGAATTATTATTTTACAGTTAACATCAACAAAAGATCTGGAGAACAAACAGACCCTGCTGCATTACCTAGTCGAGACGATCGAGAATAAGTTCCCTGATGCGCTCACGTTCGCAGACGAGATGCCACATATTGACAGGTAATATTATTCTAAGTCTATAATTCTACCTTGTAAGGTCCATTTTAACTTGGTTTTATTTGAATTCTTGACCTCTCGGGTTTAAATGGGGCCAATAAACCACTAAACAATAGTGGTAAAAAAATATATAACAAAATTAAAGTTAACTTAAAAAAAATCAAGTCAGAAATGAAGGCATGATGGGCCAGATTGTTGGTTTCTCTACGACAGATTTCCAACCCAGAATTGTTGACTTAGCACTATGCGAAACGACGAGAACGATATACTTGAGATACATTCGATATAAAGTATTCCTGTTTTATAAAATGCATTAAGTTAAAAAATATAGAATAATTTTAGACTTTAAGTATAAATTGTTAAGGTCTAAAATTACTTAGGTGTTATGATATTCACTCGATTTCCTCTCAGTTACAATATTTTTTTTTTAATATTTAGGGCGGCGAGAGTATCAATGGAGAATCTCCAGAAGGCACTAAAGAAAATGGAAAACGACATAAGAGCTCTCGAAACGGATCTGAACAACTCGAGAGTTCAGCAGTGTCCCGACGATCTCTTCCATGAGAGCATGAGTGTATCCTTTATCATTACATAGTATAAAACAATGTCGCTGTCGCTGTCTGTTCATCCCTATGTATGCTAAAATCTTTAAAACTACCCAACGGATTTTGAAGCGGTTTTTTAAATAGATAGAGTGATTTTAGAGGAAGGTTTATATACACCCGTGCGAAGCCGAGGCAAATAGCTAGTATAAAAATAATTATTCCCTATGTTTCCCTATATTTGATTACTATTACTCACTATTTAAAAATTGCAAAAAGCTGGCAACATCAGTAATGTCTTGGCTCCGGGATTATATAATAAAAAGGAAATTATTGTGTAACTGCGTGGTCAGCTTCTTAATTCTCTCCCCTTAACTTACCTTCTTTCACAGCTTTCTTTAATTTAAAATATATGAAATGTCAAATGTAAAATCAATCTGATTCAAATCCATGAGATAGGAAGAGACAATTTAAAATTCATCATTGTGTTAGATTATTTTCTTAACTGAGACACAGTCATTCGCCAAGGAGGCCCGAGAACAATGTGATCTGTTACATTCGATGTGCCGTAAGATGGAAGCGTTGTACGGGGAGTTGGCCGAATACTATGTATTCGATCCACATAAGTACACACTGGAAGAGTTCTTTTCAGATATCAAGACGTTTAAGGACTCCTTTATGGTAAATCATAATTTTTATTGTCTATAAATTGTTAAGTTGACAGGTGATTAATACTCTTTTAATAATAATAATCTAAGCAGAGTTTGAGTAAAGTGTACTAGACATTTTTTTTTTTTCGATAAAGAGAGGTACAAGAGACTAAACAACTGATAGAATACTTAAATACATTATTTTTGTGAATACATACATAATCTATATGAAGAATTACGAATCAATAAAAACCAATCATAATCTGAATACAAATATACCGTGCGAGGAAACGAATCCCCGACAATTGTAAGATCAATAATGATAATCAAAACTAGTAACAGTTGATAAATGCAACCATTTCTTTGAGTCGTTTAGTTCTTAACTGAAGATCCGTAGAAAACAATGAAAGTGAAATTATTCTTATACATCAAATTAACGTTATACCGTCCAATTCGGCTAGCTACTTCAGTGGAGAAGTGTCAAATCTTTTAAACACTATTCTTACTATGAAATATAAAACTCAATTAGTATGTTCTGAATCTGTGTACAGACGGCGCATCAAGAGAACGTGGTGGGTCGTGAGACGGAGGAGCGAGCTCGACGCGCGAAGGAAGCTCGCGAGGTCGCGGAACGCGAGCGCCGGGACCGACAGCAGCGGTACAAGCAGTTCGTGGACATGGAGCGCGCGCAAGACGGCGTTATGGACAGGTACCGTACTCAGTACTACAGTCTCCCCACACGTTAGCGGCTAATAATAGCAACTATACGCTAAAAAGTTGGGAAGGTTTTTAAATTTCGTAACATCAATAAACACTACACATTAGCGGCGATCTGATATAAAAAACTAAGTGTGAAAAATGAAAATTTAAAAAAGAAGTAACTAATTTCAAAATATCAATAATAATGCACTTGGACAATTCACACAACGTCCCAAGGTAAACAGAGACTGTGTTGTGGGTAAACAACTGATATAAATGCTCAAATCATACATAGAAAATATTGAGACTGACAGAAACACATACTCATGAATACGAGTATTTTAGGATCGTATACTTTACATGGTACACCCTGTGAGGAGTAACTATAACAAGGACAAGTGGAGGAGTCTCAAAATTACCAAATTCGTGTGATGTGATTTATGCATGGGTCAGTTGCTATTTTTTGGGCTTGAGAATCTTTCTTACTGACTCAGATTTCGATGAAGTGGAGTATCTAGGACAAACTCATACTCATTAAAAACTCCAAGCTATTCCTCGATATGCTTAATCTTACAGTCAAGTATAATAATAGCCTGTTACTCTTCTCTCTATATCATACTTTTGAAACAGTGAAAGAATTTCTAAAAGTTATGGAATAATTCGGAGTTTACTTCCCTGATTTTCTCCCTCTTTTTCTCTCTCTCTCTCTCTCTCTCTCTCTCTCTCTCTCTCTCTCTCTCTCTCTCTCTCTCTCTCTGTCTTTTCTTTCTCTTTCTCACACTATAATATTACTGTATATGAGGAGTCTAATGTATTTTTTCCATGTGATAGAGTACACGTATTTTGAAATTGATTCGTTTGTTAAATCTTAAACTATATTTTATAGATATTTATATAATGAAATGTTCCTTTTCAGTTTAATGGAGGCGTTGCAGAGTGGATCAGCGTTTAGTAGAGAACGGCCGAGGAAGAAGGCAAACCCTCGGGCAGCTGGAGGTAATTATATTTACTTTTGGAGATATTTTTTACTCAAACACCGCATTACCAGAGCAGTGAGGAGATTAGTAAAGGTGACTAGTCCCTCCCCTGCTACCCTGTCAGGTTGATGGCCAGGCGGTCTTTCTTAAAAACAATCGTGGGTAAACCTTGTAGATTTCACCATTATGACCTACTTTCATTATCACTCTATAATTTTTCACTAGTGCTCTACCAGTGTATACCATTACAGCAGAAGAGTGCACAATTACATTTTCATCCAATAAAAAAAACACCGCATTACTTTTACATCACTTTTAATATACATTGCACATTTATGTATAAGAGAACACAGTTTTTTTAAAGAGAATTACTTATGTTGATAGTAATCGCTAAGTATATATCATAAATATAAATACTAATGAATGATATATACAAAAAAGTATCATTTAATAGCTTTTTCATCGTTGAGGAGTAGTAATTTTTGTATTTTACATTGAATCCGTAATTACACATTAAAGTACATACATGTTGTATCGCATTTTGCACGCTCACTAGTAGATCTGATTGAAGATATCATGGACCAGAATGGTGTAGTGCACCCCATATTGTATTCTGATATTTGAATACGTAATTACACATTAAAATACATACATATTGTGTCGAAATTTTGTACGCTCACTAGTAGATCTGATTGAAGATATCATGGACCAGAATGGTGTAGTGCACCCCATATTGTATTCTGATATTTGAATACGTAATTACACATTAAAATACATACATGTTGTGTCGAATTTTGTACGCTCACTAGTAGATCTGATTGAAGATATCATGGGCCAGAATGGTGTAGTGCACCCCATATTGTATTCTGATATTTGAATACGTAATTACACATTAAAATACATACATGTTGTGTCGAATTTTGCACGCTCACTAGTAGAGGATCTGATTGAGGATATCATGGACGAGGATGGTGTAGTGCACGCCATATTGCACAGAATCGAAGGTAGGTCCATAGCGTATCGAAGTCACTTACGTCTATTTTATAACTGTATGTTTTATGAAATATGTAAGAATATTCATGTATTATTATTTGTTTAAACATGATTTACTTATTGGTATAAATTAGACATTAAATGCAAAATTTCTACAAGGGCAATCATGTCTATTTATTATGGTGATAAGATTATACGTCATGGTACTGTTTAATGGAATATTATAAAAGCGACTAATGTCAGTAGCTTATACAAGTTACAGAATACAACGAAATACTGTTAATATTAAAAAAATAATAGTGACAGTCAATTTCAATTTATTAACATTATTCATTTCCGTTCTTGTTCCTATAAATAGACAATTTGTCGTTGCTGCTTAGTGTCACCTGATCTGTCTGAATGATTCAATCTTAGAACACACTTCTTGGGGTTCGATACTGCTGAGATGGACATATGTGTAACATAATTATCATATTAAATCATCATCTATCTATAATCATATTAATAATGACAGGAACAATTTTTTTATTACCAAAATAATGGGAGATAATATATTTTTTTTAGATTTTACCACATTGTAGCTACGTGGAGCACTGTGTACTGTAGCGAAACTTTAAGTATTAGATGTTTTTTCTGTTATAACAACCGAGTGATCTTCATTGATATTTATGTCTTAACTGTTACTGATATATTACTAAGTCTGTTTATAATACCTTCCATTTTCAATTTATATACCAAATGCTGTATATTGTACGTACAAGGTGTAAATATTATATTTCAATTTTATTAAGTTCTTTCCTATCGCACTCTCTAGGCACTAAACATTTCTCTTACATTAAAATATTGTATCTTTTACATGGCTATTATTAGTTTCAAAATATTTATTTATTTACTAACTATCTGAGCCTGCGACTCATTCATTTGGAACATTATCATTAAAACCAACACTAATTTTCAGTAAATCCTATCATACATGTGTAAATCGCACTGAAATAGTTTAAACAGTTTTTTAGTTTATCGCGCACAAACGTTCAGACAAGCTGTCTAAAGTTCTAATAATAATAGTTTTGTTAATTATATGTGTAAGTATACAATTTACACCTTGTTTATATTTTGTATTTATTTATATTGCAGTTGGTTATATATATATATATATATATATTGAATGTTCATGTTGTCGTGTTTCTGTATGAATATTAATATTATATCTAATAATATTTAAGATATATGTGTGTGTATGTAATTATATATCGTCGTGTGACTCTGCATTTTTATAACATCTTCAACTTAACGACTTTTTAAATAAGTTATTTCTATTCTATTATAGTTTTAACTAGAGCAGTTTAAATATCCCGCTTGGAAATTAAATGTTAATTTAAAACTTATTATATATATATATACGAGTATATAATTGGTTAATGTTTATTTGTATTCAAAACCAAAAATAAAACTATGCAGAAACCACAGCATTCTGAGTGTGTAAATGCTAACTTGTTATATTTTAATATATACATATTTTGGTTAAATCTACGTACTTCTAATCTGGTATCTGTATCTTAAGAATTGTACCCTATTTTGTGTTAATTCTTCAGAATGAAAATAATTACATAATTTATCATTTTTTCTTTATGTTGCACTTTCATCTACCAATACTGTCTCTTCCCGTGTACTTTAAAATCACTTTAAGAGTAATCTCTCTTATAAACTTTAACTATATATAAATATATATTCATATATATTAAATGATTGAACATTTTTTCAGCTGAAAGAAGAGCGCAGCTCAGCCGGTCTAGATCTCGATCTGGACTGACGGGGCCGATTATTACACGGGAACTAACCAAGTAAGATTAAATTTAGTTCTACATAATTTTTACGTGACGGCTTACTTTTTAATCTATATTTTGGTTTGAAACCCTAGTGAAATTACAGGATATATAACATAACATACTTAGTACTAAAAATAACATAGTATAATTAATCTTTCCATCTAGTATACAATCAACTGTTTATGTAATCATATAGTGAATGTCTTTGTGGGCAAAAGCTAGTTGATAAATACAAATTAATCGAGTTGATCAATAAAATGGTTTAAAGCAATAAATAATAATAACCCTGGACAATTCACATACGCCATCAAGCAGAGCTTGTGTTAACTAGACAACTGATATAAATACTTAGTATTTTTTTAAATGCATACTTAGATAAAACACCCAGACGGGTACAAACAATCATACTCATGAATACCAATATTTGCACCATGAGAGAAATCGAACCTAAGACCATTGAAAATAAAACGATATGCTAAACCGCTAAACCACTGAGGCCGTCATGAATAAAATTTATATTTTTTTTCCAGTGAGCTGCTCAGCAACGCGTGATGTTTCAAGCTCATATCAAGTGATATTAGTAGTATATTAATTTAGTTTTAAGTTAAATGACAAAAGCAAAATATTTTACATTCCAGAGGGCTGTTTCTAATTGGACGAAGTGATAAATATTTATGGCAATTTTATACAAATAAACCGGTTTATTTATTGTGAGTTATATACCACCGTCATAAAATCTTAAATCGAGCATCTAATACACCGTCGAACATCTTTCGAACTATTTTTTTAATTTGAAAGAAAGTGACAAAAAATAACGTAATGTGTAGATAAGACGGCTGGTTAGGTTTTTAATTATTATGAAGTATAGGGCTAATATAGCTTAGGACGGCTGTCTATTGGTGTATTCTTTCTTGCATTCATATTTAGAAAGCACTTGTATGTACATTTTAAAACTAATTCTCTGTTTATATCCACTACCACTTTTCTCTCCCCTCTACCTGAATTCAGAAATTATGTAATAGTGTTGAGTGCATTCCGTATTATCTTTTAGGAATTATACGTATATTGCCTTTACATAGTATGAAACAAAGTCGTCTCCGCTGATCGGTTATATCTTTTCAATTACGCATCGTATTTTAATGCTATTTTGATTAATAGATAAAGTGTATTAATATATATAAATAGTGATTCAAGAGGATGGTTTATATGTTATAATACATGTATATTATAGAACAAGTCGAAATATGCAAAGATTTGTAACGCATCCGTGCGAAGCCGTCTCGGCTCGCTAGTAATAAATAAAATATATATTTTTCTAATATTCGATGTAATGTTAGAATGAAAGCAAGGGTATATTTTTATAGCTTTGTTTATTTGCACTTCGTTGTGTTTGATAGAAACTGTTTGAATTTAACGTACTCTGTACTGTACTCATTTGTAAATTGAAAATGACAAAAAAAATATTATAAATGTAGATTTCCATTTAATTATGCACTAGTAACATAAAACATTCCAGTAATTGACTCATCATTCCTTTCATTGTTTTTTTAGTTTCGCTGACCTTATATGTAATGTCATATCAATGACTGTAATGGTTTGAGCATTAAGTATACTTGTTAAGGAGAAAGAATCGCAGGTTCGATTCGTATGTCGAGATGATATTGTAGATTTTGATATCGTTATATAATTCATACGCACCCATATTTAAAAGAAATTTTAGTGACTTAATGTAACGAAATGTCACAAATAAAGAGTAAACAAGATGTCCAGTATTGTGATTTTTAAGACGTGAAGGATATCAAGGAATATATATACTTAGCAGTATAAATACGGGTCCATTGCCTTATGGAATGAATAACAATAATAAACGATCACTAAATATACAGTCTACGAGTTGCCATAAAGAAGAGTAGCAAAAAATAATCTCTTGTATTATAAATGCAGTCAAACCTGAATAATTTTGATACATATATGTATATTTGCAGAAGACTACTTAAAGAATCGTTGCCTTATATTTATAAACATGCCTACAAGCAATGCTGTGAAATAAAAATAAAAAACAAGTGCAAACGCAATCAAAATCAAAACAATATTGATTGTGTATAATTGAGCTCTTAATTATTAAATTTGTACTATATTCGAGGTAACAGTTACTACGCTTTTTTATATACATTTTATCAATGGTTCAGCAAGCAAGATTTTCCTGATACATTTGATATATAATAAAGTAATATAAACTATTGTAAAAGTGAATAAATTTTTCAGTAAGGTAGCAGCATTGAGCCTTATTTTGTTATAGATAATACGCTTTAAAGTAATTTGGACCTAATTGTAGTAAGGCTGTATGTGTTTAATGCTATTTGTAACCATATGGCGGTTGATGTTCATAATCGTCTTCCATATTTTAATGAAGAGTTTTTAAAATACTGTTTTTGTTTTTAGTGTAATGTCACATTACTTCTATGTAACTAATTTATAATATTTTATTTTACAATATGTTTTAACAGATTTCAAAGTTACGACACGTATTTTGAACTTTAACATGTTGCAATACAGTTCATAATTAATTCAACAATTTTAAACATTAGCTGTACTTCAATTATTCCATGGTGTTGTGTGATAAAGTACATCACAAATAAGAACATATAATAATGTAAAAGCTTTGTTATTTTAGTTAATTCATTTAAGTGTTAATGAAAGTGCGAGTCCATCCATATAGAAATTATGTATATTATAAATTTTATTAATGCAGAGGCACTAATTTGATATGTTCCAGTAGAATATATAAAAATAAAAGAAAATCTTACTTCACAGACTTATCAATAAACATAATGCTTTCCTTTCGTAATGCTCGTTATAAACTAAAATAGAGACTAACCAGTCTCCTAATCTTACTAGGGATAGCTATTTAAAAAAGTATTTTTTATCTATGGATTGATATTAGTAAACCGAATTTTAAACTGGATCCATTATATCTATGGTCACTATGGAAGCCCATAGACTTATTTTACATTTTTTACAACATACATATGATCGTTATGAAAATAATAATACATGTACAATGAAACATACATGTATGACAAAATAATACTTCTAGATATATGTTATTAGGTGAATGAAGTGCTCTCAAAGAATATATAAATTTAATTTCCCCAATAAAAAGACTGTTACATGTCGTAATGTTGATGTTTTATTCAAAATTAGTAGTAAATATTTTGCTAACATTAATTTGATTCGCATTTTGCGCATTATGGTAGCCTTTGTACGTCGAAGTATAAAGATTTTTTTTATGTATATAATAACATTCTGATAGTTCTGATAATATGTAAAAAGGTTATTATTTAGTTGTAATTATTATTGTAATTTCAAAAAGATGTAAGTATATGTAATTTTTTAGATTGTTTTTAACAACCACTTAATTTAGTTTTATATAGTTAATCATCATAAAGTAGAATAACGCTATTATTAATTATACATGTAAATATATTTTTGTAAAATGTTGCATTTTTTCATTGATTAAAATGTTTTTAAAACTAATTTTTTTTTATTACTACACTTCGGTTAACCATTAAGATGCTATAAGAAATGTAAGCCTTACGCTTCCCAATGGCAGATTTTGTTGTGAGTGGCCTGTTCTTAAAAAGGCCACTAAACAAATGACCATTCACCAAGAATATTATCTTGGTGAATCTTAAATACTATTCGAATCTGAATGGATATTTTGTCTACAGCTAATACCTTTGCCAAAGAGTTTTGTAGGTTGGTGATGTGAAATAATAATCCCATTACTAACAATTTATCATATCAAGTTAACTTCCACGCGATTCTCTCTGGAAACCATTGTGACAAATTCTTGGTGAATTTGCCATGATGGCTACCTGACCTGACATCGTGGTTATTTTATTCTCTACAGCTTGTCCATATATTTATTACACATAAAAGTCAATTAAAAAAACACCGTCATAGGGTTATTTATTACTTGTCTAATAGAGAACTAGAGCTCTAAATAAATCATAATATACGTAGTGTTAATTTTAAATGGTTGGCATGCTCTACGATGGGCGGGACCTGTTACAGTCACAAATATAACGACACGCAAGCGTAGGTCTCAAATGGGATTAGACGGTTCGTCCCATTTGCAATTTTCTATTCCATAAACATCACAAAAAAGACTAAGAAAATTTATAAGCGTTTATAACGCAACCGTACAAACTCTAAGCTATTACTTTTTATATAAATCTTGGGAAACAAGCTAATCGCCCACCGGATGCAAACGGTCACCACGAACCGTCGACTCTAGAGGACTAATCTCCTCCGCTCAATCCGTCCAATTCAAACGGGGATCGAAATTATGACGATCTTTATCAATTTCCAACCCCCTATCGATGCCCTCAAACTACATAAAGTCGTACCGTTTAAAAACTTGAGTACTAATGTGTCACGTCTCCCACCCGGTAATGTAATTTGCGTATTTTATTTTTTCTACGTTATTCCATTGCCATTTTTTATCATTGAAATTGACGCTCAGCTTATAAAGTAAACTGCTTAGTAGCAAATAGATCAGACAGTAATATATTACGGTCCGTTAATTAAGTGGTCTCCCAATGTTTGAAACTCTACCACAATTAACTAAAATTATAAGTTTGAACATTATTAAGGTTCAATTGTCAAAGACACTTTTATGCGTGTGTGTCAAATATTGTATGAAATATATATTTGTGCATATTTAAAAAAATATGTTAGCATTCTGTACTACATGCATATAAACTGTAAGTATGCGAATTTCATACACATCGCTCAATGCAATTTTAGTAAAACGGGATACAAAATGTTTGCTTCAGGTATCAATATAATGATATATCTAATTGACTTCTTATATATCATTTTAGAGATGTCTTCCTTATTTTGATTTCTTACTAAATGCATTATTTTGTTAATAAAATTATGTAAACATAGTACAGTTACAGAAAACTATGACAGGGGCGGGAACATACCGTGCGCCAAGCACCGCCCACTGGCGCCTGCGCAAATGATAAGCAAAATAAACTTCTCGAATTAATCTATTTGTGAATAAATAGGGTTTATTATAAGTAACACCAAACAAACCATAGAAAAAACAAAATTGTAATTAGATATAATTTATTACTTATTTTTTATTTAACTATTGATATGTATAAACCTCATGAATCTGTTAAGTTTCTATCTTAAACAATATTTACATCATTAAAATAGGAATATTTTTGTATATATGCATTTACTTACAGGATTTAAAGCATTTAATTAAGTTTGACTACAATTTAAAAATTAATTATTATTTCTAACACATTTATAGGTATATATAATTTAATTGTTGCGCTATAGGTATACCTAATGTTACAATAACAGGCAACGATTTGCGTCTATATCTATACCTATTTGTGGCACATTTTTCTAATATAGAAACTAATTAGAAAGTCGTTAAAAAATGAGCAAGTTTATTTTAGTTATTTTTACCTACATTATTTGACAATAAAATGACAGACAAAATATTAATAATATACAATAATAGGTACCTATAATTTTATTGAGCAAATAATTTAAGTGGGCACTGCTGTGCCACAATAATAATTATAATGTTGGGTACATTATAATTATCATTGATCACTGAATCATGGAAACTACTGAAGTACGTTATAATAGAGTTATTATTTACAACATCAAGGGCTACCTGTTTAGTATGCAGATAATTGAGTATCTGGACAGGTGTCGCAAAGTAATTGCTAGGGAGGCTTGTCGAAATACCGGTTGGCTGTTTTAATCAGTGAAAATCCGTATGGTCACAATAAAAAAGAGTAGGCTAATTCCTGTTTTATGAAGAGAGATCGTGCTTGAGACCCATATGAAATATTTTTATACTAACTAATATAATTTTTTATTGGCTATATGTTTATTGCTACTTCATGTAGAGCATTTTAACTGAATAAAAGTATTCAGCTTGTAGGTCTAGATTATTAGGTAATACCTAAGGAGGTATTCTACACGAACGATATATTGGATATTCGCTGACAGTTCGGCTGTCACGCGTGATTGTCCTTCACGGACAACGCTTGCACGATACATCTTAGTCTTGCAAGACTGTTCACAGCACAGTTGGTAGTCTCATCTGAAATATAAAATTGTGTTAACATAATTAATTCATTTAATGCCCAGACTCTAGACACTTATGAATGAATGTAAAACTCTTTATTTGTACCCTCAAAAAAAAATTGTATAAATCTCAGGAACTACTGTATCGAATTAAAAAAATATTTTTGTGTTGGATAGTTCATTTGTCAGGGAAGGCTATGATCAATGGAAGCGAAACATCAGTGAAAAATGTTGCTAAAACGAGGAGCAGAGTTCTATCGTAAAGGCATAAATGACCTTCTTATTAGATGACCGCAATGTATAGATAATAATGGCAACTATTTTGATTAAATAAGTTTGTTAAAAATTAAAAAAAAAATACAATTTAGGTTTTCAGTACAAATCGGCAATTTCATACTTTAAAACTTTATTAGTGTAAAGAAAACGATTTATTCGTTGAAAAAAATACTAACAAGACAACAATATTTACTATAGATCTTGTATAGCAAAACTGACACTTAAGCATACGACTTTCCTGATGTTATTATCATAGACTAAGGACACCTGAAATTCTAGTAAGGTTCTATATGATGCGTTGCAGAACAAAATAAAATCAAAAGAAATCTAATTTGAAGACTTATCAAGTAGTAGAATGATCTTTAACTTTACATGCACTATATATGTTACTATACTGTTTAGTGGATTGTAAAATATTGGTAGTTAGTTCTATTATAAAATTAATCGTTATTATTTTTCAGTATGTAAACATGTCTTTGTTCCGAATAAAGATTATTATCAACTTTATGTGTTGTGGCAGCCCTGATGGCTCAAGTGACGCGTGCACCTCCGACGTTGCAAGATTTTCGTTCATGCTCACCAACATCTCTGAATCTATTCTTTGAATTATAGTTTACTACGTTTCTATTGATGCAACTATAATTATATTCTAGCCGTTTCATTATGTTCAACTATTTACTATTTTAGCATAATGGCATGGCTTTGTTGTCGCTATTGGCAGAAACAAGCTAGACTAGTGTGTCCCAGCATGGCGCCCGTACTCCACAGGCGAGCAATTTGACTGTTAAAGGTGGGGTCAATTCAATTGTGTATGTTAGGTGGGGAAGGGAGCGAAATAAGAATATTAGAAAAGCTAAGATTTAGAGCATGGTACAAAAAGGTTTAAAAACATTGAGCTAGACGCTAACATCTTTTAGGTAATATTATGTTATCTGTGGTGCAACCATTTGTGGTGTAACTGTCCGTTTTATTTATAATAAAAAAATTCAGCATTTTGTAGCATTTGTTTGATATATGGCAAATTACAAAGTACGGAGGTGTGTTCTAATTTTTCGGAATAACAACGCATGATGGGTTGGTACCACGGGCGTTTAATGTTCGCTTGAATACTGCTGTTTATATAGGCAATAGTTGCCATTTATCATCAGGCGACCCGTCAGCTTGGTTGCTATTGCAGTTTGGTGAAAAACTGTATCGATACCATGTATGGCAAATTCCTGTGTCTACAATAATTAGCCGACTAGTGCTTAGGGGACCCAATTATTCAGAAATGCTGGCCTTTTGTTCTCACTCGAATGCAGTATTAATTTATGTACTTTAGTTATTCTTATCTGATTATTAAATAATATTAACAATATAATATCCCTGGACAATTCAAGCAGCGCGATGTAATCCTATAATCTAAGCAGAGCTTATATTATACCCATGAACACAAGCTCTGCTTAGATTATAGGATACTAGACAACTAATAAATACACTTAGACACATTTCTTTACATATATGTGCATAATATACTGAAAACAAACAGATCAATATAAGCAATTATAGGTAGGTACTCCTGAATATAAATGTTTGTACAGTGCGAGGAATCAAACCCGCGACCATCGGAAGTAAAGCGCTGTGCTAAACAGCGAGAGCTCCGATACCGTCAATATATGTAATTAAACTTCTTTCTTTTATGAAATTAATATTGTTAATAATACACTATATTTGAGTCCGAAATCGCCGTACAGTTAAAAAACAATTTAACTGAAATTTTACTTCAACATGACAATAATAAAACATGCTTTTTAATGTACAAAAAAGTAAATAAAACAATGCCTTTGTTCAGCAAATTCAGAAAAACAATTTCGGATAATATCTACCACAAAGCTATGAACGATTATCATATCAGTACTCATAAACTACAGGGCATGTCGCTTTAGACGGCTGTAATAAATTTTTCCCTTTCGTCTTCGAGTAAATTTGTTTTATTTCATAAATATTGGCTTTCTTCTTAAGCTAGGGTATTAATAATTAAAAGTAGGGTACTAATAGTTCGCTGCTTGAATTCTTGTTGCAAAATCTACTGTAGTTGGACCTTGCTATACACAAATAAGATTTGTAATTAATTATAGGTACTATTAGTCGCTCAAGATCGAAATTCGACAATAAATTTAACTTATTAGTTTGAACAATATAAAGGTTCTGTTGTCTAAGACTATATATTTATATGCATTTGTGTCAAGTACATGATAATGTGTGTAATGTTTTTTTTTATGCGTAATTAAAAAAATATATTATTCATTTATATTCATTAACAAATATTGTGAATTCTGCACTCCTTCTCTATATAAAGTACCTACAAATGTCCGAAATTTCATACTCGGAGGAGTATGAAATTTCGCACAATCTTCGTAAAGAGGGGTAAAAAGTTTTTGCTTCAGGTATTAATATATTGATACCTAAACAGTTTTGAACGGGACATTCATATCAAATTATTGCAACGATCATACGAACTGATGCTGCGAATCAAGACTACTTTGACGTGGAACGTTTGTGACATGCACGCGCAGAAATAGCTATCTTGACAAGATGGCGGCTTACACGAAATAATAAACATAATTCATGTTCAGGAGTATCGGGTTAAAAGGAACAGCGATATTGATATACCCGTCAGTATACAGAAAACTGCACACAAAATAATAATCTCCGTATTACTCAGTTGCAACTTGATTAAAACAATATACGTATTTAAGAAATATTTTACGAAAATGTAATTTATTAAAATGCTAGCTACTCGGGTGTACATGTATTATATATATATAAACCTGCCTTTTGAATCACTCTATCTGTTAAAAAAAACCGCTTCAAAATCCGTTGCGTAGTTTTAAAGATTTAAGCATACCTAGGGACAGACAGCGACAGCGACTTTATTTTATACCTACTATGTAATAATGATGATGCTCTTGATGATGGTCACTGTATTCATCCTATTGAATTACAATAATAGCCTAAATCATTTGTAATTTTGTTTGTATCAGTCTAGATGATTTCTATGTATATTATGTATATATATATTTACAAAAGAAATGTATTTATATCAGTTCTCCATTACCTATTTTGATTGGGACTAGATGCCACTGTATGATTTGTCCTGAAATATTATATTATATTTTTATGAAAATCAATTATATAATAAACGATATTTTTTAGATTTGGGTTTCATTTTTCTCACATTACTTTATATTATTGTTACGTTGACTCTGAAAAATAAAAGTACCATTATCACGATACGTTTAACGGTAGGAAATAATTGACGAAAAAAGCCTCTGCCTCTGGTTCAAATTATGTCCTCCCTGTCGAAACCTTCTAAGATGGTGAAGTAAGTTGTGAAAATTAGGATGAAAGGTATTAGCGGCTCTGAGTGTAGTATAGTGGGGTAATAACAATGTTAGTATGTTACTATATAATATGAGAAGTAAAAAAAGACGATTTTTTGCCTGTATACTTACAACAGCGGCAGCCCTCAGCGCAGCTTGCAGCCTCTCTATGTGCTGTATAGCTGCTCGAAGTATCTCCAGCTTGGGCAATCGCCCACTGCCCGCACGTGCTCTGATGCGAAGCTCCTCGAAGGCGGCATTTACCTGCATGAGATTACAATTATAGCAGATCGTATCGATTTTTTTTTATAGCAAAGCAGACAAACGAGGCTGCGGCTCACCTGATGTTACGGCGCCCGTGAGCATCTGCAAAACCAGGAGAATTGCAAGAGCGTTGTCGGCCTTTTAAGAAGGAATAAGCTCTTTTCTTGAAGGCTTCAATATCGTATCGGTTCAGAAATACAAGGTGGCCATCAAATGGCAAGTAAAAAAATTTAATCGATAGTTTCAAATATTTTTTTTAAATACTTGAACTTGGTTATTATTTTAATAAATTCATAGTAAACGAACTTACCAGATAGGATGTGAAATGAAATTATACAGAGTGCGAGTATATACTATCCAATTAGTGTCGTTGGCTCCTGAGAATTAAGTTATTCTTCGAACTCTATATATGCATGTATTTTACAATTTTCCATACAATTAGGTATTTTACAATTTGACATTAACGATGACCATGTTATAATATAAGTTTGTATACTGATCCAGATCTACTACACCTGACTAGTGAAAAAGATCAATATCAAAAGGGAACCGCAAAAAAACGATACATAAAATAAATTGACCAATTAGTCATTTTATATAAGAGTCAAAATATTTTTGTTTATTCTAACAAAATAATATTATTTTGTTAGAATAAACAACCGGCATGAAAATATAAATCTTGGAATCGTGTCGGTGGATGCAAATGATCCGTGGCTAATAAGCACAGCATCCGTTGCTTTAGGCGTTTTACACACCAGATCGTATCGTATTTTTAATAGCTATTTTTATACTGGCAATTTTAGGGTTACGTTAAATCATTCAAGAATAATTTTAAAAATAGATTAAAGTTCAAAAACAGCTTTGTACGTAAATAACGTATGTACGGGCATGGCCCTTATTCAAGAACAGGTAATAGATAAAAAAATATCTGTTACAGCGCGAATCATTATGATGAACCAAATGTTAAGAACTATATGTATTTGGTATATGTAAAAGAAAATAGTATATATAATAAAAACTAGTTCTTTTGAATAAGAACAATACTGGATTGCTATTCATGTTGGTAAAAATTGCAGTATTTCTTTTATTAATGCATAGTTATGTATCTACTGTAACTGAAATAACTGAATAAACACTTTAAACAGAAAATATGGAAGAAACAATTACAAACGAAGTTATTATTATTAATATTAAACGTAGTTTTTTATATTTATATATATTATCATATAAACGTAGGTAGATATTAATATAAAATTCTCATGTGACAGTGTTTGTAACTAAACTCCTCTGAAACAGCTTGACGATTCTTATAAAGTTTTGTGTGTATATTCAGTAGGTCTGACAATAAAACGTAAAGTATTTTTCATAACCCTAGGTTAAAGAATAGTACATCTCCATTTTTCTATATTATTGTATATTTTATTTTTATGATTCGACATTAATAAATTTTTAGGCATTTTACTATCAACCCCTATTTTTAATGGTGAAATTAATTTATATGACAAAACAACGTTTACGAGGTCTGCCAGTTTTAAAATGCAGCAAGTAGCTATTATTTTGTAATATTTCTATTTATAACAATATTTTTTTTTATTACTGTAGGTTTTGTGCACATTCCAATTAAGTGCAACAAAAAATATATAAAGCAATTACTCATCTACTTTACATCAAAGAGTTTTAGAGGCCAACACAATGATTTAGGGTCCCTACATACAGTGCGACAGCGGCCTAACATCATTATAGCGACACAAAGACACGATCCGCGACAGATTTATCGCCGACCAATCACAATATTTAACGCCACTACAAAACGGTACAAGCATTTAAAAATAAAAATAAATTGTAGCGTCTTTGAGTGCGGCTGTAAATTTGTTTTTATGTGAAATTAAGATGTCCGTCGTATATTCAAATGTTTATTGACGGTGTGTTTCTATTTTTATTGGTAGGGTAGCTGCGGGCGGACGGCGTGCGACGAGAAACCCGCGAAAATGATAGTTTTGTAAATAAGTTTAATTTTTAAAACTAAATATTTTATTCTTTCTGTGTTTTACCGAATATACAACGGACTGTGAAGAAGAATTCTGAAGAAATGTTCGAGTTGATGCCTACAGCTACCTTTTAAGCTTTTTTAAGGGTATATTAAGGTTTAAATATGTACTTGTAACGTGTAGAACCAAGTCATAAAGTACCCAGACGAATACAAACAATGATACTCATTAAGACAAATATTTGTAGCGTGCGAGGAATAAATCCCGCGACCACTAGAAGTAAAGCGGCGTGCGAAACCACTAGGCCATCGAGGTAGTCGTCTGTCGTATCAGTTATTGTGAATTATCGACATTGCGCTGAACGTAACACTCGTATTGCCTACATTTCCCATTCCATCTCAGTATCAGTAAATCGTACGCGTGCGTGCAGCCTTACCTACCTAAGTGATTACTTGCTCAATATGCTTAAGTATATTGGAACTTAATCCACATACACTTATGTTATATAGTAGATTTTTCAAAATTCTATCATTACAGGGTACTAATTACCAATATTGCAATACATGGCGAAACAGAAGACCCTATTATACTGTAATTTGCTCCATATTCCTAAGCATATTGGGCCTTAATACATATGCACTTATGTTGCGTTGTAGTTTTTGGAAAAATCTATCATAACAGTGTACTTTTTACAGATAATGCGAAACAGAAGACTCTATTACGAGTAATGTGTTCACACAATAAAATTACGACATAGATATTATTCAGTATTCGTTTTATATCTATACCTTGTGTTTCTAGTCACCCAAGTGCGATAGCAATAGTTTCAGTTGAAATTTTGCCGTTAATATTTATTTCCGCTCTACTCTGCTTACTCTATTAGATATTGCAGTAAATAGTTAAGAATACGAATAGTAGCTGTATTGTGGTACATGCGCAGTACAATAATAAACAGGACCTGCTTCTTGGTCTTAATTGATCTGAATAATGTGGCAACTCTTGTGAACGCTATTAAAATAAGCAGTTTAATGGTGATATACTTTCGTCACAGATAAAATATAATGTTTAGTATAACTCGTCTGGGTGGTCCTGGTAGATATTGTACAAAACGTCTGTGTTAATACTTCTCTCGCCTATTTCAGTCGCCAAACAGATATTTGTAACATGTGTTCCGGTTTCGCTTGACGGAAGAAATAAAATAGTGAAATTGTAGTCTACGAAGGTATAGGCAGTTCTCCAGAGTGGCAGCACGTTAGAGGTGGCACGGGGACATAACCATAAAGTGATCATGTATATAGGCAGCGGTTACACTTACTATCGAGCGGGCCGTCAGATTGTTTGCAGATCATTAGATATTATTACATAGTATAAAACAAAGTCGCTGTCGCTGTCTGGCCGTCCCTATGTGTGCTTAAATCTTTAAAACTACGCAACGGATTTTGGAGCGGTTTTTTTAATAGATAGAGTGATTCAAGAGGAAGGTTTATATATATAATACATGTACACCCGTGCGAAGCCGTGGGCGAGTAGCTAGTGAAACATATAATAATGATAACCCAGGATAATGCGCATAACGGCATCAAACACCAAGCTAAGCAGAGCTTGTATTATGAGTACTAGACAACTGTTACTTAGATACATTTTTTTTTAAATACATACATAATTTATGTATTGCGTCTATTTCTTCCTTGGTGCGTGCATTGGTATTATACTGTAATACTCACCGAGAGCATATAAATTTATAAATAAATCTGGATGTTTTCTACGTATATTCCATAAAAAACATCCAGCTCTATATAAAGAATCATACTCATGAATAATGTCTGTACTGTTCAAGGAATCGAACCCGCGACCATCGGAAGTAAAGCGCGGAGTACGAAATCGCTGGACCACCGAGGCCATCATATCTGCAGCGTCATAACACTAACTTACTACACGTATTTTTGGATATGTACTACACGCAGTATGTATGGATGTATGAATATGTCTACATATGTTTCATTCAAAATTTTATTTTTAATGTCCCATTACATGGTGGTTATTTTTGTGTAACAAAATATATAATACGAGTTATTACTAAAATACATAAGCACAAGAGACATCATCATCATCTCCAAAAAGTCTACTCGAGTTGCCATCAAGTAGTTATCTTAATTTCTACTGTTTTGGACAGTAGAAATATAGGTTGTTGTTGTTGTTATTAAAGTTACATTTAGGTACTTAATTCCAATATTATATATATAATCGACCGTAATTTTGTGTACAGATAATTTTAGTAAAACTATATAAATCATAAGCCATAGAACACGTAAATATGTAAGTTAAAATAAATTACTAACAAAAATATAGCCAATTTTCAATATAAACACCTCGCCGTAATGAAATTGCTTTAATTCCAAACTCTTCGATGTCATATTGATTTTTCCATGAGCGGCGTCAAGTTAAATGAACTGAGTTAGAAATAAAACGGCTCGTGGAGTTAATAGCGTTTAAAGTGGGCTTTTTGTGGACGACCGGTCCCACGGGACGACGGTGTCACAACAAATTAACGGCAGAGTGGCGCATCACTAGCTGTCGGCAGGGTTGTCACCATTTAAACTGAATTCAAAACTTAAACAAGTGAATATTTTGTATAGATGATAATGGAATGTACGTGTATGCAGCGGCTAATGGTTTACGCTGGCGAGGCACCAGTGGAGGATGAGAAGATGCGTATGAGGTCAGAGGAGATGAGATCAGGTCAGTTAGTCCATCGTGACAAATTATCTTTATTGCTTATCACGATGTCTTCCAGGTGGAAGTCATACGGACGTGGTCCATTGACAGGTGAAATCTAATGAGAAATTTACAGAACTGATCATATTACATTAATCACTTAACGGCACGGTTTATAAAAAAAACTTTATAATAAATGTTTTCTTCTATTCAGTTGAATGTTGAATGTATATTAAGTACCAATTTCATTTATAAAAAGACTATTCATAATTTATTAATTGTACTTAGTTATATTCAAACTGAAATCCATAATAATTGTACTTAGCTCTATTCTAACTGAAATCCACATCGCTACTGAAAGGACCGACTTCCTTAATTCATAAAAACGTCAAACGTCTAAATATATTTTAGCTATTGAACTGTTTTGGTATTTTCCTTTCAGTTATTTTCCTATATTAAAAGAAGAAGTTTATATTAAAATATTTTATTATTAATCCTTTGTAAATTAATATTTATATTCAAGTTAGTGACAACCCTGAAGAAATGTCACACATGGGAGTGATTTCAAAGTTCACGTAATTAATTCCAGTATCGATACAGAACGCAGTGGAAAGCTCACTTCCATATTTATAGATATTATATACTGCAGGAACATTGCTTTCACATATTATTTAAGTTGTAAAAAAACAATTCCTTGTATGGTACAAGTTTTATTGAGGACATACAGATCAAAGGATATACTTATATATATATAAATTACCCGTGCGAGACCTAGTGGGCTGCTAGTTTGTTTAAGAAAACAACTAGTATCATTCTTGATAATTAATTCATAAATAAATCTGCATTCCGAATACGCGGTACAATAAAAAAAGTCTAATCAAAAGTGCTTCCTCCCTTATTCATTATTAGGTTCCCGATAATTAGATAGTGTTACAACTACCATGACAAATATTGAGAACTCAATAACAATGAAATGAACGTAAGAGGGGGGAAAGGGGATTGTTTTTTTTTCTTGAGGGATGATAATGGAATGGTGCACCCGCCTGCGCTAACGGTTTACGCTGTCGGGGCACCAGTGGAGGAAGATAAGATGAGCATGAGGTCAGGTCAGTAAGCCCATCGTGGCGAATTGATTAAAATAGTTACCAGAGGGACCGCGTGGAGGTCGACCTGACATGGTACATTGCTAGCAATGGGGTTATCAATCCACATTACTAACAATCCCCTTCCCCCCAAAGGGGATTGTTAGTAATGTGAACTGATGATCTTATTGTCAGCAATGTACAATGTACCATTGTGATAAATTATTGACGAATTGGTCACGATGGGCTAACTGACCTGACCTCATCTTCATCTTATTATCCTCCACTCGTGCCAGCGTAAACCGTTAGCGTAGGCGGGTGCACCATTTTATTATCCACCATCAAAAAAATGTGGTAAGATTACATTATTTCCTAAATACTACAATAGAATCGAACAGAAACTACACGTAAATATGTATGTTTCCTATTCTATTCTACTCTAGTTTCTATTCTAAACTTAAATAAAACCTTCACGCATACTACACTTGTTTACAGTAAAGGCAATAACATTTTTTGATCCGCCTTCGATTCTAAACTAATCTCGTAATCCCGCATACGTGACACACCGACGGACTACACTTTATTTATATTAAATCTGGAGACATCTCGTCACAAGAGATTAAAGAGTTAAACTTAGTAGGCGTCGTGAATTATTTAAAATGTCTTTTCAAATTTCCTTGTAAATAAATTCTAGTGCTGCGTATTTATAAGAGATTAGATCTTACCGCGACTTTATTTAAAATGCCTGTGTATCTCGTGGTACAATGTACTTTACGACGTTTATATGTGATAGATAACAGAGAGACAGTCCTATTTCGCATTTATAATGTTAATATGAATTACTGGCTGGAGCCGCGGTTTCACCCAACAAAAATATAGCCATAAAAAAAGGGCTATATTTTTTATGAAATTAAACGCGAGCATATGGAAATATAATTATGCTGCATGAGGTTATTTATTTATTTATTGTAAAGATTTATCAAAATCCGTTCAGTAGTCTTTGTGTGAAAGAGTAACAAACTTTCGCGTTTACAAATTTAATATATTAAGATTTTGGCCGGTGCAGCTATATACAACGGTCAATCATTAGAATAGTTACAAAAAAACAATGTACTAGGTATGTATTTCATCTATTATTTATTAATATTTGACTATATTAAATAACGTCATAAGTGTTCATATAAGAAATTAAGAATTCAAAAAAGCATACCACAAAAAACTGGAATCACAAACATAAATAACAGTAAATACTTAAACGTAAACACAACACATAAATGTACCAGCAGTCCACCTGAGTGTGGATTATAATATTTTCAGCAGTCACTGACCTCGAATGAATTAAAATTGTTTAGTTTCCCACTTTCAGAATCACTGAATAACGTAATAATTTGATGAAACTCATTGTTTTGTTTACATAATATTTGTTGTGCCAGATAACAGTAATGCCTAAAGATGTTATTTATTCTCGCATGATAATTGTAAAGATCGTGCCCAGTGGCGTGCCTCGGTAGAGGTCTATGTCCAGTAGTGAACTAAAGTGGGCTTATTATGATGATGATGACAATAATGGTTCTCGCATAATATATATTTTTGGGATGAACTAAAGCTTTACATAAATACAATAATATAGCTCTTTAAGACTATATATCTTCTTAATAATTAAAGATTTTTCGCAATAATTAAAGATCAATAAAAATCTACTAGTTACTTACATATGTACATCAATTTAAAAACATAGTGATTACTGACTCTACTGACTCTACTAATACTTTTGCCAAAATTCTAAAAGTGTTTTTTTTATGGTTTTTGGGCTAATGTCAGGTACTAGACTAGACCTGTAGCACTGCGGTCTATGTAGAACTATTGTGCTCGCCCTTTAAGTTACGGGTAAATATGTTTATGAATCATAAAATAACACTTAATAGCAGAAAAGCTTGCTGCTATTGATTCTTTTTAATTGATGACGATAATGCGATGTTGCCGCCTACTGGTATTAGTGGAATCTGATAGTGTACGAATGTAATGTTAGTCTGGTAAATTGGCCCTTCGAAACAAACGCTACTACTACGGCTTAAAACTTCCCGCTACTAACAGTTCGCTGTTTTACCTTTGTATATATTTTAATGGACGATTCTGATATGAAACGATAGGTTATCCAGTATAGTTTTAAGGGGAGACTGTGAACATATTTATCGGTAGTATTTTTATATCATCCCGCAACTTTTTATTTTTATTGACATGAATAACAGTTCGCTGTTTTACCTTTGTATATATTTTAATGGACGACTCTGATATGAAACGATAGGTTATCCAGTATAGTTTTAAGGGGAGACTGTGTGGACGTAGATCTGAATTGTCTTTCAGCATTTTACTAATAAAAATTACAAAAACAATATATGTATTTTATATATGAAGGAAAATGTAATGCAGGCATTAATTTTCTTTTAAATATTATTCATTTAATGTTTTTCTAGACAACCAATTATGTCGAAACAAAAGCATAGGTAGGTAGATATACATACAAAAACGTTGAAAACCTATTCTTGGTTTTGAATAAACTTTCAAATTACCTTCCTGTAACTTGATAAAATATTTAAGCGGTAGGTCCCCAGCATCGATTGGGTAAAGTTGGAGCCAAATTGGTTGATGAAAAATTTAACAGGAAAAACGCACTTTTCGTAGCCGTCGGCGTTCCCGCAACGTCGCCGCTTTCCGCCGGTCGACAGCTGCCGTTTTCCGCTTACATGCTTTGCAAGCCCAAGCTAAACATCGCCGACTTGGTCCCAAAACATGTTGCACGTGGTCTTCCTCTTTCGCGCCATTTTCACCGCCATTTTGAGTTTCAACGTTTTTTGCCTCATTTTTCACTTGGCAACACTGTTCCGATTTTTGGCTCGCTTTTTGAAAATCGAACTCTTTATAATTATAATCATAGGCACTGTAGCTCATTTTATAACTGCACGAAAACTGTCAATAAAGTGCACAAATTTTGAAACTAAGTGTTTAAAAATTTTGTTTTTTTTCGGGCGTTCGTCGCCGCGACACACGCGACACTGCTTAGTCGAGGGTGGACTCGAGATTTGAGAAAATATATGCTATTAATAAACAGTCTAGCCAACGTTGAGAGATGCCAATTTATTACTGTTTAGATTGAAATTGATGCTGGCAATATTTTTCCGTTAAATTTGTTACGTTGAAAGCGGGGACATTTTTATTCGTAGCTCGTTTTCATGTTGTGAATCGATATTTAATGTGCCATTTCATTTGAAATAGTACTGTAGGTGTTACAATGTATAAATCATCTTAATTGACATGCTCATAATATAGACAAACTATAAAAAATGCCAACTTAGGCAGATTTAGATTACGAACAGAAATAACTATCGTGACTGTTAATGAAAAGAGTTTGTTACGAACCTTCAGTTTGCTATCAATAATTAGTATTTGTGTAACAATTAACAAAATATTACAAAGATTTCGATTAGAAATTAGGTACTTACATTGTATTGAATCGAAAATCCAATTAACACTCTTAACATAATTTAAGATTTTTTTAAGACTTCAATAAATCTAAAGTCATACCGAATAATTAATGGGAATAATACAGAAACGCAAAACAGTAAAAGATTGATGGAAATCGACACAAGATTGGTAATTGGGGTGCCAAATATATATTCCTTCCTCAATCTTCTTTTGAAGTTGGTAGATCATGATAATGTTCACCATTAGCTTAACAGGTATTGAAATGTCTGATCTACGTCACAGATTGAGATTCAGCAAAAATAATAGGAAATGGCAAATTAGAACACCCTATGTCTCAGTCTCAGTCTTCTGAATGATACATTTCATAAGACAGTGACGTCATTTGCCGCTATATGCGTAGTTTTTTTCTTCGTAATCTATTGCTAACACCAATTAGTGCGGGAGAGAGAGAATTTTAGTATTAAGACTACGTGTCCCTTATACAATATATACTACCATGTAATTTTTATACAATAATTAATTAATCTTGATGTAATTTTGTCCATAGGATAAGGCAACTAATGTCAACGGGGGGAAAGGCGATTGTTAGTAATGTGGGCTGATATCTCATTGCTAGCAATGTACCATGTTTTCCATGGAAACCATCGTGATAAATTCTTGTTGAATTTGTCATGATGGGCCTGACCTGACCTCACGCTTATCTTATCATCCTCCACTGGTGCCCCGCCAGCGTAAACCGTTAGCGCAGGCGGGTACACCATTCCATTATCAACCATTAAAAAAAAAACTAATGTCAACGTTTTACACTAGTCAGACTTTTTTTATACAAGTTTATTTTAGAATTGCACGTAACTGAAAAACTCAATTTTGCCAAGATAAAGACGTATGTTTACTAATTAAACTTTGAAAAATGGGAAAGACAACGCAATTATAATAAATTTTCAGAATAAAAAGAAACTTACCATCGAGTGTGGCGTCAGCTTGCTTCCTATTTCAATAACAATCATTATAGTTTTATTTGTTAAAGTTTTTCGGTACATTACATAGGTAGGTATATGATGTTATTGAAAACATGGCCCTTGCAAAATCTGCGTATATCAAGCTTATATATCTTTAAGTTTTAAATTACTGATTGTATATATATAATTTTTGTTTTTATATCATATATATATATTTGTCAATTTGTATGTATATCTAAATGTTCTCAGATATCAATTATCACTTTAGTTTTCTATAAACTCTTTAATTGAATAAAAACACATTGTAAATCAATCATGCAGTTTTCTTCTAAATAATATTCCTGAGAGAGTTTGTATGTTAACAGGAAGCTTATAAAGCAAATAAAAAACTTCATACGTCTATATTACATTGCGATATAATTCCTCGCACGGTACAATCATTTGTATTCATGAATATGATTGTTTGTATCGGTCTTCGATCTTGTTTGGTCGGTGTTTTCTATGTATATTATGTATCTATGTAAAAAATCTGGATATTTATGGAATATTAGTTGTCCAGTAGCTATAACACAAGCCCTGATTACCGTGAGACTAGATGGCACGGTGTTAATTTATTTATAATTTTTTTGAAATGTATTAATTAATCAGAGTAGAATGTGAATTCAGATGTAGGTATTCGTTTTCAAGTCGGTTGTTTAGATACGTAAGTTCGTACAACTGGCAGTTCGCCGCGCATTATATAACGACCATGATCATTAGGGACGCCATATTTAAGCAAACCTTATCAAAATTGCTCCAACGGATGACACATAAAGTTACGAAAGTTTGTACCGACTTACAAAAAGAGGTTTCATGTACATATACGTTATGCTGGCCGTGTGACTAAATAAGTAAATGTCTGTAAGTATTAAGCTACTGCTAAGCTACTAGTAATAAGTATCTGCATGAATAAATTCATTTTATAATTAAGTTTAGAAGGCAACATATCCTTAAAAGTAGCATCACCGATCTCGGTTAAAATATACCAACCATATCCCATACCAGCATGATCTGACAGGATTCGAACCTGTATCTCTCACGTACTTTTTGTTGGATAAATAAACAAAGGATTAATATTTTCGGTAATCTCGTCAAAAGATGAGTATTATAAGTTTGACTTGTCTATATGTCTATGGCATTGTGAAGGTCCTAAACGAATCAACCGATTATGATGCGTTATTTTTTGTTTAAACAGCTGACGTGAACGAGATGGTAGTTAACTATGATTTATTTTTTGATTAGGGGTTACTAGGGGGCTACATTTTCTTACTTTATAATAATGTATATAATAAAAAAAATAATGTGCTATTGTAATAAAATCATAGTTACACAATTTTTACAGCGTGACAAATAGTAACGTGACAGCAACATGGCGTCACAGCACTGGGATGGAGTGGAGGGGCGCGCGCGCGCGGTGCGACTCTATGTAGGTGGAGGGATGCTGGCCGGCACACAGCATTGCGTTGAGTCGCCGTATAAAAAAATATTGGGTTTTCTGACGTCATTGAGAAAATTTGCAGGTTTTTGTTATTAGAAAATAGTAACCACCATTGTAACCGAAAACAATTTTACACTAATCGTAATGCCGGATAATGTATATTGTATTTATATTAACAAAGTTTATAAGTATTGTTAGCCTATACGAAATGGATAGACAGACTGTTTGGCATATAAAATCTCGTCAGTGGTCATAAGAAGTCACATGCATCATGCGCACTATACTATAAAAAAACGTACCAATCATGTTTCAGAAATAAAAAAAAATGTCAAAGAATGAATATTTTTTAATATTATTTTATACATATCTAAGATTACTAAAGCCGATAACTTATTTAATGAACTTAAATTAACGGTTATAAGAAATTTACTCGTTTTTTTTTTCTATTTCACCGATATTTTTGATACATCGAAAAAAAAGAAAGATATTTCTAATTTCTACTTACTATTATACTTCAAACAGGCCAACTACATCTGTGTTCATTGTAAAAAAAACAAGAACTGCCGACTCTACGCATGCCTATAGCCCCGAACACAACATCCCCCGTTGATTGGGGTGTGATCCGCAACAAGGACATCTGCGCCATTAAATTAACAATATACGATAACCGTGGAAAACAAAACTATTAAAATATAAGAAAATCTACGTGAAAAACACAATACCTTTGATGTGACGTGGAACAACAGCAGAAAACCAAAACAGTGGGTCACATTCCTCGATGGATCAGTTGTAGGTAAGTGTACATAACGATTTTTCGTGTTCTTATTTTAAAAACTGTTCTATTTTTGAAAATGCTAACCTTTTATATAACTAAATTAAAAAGTTAATAGACATTCCTTTTAATTTTGCTGCATTAAAACCTCCTTTCACAATTTTAAATAGAAAACATATTTAAGGTTGTACTTACTAGTATATACTTACGTCCGAAAATAAATGTTCTTAATTCAAAATGTCCACATGGATAGAAAAAACTAGACTATTCTTATTTTTTTTTTATCGTTTGTGATAAAAATACCTAAAACTGAGTTATGACCTAATTTTAGGATGTCACCTACCTAGATATGACCTAGGTCGCATCTGTACGCTAGATATTATTACACGGTTACCTACTTAGAATTTATCTCAGCGATATTGTACTTAGAGCCATTTTAGTTTGGAATTTTAAGAGTGATTCTTTGATGGTGTAACACTAAATATTCGAATTAGAATCAGTGCTTAAGTGTAATATTAATTATTCTTCAAAGTATCGAAATAGACGAATCCTCTCTACTTAGTATTCTACCAACATTAAATTTCATTGCGCAACTTTAATACTAAGAAAGGTGCGACCCTTTTCATTAGTAGTATTAATATGTATCGTTTTGTGTAATATCTTCAATTTTAAATGCAACTAAAGAATGTCGATACTTTCTGCTGTCTACAGGTATGTATATAATATTATATTAATTTAAATATGTCAATAAATATTAATATAAAAGCATAAAAATGAAAGTCCGCCCAAAAAAAAAATTGTCGCAAAACAGCTTTGAAACTACAGTTCGGTTGAAGAGTGATATGTGACAGTGCATTTACAAGCATAAATTTTTAATACTTCAGAATGGCAACGCATGAAGGGAAACACAGGTTTCACATGATGACTTTTCCGAACTGTACTGATGCTGTTGGGCTTTACAGCTTCACCGAACGATAGGGCAGGTTTGTACCCTTCTGCACGATAGACGGCGAGTGGCAAATGGCACTCTAAACAAACGGGAGGACTTTTGGAACAGCTGTAGGACAACTCCAGCTTGATGGTTGGACGATGGACGATGATGGACGAATGTACCTATGTTACGCTCTTTATGTGTATAGAATGGTTACGACTTACCATGTTACCGTCAGATTGATTGTCAGTAGGTATTGTTGCATAGAAAAAAAAGGATTTTTTCTGTGTCTACAGGTAATGAAACGTGCGTAAATGGAGGGCCTCGTTAGCGCTGATGACCTCGATATGGATCCTATATTGATTCTAGGTCCGCCAGACACCGCCTGATTTAGGTATGTATATATAGTTTGCGTTGCACTTTTGCTTCTTGTTGATACTTCGTTTTGTTAGTATTTCTATTGATGACCCCGGCGGTCTTATGGTTAAACCACACACCGTTTTACTTCCGATGGTCGTAGATTCAATTCTTCCCACGCTACAAACATTTGTATCCATGAGTAGGATTGTTTGTATTTGTCTATACGGTTTCTAAGTATGTATGCATTTACAAAAAAAAAAAAGTATTTCTATCCGTTGTCTAGTACCCATAACACAAGCTCTCCTTAGCTTGAGATGAGATATCGCTGTGTGAATTGTCCACGGTTATTGTTATTATTATTATCAGAGATACAATCAAATATAAAAATTTACACAAAATATTTTTATGTATCTAACAGATTAACAAGTCTAAGTCGGTGTTGTAATCCACTAGTTCTACGATGCTTAATAATCATGTTAAAATTATAGTACAAAAAGGATCGATTTATTTTCCGCTATTATGTTAAATTGTGTTTAAAAAAGTTTAAATATAATTTATAACTGAAATTGTATTTTGTTGGTAAATTCGTTTAATCCGAGCAATTAAAAGTTGACGGAAACTGCTGATCCATCGTTCCCAATTTAATTTCCATTGACTTTAATAAAAGAATAACGGTTTAAATACCGATAAAAACCGTATAGACAATAATTTTATGGACTCTCATTCCTTCATTTTTTATGAAGATACTGCAAACTATTACTTAAAACCCGTTTAAGTGAAATAGAAAAAACATCTAATCATATGAAAATTTTTAATTTGTCTGAAAGTTACATAAATTTTAGAATTTTGCAACTGTTACCTTAGAAGGTTTTATGATTAAGTAGCCAGTTGAATTGAATTGTACAGTCAAAAACATTAATAAAATGGACATGCTATGTATTGCTAATGTCAGGAACTATTGATACGATTTTAAAACATTTTTTAGCGTTGGATAACTCATTTATCGAAAAGTTTATAGGTTACGTAACAACACGCAACGATCTATAGGAGCGGAGCGTCCATAAAAATTATTACAAAAATGAGAAAAATAATGTCCTGTACGAGCTTCTGATGCAATTGCACGTATCAGTTACTGTCATAGATAAATAAACGGTATTGAATTTGATTTAATAAAATTTCAACTGTTTGACTTTTTATTAGGAATGTTTAATGTAATACAGTCACAATAAAGTATGTGATTATTGTCACACTCTTAGTACATATTCTGTACTGAACTTTGAAATAAACTTAATTATAGACAAAGTGAGCAAAGGTGGACTTACCTTTAAAAGAGATCTCTACCAGTCAATCTAACACAGCATGGCATAGCTAGTAGTGAGTGACACTATCCCAACAAAATAATTATTGAAATGTCCTAATTTAATAATAATCATTTGATACTGAACAAATATATATATGTTTTGTTTCGCTCACATTTAGTGCGGCGGCGCGGTGTGCGAGCGAGCTAGACGCGATGCACCCAACGGCCAGGTGACGCTGTCGCCTACACCCGCGGAACATGTCATGGGACTCTATAGAGTCGCGCGACTTCCTCGGGTCAGTTAATATTTATTAATATATTTAATATTTATTCAAATTTTCTACAATAGATACTATCAGGTGGTTTGGAATAGCAAATATTTCTCTATTAAGGTGTCCCTACATTTGTAATATTCCTGTCAACACTTGAGACCCTTCCATTAGTTTACGTCTCCACTAACATAGATTTTCAAGTTCAATGTAAATAAGTCTACGTCCCGACTCCGCGTCGAATGTACGCGTAAATAATACGCCATGTAGCACATTATCAAATAAACTTACTAATGTACAATAAATAGTACACTTACCAGTATACTCACTACCCATATACGACAATAACACTCTTATTTTTTATTACAATATATTATGTAGCGAAACCTAATCACATCATATATAATGCTACAGTGGTGAGGTGATAACTACCGCGCTACACACTATATAAATATACTAAACTTATTAAATCTCGTATAACAGCTAATATTATTACTGCGAAATATGATTATTATTTTATATAATATTTTTATTACAGCGGGGTGCCGGCTCACCAGTTGTCGGCGACGCGACTGCTCAGCTCACCTGACCCGTCGCGACACCATATAGATGAGCAGCCAGGTTATTCTCACAACATAAGTCTTCCATTACCTACTCAGTTACACATTCCACATCACATTTTACAATCTCTTATGCTGTCGCCTTCGGAAGTGAATTATCCATGATATTAAATTTAATTTCCTATCATAATAAAATGGTATGTTTTTTCCAAAAAAATTAAACTACGCTTGAAATGCAATGTTAAAAATTAATATCATGGCAGTATTAAAGTAACGAAGAAATGCATTAAGTAAGTAATACTCTATTTATCCAAATAGCAAGTTACAGAGTTCAAGCAAATAGTTTGAAAATGTCATAACTTTGGTGTAATAATTGTTTACATATTTATTTTAAACATTCATTGCGAATTCCATTTGAGCCACTTCATTTCATTTCAAGTTCGTCAAAATAACTATTTAAGAATTATATCACTTAAATTCAAACACATCAAATCTACAACTCGAATTCTGACTTACACTTTTCCAGAAGTTTACCCATTCTCTGAGGATTACACAGGGGGAGACCTGCGCAATGGGGCTCTACGGTGGGGCTCCAGATTTGGACCAGCTCACCGCCCTCCCACCGCTGGGTTGCTTGACTGTTTCCGTGCTTGCCGATCCAGGCTGGACCAGTATCTAGCCAGAAGAAAGGTAGAGCAGATATATTTAGTATTCTGTATAATATTAATTTGACGGCCGCGGTGGTATACCGGTTTAGCACACCGCTTTACTTCCGATGGTCGATTCCTTGAACGGTACAAACATTTGTATTCATGAGTATGACTGTTTGTATCGACTTGGGTTTTTTCTATGTATATTGTGTATGTATTTAAATCTAAGTATTTATATAAGTTGTCTTGTACCCATAACACAAGCATTGCTTACTTTGGGACGAGATGACGTTGTGTGAACTGTCCAGGGGTATTATTATTATTAAATGATGTATTCTTCGCCACAAGTTCCTTAACATTTTCTTCGATTATGGCAATGTATGAACTGTTTAGTACGGAATGAATATTCATTAAGCCTTATATAGGGTTAGTCAGAAAGGAAAATGAACAACTTGCGTTCTACAACTTTTCCTGGAACCATATCTCAATAATGACGACAACTAAGATTTAAATGTCTACATAGTTTTTTGATACTATTTATTGTATACAAACGTTCACACAAGCACATTTCATTAAAATCCACAACGAAAAGGTACGCAGATTTTTAACTCATAGATTAGTGATAAATGAAGTCAATGTTGATAGTGTTGCAGACAAACAAACTTATTCTTTCCAATTAAATTATCTAATGCAAGGACTTTAGAAGTTGAAAGAGTATGACGTGAAACAGATCGATCGTGGAGTAAGACTCTACGGTCAGAATGAACAACGGCTAGCAGTGAAGATATGGCTGTCCGCCCTCCGTGGCATCCGACATCGTACGGACAAGTTCACGCTGCTTGGACACTTGTACCAGGCGTACATGGATTTTGGGAAGTACAGGCAAGTATATATTTATAAAGGTTTTTTTTTAATTTGGCTATCTGCAATCAGTATGGATACTATTATATAAGCAGGTGAGTTGTTGGAAATTGGCGTGGTAGGATTTCTATCCATTGACAAAGTCTATATATATTTTTAAAGGTAGATTTAGCCACACATTACAACCATAGTGTCGACGTTGTGAATTGTGAAAAGTCATCTGTTTTGATCCTCTTCTATTTCACAAGTTTCTACCGTCAAATGGCTTGCTTTTTGAAGCTTCTGTTGAAAAGCAAGGAGATTGATCAATGATTATTGAATTACTGGGTACGAAGGCATAATATTTTAGTATTCCTAGTGATTTTCATATTAAAGGACATTGCTTATTGCAAACAGCGTTCTAATATCTTTTACAGCGGTGATAGATATATTATTTATACTTTTAATTGCTGTGGGGTAAAGGAAATTAAGGACTTTAATCAATTAATATATAATACATTAATATTTGTTTCTATTAACACAGAGAATCTCTGGAGTTCGCCAATCGTCAGCTTGGTATATCCGAGGAGTTAGACTCGGCACCAATGCGGGCGGAGGCATATCTGAATTTGGCGCGTGCTCACCAAACCTTGGGTGGTCTAGACAGGTCAGTATAATTAATTATATGAATTAAATATTTAAAAATAATGAAAAGTTTCCTTATTTATTAGCGATCATTTTCAATTCATCATAACGTAGTCCTGGTAGCTTCATATTGTATCTTAAGTATTAGTAAATATATTTTATATAATATATATACATGTATATAGCATGATAGCTCTGACTATTCTATCTGTACTAATAGTCGTAAAAGTATTTCAATCTGTACATAATACAAAATGAAGTCGCTTAGACCTTTTAAATAACACAACGGATTTTTAGCAATAGATAGAGTGATTCAAGAGTAAGGTTTATTATATGTATAACTAGCAGTACCCGCGACTTCGTCCGCGTGGAATTTAACTTTATTTTTCTAAAATAAAAGTGCCTAAGTTACTTCTTATTACATCAGCTACCTGCCAATAAAAGTCCCGTCAAAATCGGTCCAGCCATTTTAGAGATTAGCCGGAACAAACAGACAGACAAAAAATGTTATTTTGGTGGATATACCGCATTTATATTCATATTCATGTAGTAAAAAACGCTTATTTCAATATTACAAACAGACACTCCAATTTTATTTATATGTATAGATACATGTACGATGCTATGCCGGGGCGAGTAGCTAATAGCACAGATAACATACATAATATTACATACTAATAGTATATAAATAATCATTACCACCGAAGTCACAGTGGTTGGCTGATTGAAACTGAAAGAGATTTCTTTCAGAGATAAGACCACTGACAGTCAATGAAACCAGCGGACTGTGATTAATATGTATAATATGAAAACTATTATATATGATAGAAGATAAAAGTATATAAAATTAGATTAGAATGGTAAGATTATTAAGTAAGTGGTAAGTATCGGAGCCGGTCGGACAAGAAGTGGCAAGTACGGTAGCGGTGCGTTGGGTGCGTAGACAACCTTGCTCACAATAAACCTAAAATGGTCTACCATTTTTAATATTCATCTACTATTTGTACTGTGAGTTACTTTTATTATAAATCATAATTGTTTTTCCTTAGGGCTCTGTCGTATGCTCGCCATGCTCTCTATAATGATTGCGGTGGTGGTTCAACGGCAGGCTGCGTTCACCTCACAGTAGCGGCCGTGAGCTTGGAGTTGGGGGCGTTTTCCAAAGCGATGGACGGGTTTCAAAAGGCGTTGGCGGTTGCACAGGGTCAGAACGATAACACGTTGTTGCTTCAGGTACGGCTTGGTGGATCATGCATCATGGAAATTGTCGCTCAGTTCCGTACGTGTCTTAATAAAGATGGTGGTATTATGCTTTAAAAGATTCCTCCTTAATTAGATTTTTAATGAATTAATTATACTAATTATAGAGTACTATCTCCAGCGGTTTACCTGTGCGGCATTATACTCGTACACTTTCCTTTCCAATGAAAATTTAAACAAAATCTTAATGATGATGCTTTATTACATAGAATAAAATAAAGTCACTGTCGCTGTATATGCTTAAATATTTAAAACTACACAATGGATTATTTTTAATAGATATAGTGATTCTAGAGGAAGGTTTATATATATAATACCTGTACACCCGTGCGAAGCCGGGGCGAGTAGCTAGTACTTTATAAAATCAACCTGTTGTAGATTTCGGCTTTCTTAACCTATTATTTTCATGTCTGTGTTTATTATTCAGGAGATAATAATTAGGAAAAACTACTTTATAAGTTTACAAATTGCACAGGGCCAGTGAATCTCTTCACTTGCTAAATCCCGTTAACCGTAATAATTATATATTGTGTCAGAGGTCAACATACGGCCGTCCGTATCCGCACAAATATTGTGTGCATATCGGGTTCTATGTTGATTGTCGCATGCGTATTCGTTGTTAATATGTATTTACTTAGAACAATATGCAAGTTTCTTGCTCATTTTTCTTGTGATGAGTATTCCGAATGTAAAATTAAAAACTATGACTAATCAAAAGTGCTTCTATAAAGTTTATTTGAATAAAGATTATTTAAATTTCTATTTCGTAACTTGATTACAAACATAATATATTATACAGGTTAGTCAGAAAGACTATGAAAGTACCGTTTACATAAGACCTTTGAACCCATTTTCGAGAAAAATGAGTTCATAGGTGTTATGTAAACTACAATTACGATAAAAGACAACCTTAATAACAGCTGTTATCAGCTCTATCATAAAAGAGGAATATGTAACGACATTAATAGTTTTTATGAATGAAAATCAGTGGCGCGCTTTTATTTTGGTTACGCGCCCTATTGACCATATATAATATAGAATTATGTTATATATATATGGAAATAACATAATATAACGAAGTATTAACTCTTATCAAGGTGTACGTGGGCCTGTCAGAGCTATGGCGCCGACTACGCGATGCAGAGCGTGCTGTAGCGTGTGCTGCCCGTGCATGCGACCTCGGCCGGACACCGCGCACTGTTGACCTCAACACTCGCCACCACCGCACCGCGCTGCTGCAGATGGCGGCCGCTTTACGAGCCAGAGGCGAACTGGGTGACGCACACGACTATTGCAATGTTAGTCTACTGCCACAGATGTACTTACTGTAGTCTATGTACACAAGGCTGGCAACGCAGATATAACCGTCGATTTCAACTTGCACAAGTTCTTATTATATTTTTCTTTCCTTCTTCAACTAAGTTTCAGTGATCGTCATTCTATATTTTTCAGTGTATATAGAAGATTATTTTTGGCAGGCTGCCGTGATTGTTGCTGTGGAAGAAAAAGCCCTGCGAATTGTAGAGTAAATAGTTGTCCGCGTCTTGTCATTTCACTGTTTAACCTCATCCTATCTAGTAACTAAAACAGTTAATAAAACACGTTATCAGTAAAATCGGAGAGAGACATAGTTACCCGCTCAATCCACCTTGGACAAAGTTTCCCTCTGGTGAATCAAGATTAATTTAAACATGAATCAGTGTAATTATACACAATTTCATATGAAGAGGGATGAGTAAGGACAGACTTTTATACCAGTTTTTCTCGTCATATTCTACTGAAATTACTGTATCAAATCTTATTTATCATAAGAGTTTATTATAATAATAATTATTATTATCCTAAACAAATCACACTGCCATCTAGTCCAAGCTAAACAGATTTTGTATCATATGTACTAGATAACTGCTACTTAAATACATAGTACTCGTATGGATCCATCTCCACCATCCACATCCAGGCCGCAATACTAATAGTCAGACTCATGAATACAAATTTTTGAACTTTGCGAGGTATCGTACCTGCCACCATTGGAAGTAACGCAGTGTGTTAAACCACTTGACCACCTAGGCCGTTATTAACTCCTTTTAAATATTATTACAGGCTACATGAATAGAGATCATTTAATTTAATAATAATAATAATCTCAGGACAATTCGCACAGTGGCATCTAGACCCTAGTTAAGCTAGCTGAAGCTTGTGTTATGGGTACTAGATAACTGATACGAGTACATATACATAGATTTTTATTTGTAAATACATACATATTATACATAGATTATAATTTGGATATTAACAGGAGGCACTGCGTCTGGCGGCGGTGGCTGGTGACCAGGGATGCTATGCACGTGCAGTAAGAATAGCCGGCGACGTGTACAGACGGAAGTGTGATGTTGGAAAGGCGCTTAGGTACGTACTTATCCTAAATAATCTATTTCTTTATGTACATATTTATTTAGTACAAACATACGTAATGTACAAAGAAAACAGACTGATATAAACAATCATACTCATTAATAAAGATGTTTGCAATCGAACCGTGCGAGTAATCGAACCTTCGAGCAAAGCCTATTATTACTGACTAAACGATTACTTCAATGACGAGCATGCATGGCAATGGTTATAATATACATATAAAACACTCAGACTGATACAAACAATCATACTCATAAATACAAATGTTTGTACAGTGTTAGTAATCGAACCTTAAAGGCAAAGCCTATTACTCACTAAACGATTACTTCAAAAACGAGCGTCCATGGCAATAGTTGTTTATGAACGGGATTTGCCTTTAATGTTAGATATAGACACCTATATAAATATACATTGTAAATAAACTGGCTTATTTATAAATAAAATTAGAAATTTACTTTTCTGCCAGTTCTCAATTGAATCTAAATACTGAACTGGACGGTAGGGAAAAATGATAATACATATAAAAAAAAATACGTTCATAAGCGGTTAAAATATCCTGCCTAAATGACTTTGGAATTTGAATATTAATTTGAACCTTTTTACCATATTTAAGGCATTACGAAGTAGCAATGGGGGCTGGCCAGGCACTTGGTGACAGGCTCGCCCAAATGGAAGCTATGGACGGCGCCGCGCGGTGTCTGGAGGCATTGCGCCTGCAGGGCAGGATCTGCAATTGTAGACCATTGGAGTTCAACACTAGATTACTGGAGGTCGCTACTTCAGTTGGTGCTAAGGTGAGCCACGTCACGACTACAAAATAACAAACTTTACTGAAAAAAATAAGGTTTAATAGATACGCGTATACAGATTAATGAAATTCTTACATTTTATCAAGTATATAAAAGAATATTAGTTATTAGATTCCCACTCACATTCTAAAGAATGATAGATAAGCCGAGTAAATATGAAAGCAGAGTGCAATAATAGTGACTAGTAGTGTTCCCCATGTTGTTTTAGCGATAAAATCGCCTTTTGGCACGTATTTTTTAATTGCGCAATAAAGAGTTAGATTATAATTATTATCCCAAGTGACAAATGAAATTAATATTTCGTATGTTTTTACGCCTAAAACCAATCGTCATGAATTTAATCATATATAAGAAAGAAAGATATAATAGTCTTGGATGGACCTTCTCGTTGGTTGTTCTCATATATATAACTTTTGTGATGGAGACATTGGCTTTTATCCCAATCAATTTAGTCAGAACGAAGTTGCAACCGGAAACTAGTAATAAAACAAATCGATGCATAATAAAGAACATTCTACATCAGATGCTAGTACGCCGTGTACGACTAAGGCTTGCGGAGATCTACACGGCTCTGGGCGATAACAACGCGGCGGCACGACAGAAACGCGCGGCGGCGGCGTGGGCGGCGCCCGCGTGCGCCCGTTGTCGCGAACCTCTTGCAGAACAGCCCGAACCGCTCGCATCACTGCCATGCGCTCACATAGTACATCATGCGTGAGTCGATTTGGTTGTTTAGAATTCAGATTATAATATATGTAAATATTTTAAATTTTAAGGGTGTAGAGTTTCGTCCTGGTTACTGTAGAATAGCTAAATTTCATTCAAGACTCAAAGTGAATTCTGGGGTATTTGGGACAAAAGTTTACAAACAAGACAGTAATCTGGCGGCATGTGTGCTTATTAAGGTTGTACTCAAACGGAGTTGTTTCATATAATGACGGTATATAATTATCAGTCCGATCATAATTCTGTCAAAAAAATCCGTTCCAACTAAAATTCCGCCTACTCGTTTCCCGAACATGTTTCGCCATTTGCCAAGACATATCAGAAAAAAAAACTGACAAAAATGAGACAAAATAAGTAATTGTGACAATAGATGCATGCCGGAGTCGTGGTCTCGGCGATCGACACGGAGCGCGGCCGGTGCAGCGAGCGCGGCGGCCGAGTGCGCCGAGTGCGCTTCTCCACGGGCGCCTCGTGCGCCTCCGCCCGCGCCGCCTGCGCCACGCACGCTACCCGCACAGGTATGACATGATGACACATACCTTAACAACCTACCGACGATTGACATTACGACGATTCGGTTCTAACTCCTTAGCGGTGCCTTGAGACTGAAGTTGTACCGTCAGGCAGGAGCTGGCTTTCAGCCAGTGGTGCCGTAGTTTGTAGTGCCGTCTGCACTCGCCCTCTATCGTCGACGGCGGTCGAATGAGGGGTTTAACCACGACATGTAAAATGCTTAATATTGTCTTTATTTCAAACAATAGAAAGGTTTTAGGTACATGAATATCTGTAAATCTCTGTACATAATATTGTATAATATGATGACTTATTTAATGCAATTTAATTTACATTACACACTATTTATATTAATTTTAGTTATTACGTAGATTTTTATTTATAAATATGTAGTTATCGCACTTTTTTTATTATGCAGCTTTTAATTGAAATTTTATTCGGATTTTGTCATCTTCTCCTGTACTTTAGTTAATATTTAACACAATTTATATTCTTCATCGTAGCGTCATCTCGGCCTCTGCCAGGGACCACAACTCACAATTGAATTTGGCTTTAAATCTAAATTATTATTTGGGCCCCCGGTGGAACCCGAGGAATAGGTCACCTGAAGTTTGAAAAGTGAGTCGTTTACCCCACCGACCCCTGTTTCCATTGTGTCAGTGCAATGTCGTATAAGGTGGTAATTATTGTTTATACCTGTTTAGGGAAATTATAGGTAAGTGCCTAATTATTACATCATCGTATCCCTTTATCCCATTATTTGAAGTTGGTGCAGTGTATTCTTTTCATTAGTCATTGTCAAGTTCTCTCACCTTTATGCATAAAATGATTATATGTATATGTTACGTACCTACCTACTTACAAGGTAAATTATGTATGTTATACATTCCTTCCAGTAACACACAGGTTGAATACAAATTATTCTTCATTTAATCACTACATTCTAATGATGTCACGACTTTCGCAGTGTACATACAATAACGTAAGTAAGGAAACCCTATAAAAAAATATGTAGTAGGTACTATATTGCTGGCAATGTACTAGCAATGGGGTCACAAATTCTTCATTACTAAGAATCTCGTCCTTCACCTACAAAACATACCTAATAAAATTTACATGCATATTGCAATACTTCTAACCTAGCCTGAACTGAAATTATTAATATTTTTCCAGAAGTATATTCCACTAATACTGTATCAGAAATATGTTGATTAATATTTCTGATACAGTATTAGTAGAATAAACTTCTGGAAAAATAACACCTAACTCAATAATATATTATATGGAATCGACACAAAAATAAACCTAATAACTATCGACTGAACCTTTGAAGATATGAAAAATTCTGACTCATATATTATTTAATTCCAGGACTTCCCATTCGGCACCCCACCAACGCTTCGAGATTCGGACCTGAACTCCATGGTGTCGGATCATAGCAGTCAGCAAGCCACATCAAGTGTTTAATTTGGTTAACAATATTTAATTTTCATTTTCCCTTTCACCCAGTACACCCTATTACTATTACCCTACATAGAAAAATATGTCACTAGGCAGAGGCCTATACAACAAAAATATACCTAAGGTTTTTTGTAGTATGGTTTATACTCATCTGAGTTAAAAACGATGTAAATTATGTAAATTATTTTGCGGCTTTTTGAGTTGTACCTATATTATATGTTTCTCGTAATTTTAGTCTGAAAGTAGCTAGGTACTTCTATATATCTAGAGTTTCAAAACCACCTTAGTTGTACAAAGACAAACGTCTACTCTACAATTTCTCCGACACTGACTCTACTTTTATTTATTTTATTAGTATTACTACATTCTTGAACTAAATTACCAAACTACAAAGCGAGTTATAATTTGAGATTGATAGAAATATTGATTCTACATTTAGCTTGACTTTATACTACGCGTCCTTATATTATTATTATATTAATACCTGAAGAGATACTTTGCAACTTTACAAAATTGCGCGGATGGAGGAGTATTAAATTTAGCACATTTATTATAAAGAAAAAGTGCAGAATACCAATATTTATTTTTAAATTATGTATAAAATACATTAAACCAATAAAAAAACATTACATACACTATATGTATTTGACACACACACGCACATATACTTTTTTATTGATTGCCTGTGCGACTACCTGTACCTCTGACTATAAAAATATATTATCGTTAGAACCTTAATAATGTCAAAACTTCTAATTTAAATTAATTGTGGTCGTGCTCCGACCACTGGGCGACCACTATTTACTGTACTACGCGATGTAATCCGTAGGATCGGTAGCTGTACTACAGCGTAGGCTGTAGACCTCACAGTCATTTCAATTGCTACGAATGAAACGCAACAATTATGTTTATTTGAATGACGTAACTGCCAATTGTATCAGATACAATTAGTTTTACACATTAGTTAACTAAACAATCACTTCGGATCTATACACATTCGAATATTGTAGACAGTAGTGCATATTAATAAAAATAAAATAAAAATAAAAATTTATTTATTTGCTTGAAATATGAAATAAATATTCAAAGAATATTAGTATCAGGAAAATAGTCCTCATATCTCGCCATTGTTTTGGCATGCAAACATTGACTAACCAATGCTAATTAAATTATTAAAAATAATATTTTTGTGAGACTAATAAGCGCTTGCTACGCCGTAGACCGTAGAGTTCACTGTTATTGGGGTTACCACCATTGCTAATATAATATTATTTTCTGTCTTCTTTCCAGTAGTATTTTCTTATTACCTAGGTAACTGTTCTACTATACATCTGCTATTCTAAGGTTACTTTGTTAAGATTGTTTTAATCAATAATCTCACTTTGTTGTGTAATATTTATATAATTCTTACTTTATACATATATTGTTGTGTACCTTTTCTTTAATTTTACAATGCAAATAGGGTACATTCTATGAATCTGTGTTATGGTGTGAAACAATGACATTTTGTAGCAGGACCTAGCTACCATGGCTGTATTCAAAATGAAATCGCGTTGTATTTAATATACTTTACCTATAAACTACCTGTGAAAATTAATGAAATACAAAACAAATCGCGCTACGACATATGTATATACTCGTACCTCTGGTGTCCATAAGCTACGGTAACCATTTACCATTAGATGAGCCGTATGCGTATATTGTTTGCCAGCAATATAGTATAAAAAATTGCGCTAGGTACCCAGCTTTTCTGTACTGTACCATCAATTGAGGTACTTATACAAATCTAAGCTCGTTTATTGGCAAGCGTTAAAGTATTATTCTCGCCAAATACGAAATTTCTAAGCTGTTTTTTTAATAATCCCAAGCATATATTTTTTTAGCTTTGAAATTATTAAAGTATTTACTAGATAAGGAGAAAAGGGTGATAGAATTACACGAAATAAAAGATGGTAATGGATCCTATGGAATTGTAAACGATTGAAAAGGAACGAATGTCCATATCCTTTTAAATTAATCTAATATATAACTTTAGGGTACGATTCCTTTAAAAGATACGCTTTATTAACCAAAAGGGAACCTTTGTTTTGTACGAATTATTATAAAATTAATTATATATATAAATAAAAAGGTATTGATGTATATTTAAAGATAATTATACATGTATAAATCCGTTTAAAATGTAATTAATGGTTTTCGAAAGAGTATATTATATACGCTTATATTATAAATTAAATTTGTTGCTATATTATTATACTTTTGTTGTAGGGTGTAATAAGTAGGAATTAAAGAAACGATACGTAGATTTAATTCCCAGATGTTCCAGATAAATCACTTATTAAATGTACTAAGTCCACGATAAAGATTATTCAACTGCCAAGTAGGTGTGGTCAATTAATATAAGACATTAAACACGACGTTAAACATATATACATATTAATATTTCTATATATACATATATATTATATATAAAAGTCAAATAATTGCACTAATTTTAAAGAAGAGCATTCTAACTGGAGTAATGTAAAAGTAACAGTAATATCCATCAGATATCTTTACATAGTTTATAATTCGCTTCCGCTATCTGCTCAACAGATTTTAATACAGTTTACAGCAATAGTTACAGTGATTTAAGAATATTTATATAAATAATATATACATATTATGGTGCAGAAAAATCGAAAAGTTCAAAGATTTGAAATGTGGTATTGTAACATTGCAGCGTACGAAGCCGGGGCGTTTAATTAAGGTGGAAGTTTAATTAACTCATACCATAGTTATTTCGCTGCATGTAAATAAATATATGTATATAGACAGATTGTTTTTTTATTGAGTGTTAAACTTTTACACTACTCCTTTATGTTTGAACATTACATAAATTCTATCAACGTTGCTATATAATTATGTTATTTACAATTACGATATATACTTAGATAAACCTATGTACATACATAATAGTAAAAGCAGATATATTTTACGTAAAATATAGTATTTGATAACACATTATTTATTTACACACTTTTTCTTATTACTGTTATATATTTTAAAAATATTTAAAACTGCAATAAATAAAATGCGTTTTACTTAAAAAAAAACTTTTATAGTACGAAAATAAAATTATATAGAGATATTGACAAAATGTAATAGTAATCACACAATAGTACCTAATATAAAAACTAAGAAGTATAGTTAGAAAAATATAAAAAAATATAATATATTATATACTTACCTATTGTGAAACATATATAAATAAATTCATAATATTGCGAATTTGCAATCAGCTCCATAAATATCGTTGTTCTATAATATTACGTATAAATTAAGATATCTAATATCAACAAATCAATGTAATTGATAAATCACCCATTCCCATGTTTCAAACTAAATCTTTCATGTGCTTTAATCTGTAAAATTGGCACTCCTGTTTAATATTTATGGAGTTAGATGCATTTATAAATAAAATTTATTAAGACATTTTCTGTGGTCACGTGTAAACTTTTTATAATTACCTTTAGATTTAGCCCGCGTTGCCCGCAGACTGAAATCTAATCCGTTATTATAAGTATTATCTGTGGTAGAAGTAAGCCTTCAGCCGCTCTATAAGTTTTTTCGGGGTTGGAGTGCCTCGGAGCCCTGCACTTGAACTCACTTTTGTTCGTTGTATCTGATATTTTTTCATACACAGCAATTATCACTTACCATCATGTGAGCCGTCAGCATATTTACCATTCAGTTACCTATAATACGTAGGACAAAAACTCATATTAGTATAGTATAGGTAAGGCAATATTGTACAAGAGAATATTGTATAGTACCTATATACCTATACATAGATAAAATCTGTGACTTGTTTACCAAACTATAGCATTATAAATACCTACATGCCCTACCTACCATACCTGAAGCACAGAGTAGAACTAGGTAAGGTTCATATAATAATAATAGCGGGAACTGGAGCGTACTCAAACAAGAAATTTTATCCACTACGGTATTATACGCTATTATGAGGTCAGTAATGTTCTATATTACGTATTTAATTTTATAAATACCTTATTTGATTTTTTATATAAATTCTTAAATAACCAATAATTCATAGATTTTATTTTGTATAAAAAAGTTCATCGTTGCGGAAACTAAACTATAATCCTCCTATTCAGTATTACATTAGAAAATATATACAAAAATATTATAAATACACACACACACACATATTATAAATATACACAAAAATATTATAAAAAATCTAAATGAATATTAACAAAAATATTTTTATTAGTTATTAACTATAATGTGTATATTCGAACGAGCGTTACATTGAAAATGTCTAAATAACTTTTGATACATGCTCAAATACTGTCGTATTTGTAACAGGTAACTGAGATAAAAACAGAGAATGTTACAAATGAAACAGATGTCCTATTGTGTCCTTCTATCATATGTACCTGCGGAAATCTACCTTAATATATAATACCTATTTGTTAAATATAAAAGGTAATATATGTATATAAATATACAAAATATATTTTATTCTTCATATTATAATGATCCTTGTGAAATATTTTTCTTTGAAATGACTTCTCGCTGTCTAACAAAAAAATATTGTAATATTTTATCTTCCTCACACTAAAACTAGCTATCGTAGTTGAAATGCACGATATATATACTTATTAAAGAATAGATTTAATTTTTATATAATTTCCAATGTGTTCTGTCTAGCTAGAATATTATAAGATCGTATGGTATACTTATCTATACCGAACTATTGATTTTGATGCAATAATATTTATTGTATCTGCAAATATATTGATAATGTCAAATAAAAGGATCGTTCTTAAGTTGTAATTAAAATTACGAATGTATAAGACCTATTTTGATCAAAAGAATGTATTTGGAAGCTTCAAAAGAAGAAATTCAAATAAATGTTTGTTCCTAGTGAAGGAAATGTATGCAATCAAAAGAATTTTCTAAGCATAATCTACTATGTATATCTATAGGTACCTATTAATAGGTCGCTACCAGGACACTTTGTAACTACAGATAAGATAATACCTATTACATATTTATAAGTTACCATTCATATTTTACCGTGTGATTAGTCTACGCTAATACACCGGAAGATCTCCTAAATCTATATAAAAACCTATAATTGTGGAGTTTAAATTGATAAATCATTTTAAAAAGATATTGAACGATCTATCAGTGTAAAGTTTGTTCAATTTTATAAGCCATTATTTAATAATTTTATAAGCCATAAATAAGCCATTTTATTTAAAAAATCTGCCACTCTACGCAACATGTATGAATATTCAATATTCTTATTGGGTCTATAATATAACTATCCCCAGGATCGAGAACCGCATCAGCTCTTGGATCCGTCCATTTCTTCAGAAGTAATCATAATTAAAATGTGCCTATTTTGGCCGACGTTACCTATTATTACATAAATAAACCTAACCTTTTTATTCAGTAATTTATTTAAGGCAGTATATAAATAATTTCTACGCTTTTTAATATAAGTATTTTATTTTAAACAATTTCAATGCTAACAATGGTAATTTAAAACATTATTAAACGACCTTTTATTTGACAAATAAACGTAATTCTATAATAATATGTATATGAGTGTAATTTTAAAACACGCCAGAATATTCCCATGTGATTCTGAACAAATTAATGAAATATATTATTGTTACTAAAAATTAACATGTAGTTGTGAAATTGGCGTTGTGTTAATCAGTCATTATAGATAAAGTTGAAATATGATTGTTCGTTATATTTTAAAATTTTAATTGAAATATATTGGTTTGAAAATTCTTTGTTTTATTCATTGTATTCATTAATTCATCATTTTTAGGTAGTAGAGCTCGCTGTGTATGGTACTGTATGGTTACTAGTGGTTGTACATGTACAGCTCGAATGAGCTCTCTCGAGAAATACAAGCCATTCTTTAGAATACCACTGTTAAGTATTATCGCGTTTCGAATGGTATTTACTATCAGGAGTGACTGCGTATTATACTCCAATTGCGAATAAAAAGAACATCTGGAGGTCCGCAAGTTTCTTTGCACCCTACGCTATAAAAAAATGCAATATCTAAAGTAGGTACCCATGTACTACTACTACTACTCCTTCATTTCAACGTCGAACTTAACTCTTAATTATATACAAACTACTATATAAAAAGCATGGACAGGGAATGATTTGAACAAATATCAATTGTTCCGATAATTTTAAAAAGACCGCCTCGGTCCGTGTAGTTACCTGCGGGAGGGGTTGAATGAAAACGTTCCGTTACGCATTATTGAGTATTTTCTCTGACGACCGTTGGAAAAAGAGAGAATAATACGTAGTAATTAGTAGTTAGTGAAAAGTAATCACAGATATGAAATGATTTTTGTACAGTAATGATTGAATTCTATTTTAAGACATTAAATTTTCTAATTACATTTACACCTGACAGATATGGCTGTTTGGTTTGTTGTCTATGCCGGACTTACTAATAACAAAAAGTTGTTTATAAAAAAACTTGATTTGTATTGATTTCTATCGCTGTCTCCCAGATTTCCTTGAAAAAAAATCCCAGTATTTTGACTAACTCCAGAATTTTCGCGTGAACACACTCAAGGTATAAAAAAACATTCTACAGTACTGCGTCTTTTTCGTCCGTATATATTTTCCTACTCTGTTTACCGACCCGTAACGTGCTCATTGAATAAAATTTAAATATCTTGGTGTTTTCAATGATATTATATTGTTTTAGCTCACAATGAGTGCGATAGCAGAGCAAGAGTCCTTGGTTAAGGAAAGTTTATTTCAATTCATCACTGAAAGCATACCTTCGGCAGATTTAAATGTGATTGATGATATAGTCCTGTCTTACGTTATATCTATTTTGGAAGAGGCTTCTCAAGATCCCTGCTTCGATGTAGAAGGTAAGAAACTATATTTGTAATATTATAATTTTGCGTAATATCATAAGTCATGATATATTACGAAGTCAAAGCACTAAAATCATACTAGGGAGTCCATTTTCAAAGTGAGAATGACGTCGCCTTTTTCATAGTATACAATAGCATTTCATAAATTATAGGCTAAGTAATCCTGTTTTGCTCCTATTTATTAAAACACAATTATTGTAATCATAAAAACTAAGAACTACAAACCTACCTATTCTCTTTACAATTCAAAAAGAACACAAAATAAAATAAATAAAGAATATGAAGAATTAGTGTCTTTATTAAACATTTATATTGTTTAAATATACTGCTTAATTTTATTGAAATTGTAATTCAAGTAAATTGTTTTGTCTTCTCTTCTAAGTTGTAATGAAAATTATTACTTACTGTTTTTCCTTTCTATCTGAAGTTTTAAATGAGTTTAAAAAAAAATAAGAATATATAAAATTATGAAAAGGCAGTAAAATCTGAATAAGAAAATGACAATTAGAAAAAATATTGGTTGTCCCAACAATGTACATATATTTGCTTTTTTTCCCTCAATTTGATTTGTTACTTTAGTTTTTTCTACAGTTAAATAATTTAGTAATATTCTAAATCAATAATAATCTTAAAGTACACTAATTACTACTGGTAATCAATTACTTTTGGTATAAAATAGAATAAATATTAGTAACTTATTCTGGGGTATATTATTATTAACTGGTAACTTAATTGATTGATTAGTAACCCGTCCAGCATTTAGCTCTGCACTAGTATATTTACACTTCTGGCTTTTACAGTATGTTTTCAAAATTAGTAGTTATTATTTTTTCTTTATGTTAGCTTTATTAAATGACATTTAAGAATGGGCAAATTGAATACATGCTTTAAGCTCACATGCTACATTTGTTTGGTAGAGCATATAATACTTAAACATTCAAGGGATCAAAACTATATTTAATATTGGACTGATATAAACAATTGTATTTGAAAATTAATCCAATATTGAGAAACTTCATCAATAATTACTTGCTAGTTATTTTATCTTCCTATGCTTCCCATATGATCATTTTTGACAACATAAAAGCAGTATGTTGTTAAATTATATATTTCTTTTTCACAGGTTTCATAGAAATGATGGCAGCATACATCCCCGAGTTTGCCAGCATTGATCCTGGACAAGTATGTTCATGGGTACTAGAACTTGAGGCGAAGTTGTCGTGTAGGCCAGATTCGGACTCTATGTCCAACCATGGTATGTTTAGAATTTTTTTTAATCTTACCATTTTTAATTTAAATAAATATAATAATATCTCAGAACAATTTACACAGCGCCTCTAGTCTATCTAGTTCCAAACTAATCATAGCTTGTGTTATGGGCACTAGACAACTGATGTAAATACATAAATATATTTTTTTTTATATACTTACATAATATACATAGAAACCCCCAGAATGATATATACAATTATATTCTTAAATACAGATGTTTGTGCCATGAAAGGGATCAAACCTGCCACCAAATAAAGTTTTGTGCTAAACCCCTAGACCACTGAGGCTGTTCATCCATGTTATTAAATTTTATCACAGCACTTGCTGTTAAATTAAATTTCACAAATAAAATAAATAACATGAACACATCTGTAATTTTTAATATAATAAGTTATGTGTATTGGATATTTTTTTAATAGAATTCTTACTTATAATTACTCTTATACTAATCTTTATTTATAATAAGATATTGCTTTTGAAAGATGAATCTGCAGGCAGTGACAAGATAAGCATCACCCTGCAGACCTTGAGTGAGATGCTGCCATCTATTGCCAAAAGTAACAGGTAACTACATTATACAATTATTTATATTTTTATTATATACAATATATGATTGGAGAGATTTGCTTGTATTATTGTGTAATAATTGTTTTACACCGCAGTTGTGGCAAACCAGCTACTAAGTGCACACTAGTGAGTTTTTCAAATTGTCTTAATTTTCGAACATCATCATAGAATATAATGATGCTATAGAATATATAGGTTATAAACTGTCAACAGTGTGCTATAGTAAAGTTTTATTTCGTTATGATATAACTTGTTGCATTGTAAGGTCATCAACAAATGCTAAAATTATGCTAGAAGTTATTTTTGTATATCTGTATATTAGTTTTTAAGCGTCTTATGGCTTATAATGTATGATAACTATCAATTATTTCACCTAAAACCATAATAGCTTTAGATTTTTTACTTTATTAGAACAAGTTCTTGCATTAGTTCTTCACTTCACTTCAGTTAGCAACAAGAATGGCTAAAATTAAAATAGGTAGTCTGGCAGACGGCAGACCCCGTCTCACTTGGATGTCTGTTATTAATAGACACTTAAAAACGCCGAATCGACACCCCAGACGACCTAAGACAGACCGTACGTGCGAAGATTGTCCTGATGAGCTGACCCCAAATAAATGGGACTAAAACTAAGCAAAAGAAAGAAGTTATTATTTATTGGGACATTTAGAAAAACTTGTAACGTGTACTCAGGTCCCACTCGAACTCGGAGAGCTCGGAGTCGACTGACGGCGGGCGGCGCCTTCTGGACGGCGACGAGCATGCCGAGCAGTGCCGCGCCCTTCACGAGATGTTTCCAAACACCTGCGCTATGGAGGTACACTAATTCAACACACTAAAGTATCTGATAAAGGTCTTAGGAAATTCATTGAGTGACTCCCACAATATCAATTATAAAAGACATTCTGATGTCATATGTTTTTCATACAGGTTGATTTTTCTTTATGGATTAATATGGAATGGTGCATTTGCTTGATCTTACGGTATATGCTGGTAATACTAGGTACTATAGGAGGTATTTGAGAAGGGGATAGATACAGATCAATTAGCCTATCGTACGAAATTCACCAGGAGATTACCACAATGATTCCCAAAGAGGAAATTAACATTGCTAGCAAAGGTACTACTTGTCTCTATGGTTTACTAGCCCTTTCTGCCCCTCATCAAACGGAAATGATATTTATAACCACGATTTCTGGATTTCCACATAGGGAAACAAGTATGTTGGACTCAGTTTTCCGCATTTATCCACTATGAATTTGTGGTATTGTGTGTGTAGAGCCAGAACAACTAGAGTAGTGAGTCAAGCTTCTATCAGAAGCTGATGTCTTCATTCACTGAGCGCCGTCACTGCTCCGTGGATTCCTGTGCTTTGGGTGGCCACACTGTTACACACTCCAAAATTACGTAAACGGCCAATTACTTGGGCTTATATGGCAAAGCAGCCTTTATAAAGAAGACCACTTTTTTTTAGGAATCCCGCGTTTGATGAAAAAAGTGAATACACGTGATATCCTACAAAACCCTTGTGATATTTTTGTCTAACCTTTCGAATCTCCGTTCCCTCCCGAATTAACGGATGGCCCCTTAACATGTTACGTAATTTATGCCGCTAATGCTGCAGAATACAGTCAGATGTTCTGTATGAACAGATCAAGCACTGTGTGTCCATTGCTCGTGGGGACGTGGAGCGCGCGGCCGCCACACTGCTACACCGCCGCGAGCAGGGGCAGGCGCTGTCGGCCGGCGGGCTGCACTCGGCCGCCCGCCAGCAGCCGGTCTGCGACGACCACGAGCTGAAGAACCGGATCATCGCACGGTCAGTCACTAGCTCCTCCGCCGCGAGCAGGGCAGGACTGTCGGCCGGCGGGCTACTCGGCCGCCCGCCAGCAGCCGGTCTGCGACGACCACGAGCTGAAGAACGGGAACATCGCACGGGCAGTCACTAGCTCCTCCGCCGCGAGCAGGGCAGGCACTGTCGGCCGGCGCTTCGGCCGCCCGCCAGCAGCCGGTCTGCGACGACCACGAGCTGAAGAACCGGATCATCGCACGGTCAGTCACTAGCTCCTCCGCCGCGAGCAGGGCAGGCACTGTCGGCCGGCGGGCTGCACTCGGCCGCCCGCCAGCAGCCGGTCTGCGACGACCACGAGCTGAAGAACCGGATCATCGCACGGTCAGTCACTAGCTCCTCCGCCGCGAGCAGGGCAGGCACTGTCGGCCGGCGGGCTGCACTCGGCCGCCCGCCAGCAGCCGGTCTGCGACGACCACGAGCTGAAGAACCGGATCATCGCACGGTCAGTCACGCTCCCCGCCGCGAGCAGGGCACACTGTCGGCCGGCGGGCTGACTCGGCCGCCCGCCAGCAGCCGGTCTGCGACGACCACGAGCTGAAGAACCGGATCATCGCACGGTCAGTCAGCTCCTCCGCCGCGAGCAAATCTGTTCATCGGCCGCCCGCCAAGCCGGTCTGCGACGACCACGATGAAGAACCGGATCATCGCACGGTCAGTCACTAGCTCCTCCGCCGCGAGCAGGGCAGGCATGTCGGCCGGCGGGCTTCGGCCGCCCGCCAGCAGCCGGTCTGCGACGACCACGAGCTGAAGAACCGGATCATCGCACGGTCAGTGACTAGCTCCTCCGCCGCGAGCAGGGCAGGCGCTGTCGGCCGGCGGGCTGCACTCGGCCGCCCGCCAGCAGCCGGTCTGCGACGACCACGAGCTGAAGAACCGGATCATCGCACGGTCAGTGACTAGCTCCTCCTCCGCGAGTACGGGCAGTCGCCGTCAGCTACCTTCTACTCCGGACCCGTCGTAAATCTACACTAATATTTTGAGATGAAAAAGGCCGAGAAGTAAAATAAAACGGAATGAACGTGATACGACCACAAACATGATCGGAGGAAATTTTGACTCAGTGAAACGGCACTCGGCTAGATCAGTATAAAAATCTTCATGAATGTCAAATAATAAATTAAATTAGGATTTTAATGTTTTTACAGTTATTCGTACGTTGACAAGAATTCGGACACTAAGGAACACAAACCGCTGGCCCCCAAGATCGAGCCTAAGAAGATGGTGCGTTACCGGGACAATAAGATAGTATCGCTCAAGGGCGAGAGGTACACTGAGGTGGGTGAAATAAAACTTTTTTCTCTATTATTTCTATGCATTATTCTTGGAGTTACATAATACTAAAGTGTCTTAGGGTTGGCAATACACACGTGACACCCCTGGTGTTTCTGGCGTCCAAAGTCTACGGTAACTGTTGACCATCAACCGTATGCTTGATTGCCATTTTCGTGTTAATAAAAAATCGTACTACTATGTATAGAAGTAATAGACTTTGAGGATAGAAGAATAGGCTCATGTAGAAGAAGTAAGACACGTCTCGCACAACGCTATTTGCAAACGACTAAAATATTGTTCAAGTATGCTGCGCGTCGGTCGGAAGTAGATTCCGTATATTTTTACCAAGTTCCTTACACGACGCATATCTTATCGTCGCACGCTACAAAAATTGCAAAGGCGTAATTACTTCTGAGCAAGTTTTTAGATGTAAATGCAAGAAGTAGAATAATAATTAAATTCACATTTTAGTAGGCTTAGTACCTGTGGATCATGTCGGGAGTCTCGTAGCTTATGAATAGCGTCGTGTGAGACGCACCAAAGATATTTTGTTTTCATTCATTTATTCCTGATTACTTACCGTACAGATAATAATGTATGCATTAACATATTGGTATGTATACAATTTGTATCATAGTAGAGTTTTAACAAAATAAACGATATATCGCTAATTTATTATGTATTTATAAAGTTCTTAGAATTGTATTTTGTTACAATATTTTCCTTAACATACATACACCTTACACCTTACTTAACAAAAAAAACATGATGTAGCCCGTATATTGTTATAGCTTGAATTTATCCATCGATCCATCCCTCTTCCCATTCAAAACAGATTTAAATTGTTGGCTATATTATACGGCTCGGGCAGAGGTTCGAACCTCTAGACTTTCAACCTTCAGACTAGTCTTATCCATCAGGCAGGATTTGTTAGTCTTCAGCTGCTCCTTGAGTCCTTCTAGGGTTTAGAGTGCCCTCTGCACTCGTCCCCATTTCGTTAACAACAATATGACAAAAAAGTGCGATGTTGATACGTACACTGTGTAAAACACATGACATTACACTGTTAGAGGTAATTCAATTCGAAATACTAAGCGTATTAATTGTACCTAATTGTATTTTGACTACGTACAGTAGGTATTAAAATTAGGGCATACAGTGTGTATGCCCTTATTTTACATTTTTGAAATCATTCGGTATATTAGCCAGTGACTAACACTACTGCTGAAGCGATTAATTATTGCGATTTTGTATTTTACAAATAAATATTTATGCAAACTCAACACCCTGTGCATTTCCGTAAACTGTAATCAATTGATGATCATGTCCACTCACTCGACTCTTGTTGATGTAATCATAACGTTTTGAATTTTATTTTCTAATATATAGGTGCCAAAATCCGGTATCGACGAGGAACATTTGAAGAAACCCAAGAAACAGCACTGCCCTTAACCATTAAACCCACGTCAGTACGGTGTAAAAGCGGAGTTTACCGCTATATCGGTGTCCTTTATAACTTTAGTATTCCTGATATATGTCGGTGTTAGCCCCGCACGCCCCAAAGGCGCTTATAAGCGCGTACTTTCTAAGCAACCTTCTATTGGTAAGTATAATATGCTCTTGTGTAAGCGAAATAACTTTACTTGTAAGCGCGTACTTTCTTCTAAAACTTATTGTAAGCGCGAACTTTTCAATTTCAAATCAATGATTACCATCTATAGGCGCGTCGTAATGAGTTTATTATACACTCATTATGAGCCAGCATTGTCCAGGCGCTCACAAATTTATACGCGCTCATGTGTAATTCATAAGTGCATACTTTTATTTGTTTGTATGTGTCTCAAGTATCTGAATGTGGTTATGGATCTACTGTTAAAGGTACATATAAATCATAGCCGTGTAATATATATATTGCAGGCTAAAAACATCGTGAAACAATCTTCTAGTCAAACATATAGATATATTATTTTGAATCTCTCTATTTCAATTCTATCCTATGTCATATTGACACTTCTTTTTTATGTCATATTGACAGCTAACGTCATTCTGACATTGGCTAAAGTCACGAATTACAACGGTTTGGCTACAAGCCTCACTTTGAATTCTGTGACTTCTACTATTAGCCCCACATTGATACTATTTCTGCGTTCGAAGCCCTTGCGGCGTGCGTTAGTGATTCGTGTATGTAGTGTCTTAGATTTAGAAGCGCGTGATTCGTATAACGTTTATTTTTATCCGCTTTTTACCGTTACTGATTTATTTTGGGTTAAGTTGTCTCGGCGACAGCAACTTAATAACATGGACTGTAGTTATGTTAAGTTTAAATTAATTCGCACCGTATTTATTATTGTTAATAAGTTCACGAGGCAGCTGTGTTCCAGTATTATTTTGTCTGTGGCAACGATTGTGTCGAATGACGTCGTAGGGTCGGAATGTGTTCAATTTAGGGGAATTGTAACAAATTGTGCATGCGTGAGTGGGTGTCAAGCCACAGACAAATGTTTATCTATGACGGATGTCGGGCCGATAAAACGGCGCTCATTGCATCGTCAATCGGACGTTGCGCGTTGTCTTATCACCCCGAATAGTAACCTCGAATTCACTCTAGTTTTAAGTGACAAGATCTGTATAATACCTGTGATTTTTAATTGTTATTATTTTATTATTAATAATGTAATTCCTATTGTAGTTTTATTGTTTTTATACACATCTGTGATTATGATGCCATTGAATTATACGATAGATTATACCCTAAGTGGTTTTTATAATTTTAGTTTAGGATTTTTATTGCCGTTTTTCGTCCGGGTCTTTTTTAATTCCGTTATGTTGGTATTGTGATGTAAATTTCGTTTAGAATTTGATGTGAGTGATTCATATATTTTAATGTAGGTAGTAATTTGAATTGAGCGCTGTCTTTAAGATGGCAGTGAAATTATAGCTCTTTAGAGCGAAATTATACGTTTATTATAAGTAATTTTGTTAATATTTGAGTGAAAGGCGAATTCGGCAATTTTTTAATACTAACATTTCCAATATGGAAATCAAGTCTTGGTTGTGAAAAAAAAAGTTCTAAGTTGAAAATAAAGTATTGGTGGGAAACGATTTCCTGCGATTTGGGGTTTTATACAGTCTGTAATTACTTACAACATAACATAATGTACCTACTCGGTACTTACTCAAATGATTATGTAGCTATGTGGTTGTAGCAGAAACGAAATATCTCCTTTAGAAAGTACGTATACTCTATCCCGAAAAGATAAAAACCATTGCTCCTAAGAATATTCTTCAATTCTTATTCCTCACGGGTCTAGGCAGTAAACTTTGAAAAAGGACGAGCACAATCTTAGCACCTGACAATAGCCCAAAACCTAGCCCATCCCAATAAAAAAACTATGTAGCTACATGTGAATTAATTAAAAACCATACTTTGAAAACCGGCAGCGTACAAACAAAACCGGTTGTATACTTCCAACGCAATGAAATCTAAACTAGATTAGATTTTATTTCATTATCATTTATAGTGTATGAAAATTGTTTTTGTATGTATGAAAACAAGAACTTTATTTCTTGCCCAATTGTGATAGTACGGTTTACGGTTGAAACTTTAATAATTTATGAATTGCGACACGATGTTATAGTAAAACATAGTGTTTCGCAATAATTATAAGGTTTAGGTAAATTGGATGTAAGGTTATGGAGAGAACTGATTGACAAGTGATATATGAACCAATTAGAATATAAATTATATGAATCACTCACATCATATTGTTTATATGAAAATCACATTTTATATGGAATTACATATGGAGTTAAGCATAGTGAAGATTTCTTTCTACGAATGTAGTGGTCTAGTGGCTTACTAGGTTACCACGGCCTGTTATATTCCTATACTCGTGCAAACAAGGTTGTCAACTTAACTAAACAGTATTCATAAAAAAACTAAAGTTGACCCTAATTTTGGTTGTACTTAATAGTTTGGAATATTAATAAAATAATGTTTATTTAATTTGAAACGGATAATTTCTGCTACATTCCAATTTATTAACTAAATAATAAGTCATATAATATTTTAGACTAAGATTAATTATTTTTGCATTACTATAACACATATACATATATGTAGGTTAATATTAATACCATATTTCAATAATACATGTACACGCACGCGAAACAGTTCTGTATAAAATATTATAATGATAAATGTGATTTTCATATAAATACTTATACTCATTTTTTGATAGACTGAATCATGACGATCTCATATGATGAGGAATAGTAATCTTCGTTATTATTTCTACAGCCGACAAGAAATCTAGTTGACCTGAAGCAAAAATCAGTATTATAATTAGGTAACCATAGTATTATATTTTCTTTATAGTTTAAACCAGTGTTTCCCACCCCTTTTTGTGCCATACACATGTAACATACAATAATTGTTCACGTAACGAACTTAAATCGATAAGGACAAAATCGCTAAGAATTGATTTCCCTGTGGAGCGTGGCCAGCACGGGAAAACTGGTTGGGAAACACTGGTTTATACAATATATATATTTACAAAAAATATTTATGTATGTGTTTATATCAGTTGTCTAGTGCTCATAAAACAAGCTGTGCTTACCTTGGGACTAGATGGCACTGTGTGGATTATTATTATTATATACATAAACAGCACTACGGACATCGGAAATGTGTCATTTCCAAGCAAAAAGTAATTATTAATAAATATATTTTATTGTTACATATTTAGCAACTTAAATGGTTATATTTTTATATTTGAAAATCAAATACCATTTATTGAACATATTCAGGACAACAATTTTTGTTGCCGGCTGTATTTTTATCGGCTGGTCCGAATTTTCCAATCTATCTATTTATTTTATCAATCTGTCAACTCGTGTTGTAAATTTGAAATTAACTGAAAAGATGCAGCTTTGCTGCAGTTGGGTAACGTTGGATTTGAAATGTAATCTACATAAAAATAAAGCTCAAAATTCAAAAACAATTCCAACAAAGCAGCTTCTTAACAGGTTAATAATGTATATATCTGTTTTGCTACTTTTGTCGCGTTAGTCTTTTCAGATTTGTTAGCAATATTGCATATATTAGATACTTAAATTACATTGATAACTTTATTACTTTCAAATATTAAATTATTTTAAAATTATCAATAAACCCAGTAGAGTAAATTAAAACACGCCCGAAATCGTTGCTGCGTTCCAAACGAACCCCAATTCAATCCATTTACAACAAATTTTATAACTATTTACAATATATTTTATAAATATATACAAATTATATAACATTTTCTAAAGAATTTATTAAAAATTTACTTGCGCAGAACTGGAATACAAATTAGTTAAGCCTGACGTAAGTACTATCTAAAAAATAAGAAATAAATATATACCTAAATTAACTATAACCTTCAATTTGGTAAGCTAGGTGGTGGTCGCGGGTTCGATTCTCACATGATACAAACATATTTATTGTTTTATACTACCAGTTCTTTAGTACCTATCGTAGAAAGCTTTACTTAATTTGGTACTGGATGTTACATTGTGAAGTGTCCTTAAGATATAATATTTTAATTTAATTTCGATATGTGCTCAAGAAGAATACTAGAGATACATAAAATTTTATTTAATAAATGATGATAAATTGGAAACCGCATGACAAAGGTAGCAAAATAGTGCATTAAATATAAAACAACACGATTATTTATTTGTCATTTAGACTAATTGTTAACTTGTTAATTAGTGTCAAAGTGAATCAAATGATAATGAAATCTAGACTAAATTGTTGGTATCCTCTGTCTACTGAATATTTTTTTCGTTGTTTGAACTAAGGACGTTTTAATTAATTAATTATTATTATTATTATTAAATAGATAGAAAATATTATTATTATATATCCTACTCTTAGTAGTAACTTTATACAAATATAACTTTATACGAGTTAAAGTACTTTGTACAGATTTATTATAAACTTGCAATATTAATTGATATTACTTTTCATGATTATGGTTTAATCAAACAAACCCTCATAATAGTCGCAGGTAATTTTACTGTATCAAATTATTAAAATTGGACTGTATCCTAACACTCGCTATTATTTAAACTTTTGTTGGGTATATGAATGGCAGTTACCAGCTAATTCTTTCGTGTTTTTTTGTAAAATTGTTGTAAAACAAGAATACAACAACAATTGTAATACAATTATTAGTATAGTTCTATAATATATATTAATATTGGGGAATTCTTCAAAACCTCAGAGGGATTTCGTGCAAAATTTATAGAAAATGCAGAACAGTCTTCTGATAACTACGCCACACACAACTACAATGGAAATGATGATGAGTGCAATATTTTTATGCCTTTTATGGCACTATAGAACGTTTATTATACACATACATAGTTTATTTACATGAGTATTTTTAATTTACTTTTTTATTGCATTTGAGTTTGACGGTGTTTAAAAATACCATCAGAATTCTTTTCGATTTTATTTCAATCACTGCTAGTACCATGAAACTGATTTCACTAATATTTGATTCGTTTGGCACTAAATAATTTAGCCAAAATTTTGGTGCTAAATTAGTATTGAAAATGCCAAAAGTGTTAGATAATTGAATGTTGTAACGAATTGACGGTTTACATGCATTTATTGACATTTTTGTTGTATTTAAAATTCTGATATTTTAATGTGGTCTATTGAATAATTATGGCGCTTTTTATTTTAAATAAGTCGAAATTTAATATTATATATTTATTACGTTTGTTATACACTATCCGTGAACAAGGTTTCTTTCTAATTATAAAATGTTCTCTGTATAATACCAGTCTCAGTTATTTCTGACGTGATTTGTAAGTTGTATTATTTATACAAGTATTAATTTATATTAATTGTACTTTAAAGCTGTGTTAATAAGATGCATGATATATTGATTTTCGGAACTCATGACAGGTATCACAGGTGTTTCATGGTAACGTTTGTGGTGCTGTTGTGAGCGACGGTTATCTCTTGTTATCAGTTGGACCATCAGCTTGTTTGCTATTCCAATTGTGTAAAAAAACTGAGATATTCTCAATATTTCTGCAGTCGATTCATTTAACAAATTCAAGTTGATATAATATACAGGGTTTAGGGTATTTTCAAGTTGATATAATAATCAATCGTAAAGGGTATAAGTATAAGAAATTACAGATAATTAAAAAAGATAAGAAATACTTACGTATATTAAGTACACTCCATATAAAAAATTAGTGTGATTGCAGATTAAATATTGAATATCTTAGTTTTGTAAATATAATATTGTCTTATAGGCGAATAATTAATGAAAAATTACAAAATTTGACAATATGAATACTATATACATGTATTATGTAAAATACATTTTATTTTTGACTAAATAAAATCAAAACTATACTTAATCACAATTGTAGTAGAGCTAAAGATACGTAAATACAAGAACTATGATGTTATTTTATTGGATGTACGGAATAGTAAATAAAAGGGTTATAGCAAATATGAAAATTAGATATAAATATACAATTATTTATTCTTAGTAATTAGAAATAAAGAAAAACTTAAAAAGCGCCATAATTATTATTATGTATTTATTTATTGAAATTGTTGAAAACCGCTGTATAGTACATGATCTAAAATAATTAAAGTAAATCATTATGAAAAGGTTTGATTACTGTAATGGGGCGATTAAAAATATACTTGTCATATCGCCAAATATGGCGTATTGAATTTATATGCCTGTTACTATATCACAAATGCTACATCACAAAAATAATTAAATTTTTATTTTAAGTATTGTCAAAAATAATTCATAGCGCTGCCGAATTAAAGAGATAGGTTTGTGTGGCATTATTAAAAAAAATCTGGTGTTGCCAATTAAAAAAAAAGTATTGGTGTTGCAAGTATTATGTAATATCACTGTCTTCGCTGATACGTGCAAATCGAGTGTTTTATTTATAAGCTGAAAAGTATTCTAGTTGCTGATTTGTTTAATGGAACAAAGAATATAGTCACAAATTATTTCAATAAGAAATGTACATTTTACAAAACAAATGTTCAAAAGAATGATATATTTATTGGATTAAGCAAAAGAAATCGCTTTATGCTATTAGTGAATGGAAACAGTTATATAAATAAGAGGTAAAAATTATAAATAACATTATAACAATATGATATAAAAGTAAATAGGTACAACTATTAGAACGTATGTACAAAATGAACCATATCCTGGTATATTTTAAGCACTACATATGACAATCAACGAAACATACTCGCCTATTTATTGTAATCAAATCAATAGCCGTAATTTCATAGCGCATAAAGATACAATTTACAACAGAACCAGTACAAAATGATCTGGCATCAAAATCACAGATTATAAAAACGTTAAAACAAAAAATCGCCGCATTTATTTTCTGACTATTATTATTGTATTAAGAAGTTTTTATTATTATTATTATTAAGTGTAAAATGCGATGAGCGCGCACTTTGATGTCATATCTTCGAGTCTGAACTTGAATAAACATAAGTATTCAATATAATGTTAAATATCCCTTGAATATTGACTTTTATTTCGACCTGTTATGACCTGACCTGACCACTCCTACTACTACTATATATGTAGATATATAGTAGTAGTAGGATATAGACCAAATATCAATTCAAAAAACATATGACGCCAATGTATATTTTTATATAATCATCATCATCATTATTATTATTACATAGTATAAAACAAAGTCGCTGTCGCTGTCTATCCCTATGTATGCATAAATCTTTAAATCTACGCAACGGATTTTGAAGCGGTTTTTTTAAGATAACAGTGATTCTAGAGGAAGATTTATATATATAATATAATACATGTACACCCGTATGGGGCGAGTAGCTAGTTAATTAAACTTACACTTCAATTGTTATTACTTTGGATGAAATGAAGATAATCCATTGAGAGTAACGTACGTCAAATCAGACAGTTCGATCCTAAAAAAAGTGGCGACCATAGGAAAGTAAGGCCGTGTGCTAAACCGCTAGACCATCGAGACCGACATATATTATAGATTTCTATTAAAACATCAATTCGTTTACAAATCGTAATACAAAATGTAAGTAATTAACGAATGTTAACAGTAGAGCACGGTGTTATTAAAGTGTGAATTTGACTCTAAAAATCACTCAATGCACTTACATTATTAGATATTACGCTAACCTTAGTTAAAATAAATTTCTATACCTACGTACTACAATATTACTAGTACTTATTCGGCTCACATAAGGCGTTATATGAGACATTCATCCACGTCCACTCGTGCGACAATTTCCTTGATATTGCCTGAAAATTATGAATATTTAGTTACAATATAAAATTTGTCACTATCTGATACTGATTAATCTATACTGTTTTTTTAATGAGTATAGCGGAATAAAACAGAAAATTAACTAACGGGGTAACGGGGTAATTTGATGAAAATGAAGACAGGTTCGGTAATACACTGGCGAACACATGAATTTAGGGGGAAGGGGATTGTTAGTAATGTGGACTGTTGACCCTATTGCAAGCAATGTACCATGTCGGATTGACCGCCACACGGAGAACCATTGTGATAAATTGTTGGTGAATATGTCATGATAGGCTAACTGACCTGACCTCATGCTCATCTTATCCTCCACTGATGCCCCGCCAATGGATACCGTTAGCGCAGGTGGCTACACCATTCCATTATTATCCATAAAAAACAGATGAATTTACTAAAAATCTACACGGTTTTCAGTGAGGACCACGTGGAGGTCGACCTTAGGGCCACTAGCACTCATTTCTAATAATCAAACAACCAACCTTGTTACTTTGTAATTCGGCTTTAGGCTAAATTTGGATTTAGGTTAACATGGCCTGTTCTAAGAGAACAAAATAAAAGCATACAAAATGAAACATAATATTATTTGATCCTAGTTTTATTTAATAAGGTGATCTCATTCCACTACTGATTTCTTAAAATGTGCAATATCAACGTCATCTTATAGTAATTCGTCAAATAATGTAATAAAAGTCTAAATAAAACTACAATTATTGAATACTAAATTTATTTATAATTTACATATTACATAGAAATAAATAAGTGATCCCAAATAAAAAGTAACTACGTGGGAAAAAATAATAAAACGTCTTGCACACACAAAGTACTTAAACAATTGGATGTAACAGTCACACAAGTTGCATACCTCTGTTATTTTTTTATATAAAAGTCGTAATAATTTTCAGTGTGTACGTTTAATGTGCGTTATACTCCTTTGGCCTATTGAGGAGAAATTACCACTTTTTTAAAATTAAAGAAACCGTTTGTTGTAATGCATGGACTTATCACAAAAACCATTATCATTATTGCCAATTAAGATTATTTTATAGTCAAGAGGCAAACGCACTACATTATATTAATTATTCATATATTTCCTATGTGAATATAGTCTAGTCATAAATTATAAATTCACATTAATCTTTGGTAATAAAATATCTACCACTTTAATGTATTCGTGTGTGCATGACCTAATTATTTACTACTGATTAATATCAACAAAAACAATATTAAATTCGACAAAATGCTTTTGAAGCTAATGTTTGTACAAATTTTACAAGATCTATTAAATATTACTACACTAAGTAATTCATTAATTCTACAAATAATATGGCCAGTATTAAAAATCACTGATATTTTTATAGAAAATAATAGTATATATACATAATATACTAATATAATTATAAAAAAAAGAAAAAAGGTGTGACATTATTGTCTTATAGCAATTTTTTTCAGCTACATTATATTAAAAAATTTATTACTTGGTTTCTTCAATGGTGCTAAATACACTTTCATGTTGGCCCATACAAAATAAATACTGACAACAAAGTTTTTATAACAATGTTTCATTAACTAATTTGGCTTCATGACAATTTGACTGCTTCTAAATAGAAAAACTAGAACAATGACCATTTCTGAGGATATTGTATTAATCTATTGATATAATACAATGTTAATTTTAAATACAATACCATAGCCATCTTAATACAGATGTCAACTATGTTTTTACTTTATAGTGGATTAAAAAAACACCTCATTCAAATGGTTCATAAAAGTGTCATTCACTATACCTATATGTAATACACTCGGCCGCGTGTTTAGCGGCATAACCTAAATATAGATCTACAAACTTTTTTGTAAGAAGTCTCTTTAAGGCGAGTTTAGTACATACAGAATGATCATTACAATTGGTTTTGTGAATAGACAAAATCAGTTTTTTACTTTAATATACAATTGATGTTAAGTTCTCAATTATGTACTCTAGGTATACTGTATAAGATACAAAATCTATTGGCCAATGTTACCGATGATGGCGTTGACAACTTCCGTAGAGGATGCAGAGCCACCAACATCCGGAGTCATGATGCGGTCCTCATTGATGGTCTTGTACACCGCTCGCTTTAGTAGATCAGCATGGAAGAAATGGCCAAGATGGTCCAGCATATCTATAGAGGCGTTAATCATAGCCACTGGGTTAGCGATGTTCTTCCCGGCGATCGCAGTGCCTAAAACCAGTTGATAAATCAATCAATTTAATTTTAGCAGTTTAGTTCGGTAAATTAACAAACATTACTTTTTATTGTATTACTGAGGTAACCAACGTAACTTTATCTGGTTACAAAAGGAATAAATTTTCTGTAAGGTTTTAGTTAATCCTGTTGGTCGTAGCATGATATAATTAATATCATTGCTCAATACATATGTTATCTTTTCAATATAAACTAGTACTTCCTGAGATAAAAGCATGTTTAACAAAACTTTGTACTTTTGGTAAAGATACTTTATATTATATATACATTTGTTCAGTAGATTTAAACCAAGCATTATATGTGATGACCTACAATTATTATATAATAAAGGTGAGAAAAATCAGTATTAGAAATTATATTCTATTACTGCAAAAATATGGTGCTGTTTCGTTTAACAGAGTTCTAAGACAACTGGATATTATATTAAGCCAGGCCTTGACCTTGAATATAGGTGTCACCACATACCTGTGTTTCTGGTGCCGGGTTCGAAGACTGCATAGTGGTCGCCATAGTTCCTGCCGGAGAGGAGGCCAGCGCCGCCCAGCAGTCCACACACCACATTGGATACGATAGACCCATATAAATTTGTCATCAACATCACGTCAAATTGGTGTGGCCTATAAGTAAACTAGTCTTTTATATACATAATTGAAAAATAGCAATAACGTTTTCACCCATTAAGCACGTTTCAATTTTATATAACTAGTCAGAATTTGCAGATACATACTAATTCAGAAAAAATGTAAATATCAAAATTCTTCATTTCTTCTATAAGTATCACAAATAACTTTATCTGTTTAAAAAATATAGTAAATAGTACTAATATATTGAGTAAACCTTTTGTATAATACAAACAGAGAATGACAATTGCTATAATATTCAATACAAAATGTAAAAGAACCAGAAACGCAATGATAACTCCTATTTGATGCAAACTATACTAAATGCATTAATGATATAGCAAGACCGTAATACTGTACATACTTAGCGACCAGCTGCATACAACAGTTGTCGATGATCATATCATTATGTTCGATATCTGGATATTCCTTAGCCATCCGCCGGGACGTCTCTAGGAAAAGACCATCTGAAAGCTTCATTATGTTTGCCTTGTGGACCGTTGTCACCTGTAAGTCAACATCTTAAATTTATTGTTTGATGCAATGTAACCTTTATTTACTTTGAATAGGTTACATTGTTCTTAGGAATAAATATATAAATCCCTATTCAGCTACATTTTGAGCATACAAATTTAGATCAATATTAATATTTTGATAAAATTTATGAAAAAATATATTCATGAATGAATGAATGAATTTCCTACTATCAAGTAAATTATAAGCTTGTTAGCCATTCCAATAAATTAATGTATTGCTGTCCAATTATGTTTGGTATACCAGGCCTGAACAATAAAACTAAAATTTACGCCCAGTATTTTAGACTGAGGCCACATAATTTGCAGAATTACTAACAAACGTCGCCATTATTTGAATCTGTACCATTCCTTTAATTTGACAATAGAATTACTTTTTCTAGATTTGATAATATTGTGCTTAAATATGATAATAATAAGACTTAAATTTATAAAATAGTTATAGGAGACCCTTGGGGTGCACATATATAGCTCACAGGGACAGGCTTCAACTATTCATTTATGAGTACAGTGTGTGATTCATTTATATACTATTATTATATATATAGATTGTATATTACCTTCTTCCTACCATTTCTCTTGGCAAATTCAAACGCGAACCTTGCGACGCGTTCCGAGTTACTCGCCGTCACAACTTTCATGGATTCAATTACTCCATAGACCGATTCGTGTTCCAACATGGCATACTCGCCTTCAGTGTTTTGTCTGTGAAGAAAAAAGTACTAAGTTTTATTTTTTAAATACACTTTGTTAAAAAACTTCCAAAAATTTTAATTTTCCTAAATTATTGTAATGATTTAGGATTCAATTATAACAAAAAGTTTTCACAAGCTGTTTATTATTAACCATCTTAAGGTAATATATCATGTATACATGACTTCATTGAACATCTGATCTCAGTTAACATACATATATTATATATTCTATCTACAAGTCCTGATAAATTTAAATTTATTGTGAGTCAATTGGATGCCTTTTTCTGTAACAAATTTGGAACTGTACACAACATACATTCAGTTCTGATTTATATCCATACCTTAAGGACATACTGTATAATAAAAATAAAATATAATAAATATGATATTATACAAATTTAAAGGAGGCAACAGATTTCATTCAGCCATCAACTTGTTCACTACAATACTGTCATATTTTTATATTATAGATAATGATATTTAAATTAGTTTGTGTTAAGAAAGAATGTAAAGAAAATGTATGTATAATCCTTGTGTCTATATTTACAGAATATAAACAAGATAAAAGTATCTTGTTACTCTTTTCTTTGTTACAAGAGCTATATTTTTTTATCAAATTTGAATATGGAATGGTGCACCCACCTGCAACAGTATAAGTGGGCAGGGCACCAGTGGAAGATGATAAGAAGAACATGACATCAGGTCAGTTAATTTTGACAAATTCATAGAATTGATCATGATGGTTTCCAGGAGAAAATGTGCAAAGGTCAATCTATTATGGTACATTGCTAGCAATGGGTTCAACAGTCCATCATAACAATCCCCCTCCTCCCTTTCAAGATCTACATTGACAGGTAACAAAAAAAATATTTACAGGGTTTTTTCATGGTTGTATATGTCAGGTCAGTTAACCCATCCTAGCAAATTCACCAGGAATTAATAACAGTGGTTTTTGAGAGATATTGTGTGTAGGTCAACACTGACATACACTATTCCTTATTGCTTACAATCCTCTCCACCTGATTTACAGGGCCAATACCATCAGATCCTATTTTTTCAATCAGCTCACCTGATAATTACAACATCAATATCCTTATGTCTAGTTGGAACACCAGGGAAAGACTTGCAATTCAGTACATATGCATACATGTCAAGCTCATTACGAAGAGCTACATTACGTGAAGTCACATATGCTGCCTCACTTTTGGTCTCAATGTTGCCCTGAAAAATATATTAAACAAAGTCATGCCTGCAGCATTAATAAGACTTAAACAAGACTTGCCAGAATAAGATCATTTACGAGTTATGAGTGTTGAATATATTGTTGTTTTTAATATTTATTACATAATACTTTAACACTAATTTCCTTTGATATACATTTTTTATATTCCACATCATCTGTCTATTTTTTGTCAAATACTACTATTTGGAATAAATTTCTAACATTATACAGAAACAAACAATATTTTCCAACATCTGTAAGACTTATATCTTAAGTAAATAAAATAGGGAATTGGTACGTTCAGGTTGACTACCTTTGTTTTCATAGTTGTGATATACATTAATTTGTATCCTCAGACAAGATGAAGTTATTGTGCCTACTGCTTAATACTAACCTAAGAATACTTTTCAAATCATAGTTATAATAAGGTTTAATATGTTTAATTAATTACTAATATTAAGAAAACTTATATTTTTACAGTTCTGTATAAGATGCCTACCTTGAGACCAACACCATTTCTTTTAATTGTCGTAATAGCATATTGGACATCGTCATCATTGTCCATTGTTGGATCAATATCCACTACCTCAAAGTCAACAGGTGCTCCAATGTACCTGTAACCCAAAAGTTCATCTATATACTACACATGCATTGTCATTCTGGAGGACTCGTTGTTATGCCGCTTACTACTATAGTTTCTCTGCCATATTTCACCATTCTACAGAAAAATAGAATACAGAGCAAGCTGCTGTGTGATTAAAATAAAATGAGACAGAGGTATTCAGAAACAACTTTGTATAAAGTTACTCTGCACGGTTCTCATAAACTTCTATTTCTGTGTCATGTAGCATCCGGTAAATCAAAGAGACACATGCAGAAGACTTTAATGTAATTTTTCAGTTGTATGTATATAACAGGTGAACCTTACTTGAAAATGTCTCTGACGTAACCCATACATTCGGGGCCAATGCCTCCACCGGGCAGCATGGTAACAGCGTGACGGCCACCATAGTGAGCCTTTGGGATTAACTTCTGTTTCCTGATCACTGGAGTTTTATGCTGGAGATCAAAGTCTGATAGAGTAGCAGGTGCCGCGGCCGAACTAGCAAATGACGTGCTTCGGAGCTCAGGGAGAACCTTCAATTTAGAGAATAATCTAACAGCCATTATTTATTTTTAATCCGCGACGATTATGGAAATTCTTAAGTTCAGCTGACAGTTGTTAAATAATCACAGGAAGAGGAAAGAAAATTATTTTTAGACTTTCAAAATTTTCTCAGCAGATGGCGTTTGACTGTTTTTATTTTTGGCAACAGTTTTATAGAGATGTTGTTGGTGTATTAGTTGTAAAATAATATTTCCTGTACTATTCAAATAATGAACTATCATGTAATATATATGTTAATTACTCTATTACAAAATTAAAAGGTCTGAAACTCTTAGAAAATTTAAAAATTAGATATGGATATTAATTTTTCTTTTAATAATAAACAATTCAATATTTTGGAATATATTTGTTTCTGGCAACATTTAATTTACAAAAATTGACATTACGCGCTGTTAATGTCAAACTGACAAACTCTGCCGGCCCTGGAGTTTCTTGCACTCGACGAGCGATTGAGAAACGGGCGTCCATTTTGCTTCGCCATATTGAATTTGGTCGGACATCTTTGGACGCCATGTTTAGTCGGACATATTTTATAAACATTTTCGCGTAATATTCAAATATTTTTCAGCCTAAATAACAAACTTTTTTTCACTGAAAACTGTGACATTGATCGTAGTGAATATTGAACAAGAAAATTCTGTGTCTACGTAGCAGTCCATATCAGTCTCCAAAGGGCCGTCCAGCTTTTGTTACAAGATAAATAGAGGTAAATTTATTTCTACCAAAAACATCGTACTTTTTGACACATCGTAACAAGTGTTTTGATTTTTCTATGTAATTACACTTTTTATGTTTTAAATAAAGGCCGATAATTGAAGGTCATGATAAGAGACTTTTGTCTTTGTAATCATTGGCGTGGTCATGTTATATTTATCAAGAAAATCATTAGGGGCAGTGGCTCCGGCCGGTTGCGCCAGTTCGGTCACACCTGCTGCGAACGATAACTGTTTTTAAATACTTCTATGCAGGCCTTCTTGCAGTAAAATGTATTTGATCTCTGCGGGTGGTAACAAAGAATCTGTGCATATCAATTAGCTAGTCCGCAGCAGACGTAATATTACAGCATTGCATAGTATTCAACTATCACCCAATACTCTTCATTTTTATAAACACTTTATTTCTCTTATTATGATTTAATCTTATTATTGTTGTGATTTAAGCAAAATATAACACCTATTAGTTTTTAAAATATCTTGTTAATATGCGGTTTTAGCGGATTATTCTACGTCGTTAATTTATTGATAACAAAATAAAAACTGTTTACGTGCAAGTACCCGTAGGTATTCTATGTTTCTTTTTTATATATAGCACAAGCAAAGAAATTTCGTACGATACAGCCATAATTTTTTTAAGAACCTTCAAACTTTCTGGATGACAGTTCTTGATTTACGTGCATATTTCTCTGTAGATGAATTGACTGCCTACTTATTATTTATTATACTTTATTATAATTGTAGGTAACTTATCCTAACCTAACCGATTTTATCTATCTGAATTATGCCTACTTATTTTAGTAAATTTTATTAGTGTCTAAACCTAAATATTTAAGGGTATTTTAACCTCCTCATCAATATGTCAATTGTTGCTAATGAAGTATCTATATAGCTACTTGTCATACATTATTACTTTTGTAGTGAATTTAAAATATGATACATTGACAGTGTAACACTATATCATCATCAATCAATCAACACTATATTATTCTTAAAACATCCTTATGCTAATTGTTGAAATAAACATTACATTGGAATGAGTACCAATTGATTTCATGTGACCAAAGGTGTGGGGTATTATAAGAGTCTATAACACAAGATAAATCTCATATCATAATAGTTACTAGTTAATAATAAAAATACCTTACTTATAGAAATAATAAACATATTTCATTATACTATATTACTATACTAATATTGGCATATGGATTTATTATTATTTATAAAGTTATCATTATTACGATATAATTGATATTTAAACACTGTTTTATGTTTTTGTTTTCTATAAACAATATTTGCAATGTATATATTATTCCTAGCTATATTATTATTTAAAAAGTTTTATCTCAGTGCATCTAAACGGAGGCCCAATTTGTAAATTAATTTTGCTGGATCCATAATTAGGCATTAATAGCAACTAATTATTTCTAAATTCAATCCTATACCATTATAATATATATTATTGTATATCAATTCTGTTACCAGGTAGGAGGTGGTGTGGTTCAAAATGATGAACCAGGAGATCATGTGCGAGGTGGAGATTGGTACGCACGGCTCCATGGTTGAAATTGATGGCGAGGACCAAGTCGGAGTTAAGGTGAGTTTGCAACTTCAAATTCCATAAATTCCATAATGTTGCAAAATATTTCTTATGAATAAAAAAGTTACAGTAAGTTTTTATTTATAATTGGAATTGCAAACAAGCTAACTGCCTACCTGATAGGATAGTATGTGATAACCATAATCTATTTACATGTACAGCATTATGGATATCACATTATCAGAAGACACACATCATGGCTCACCATTCCTTAGGACTAAGATGTCCTACCTCTTAACCTGTAGTTTTCACTGCCTAATTTTACCCCACAATTCAAATGGAGTTTATAAAACAAGCTGCTTGGCTGCAAAGCTATAATATTTGAGACTGAGATATTATTTTGATTTGATTCAAAATTCAATCCAATTGTTCAGTGTCTGTTCACCACCATATTGTTAGGTACTGACAAAAGAGTATGTACATTTGAGACAAATCACTATCAAGTTTAATCCTATCTATCTTATTATTAATATTATAAATGCAAGAGTTTGTAAGTATGGATGTTACTCTTTCACGCAAAAACTTCTGGATGGATTTTGATGAAACTTTACAGTAATATAGCTTATGCTTCAGAATAATACATAGGCTATATTTTTTATTGAAATTTAACATGGGTGAAACTGCAGGCACATCTAGTAACATTAAAAATAGGATATATATGATTAAAGGATAAACTTAAGAAATATTTAACTAATTTTAACTACTACACTGTTATCTTTTTTTTAATTTGAATAGCTTCCACCAAATAAGGTCGGTGGTTTTGCCACGGTTTTTCTAAAAGTTAAGTTTCATTTGGCTGAGGATGCTTCTACACTGTTTGTAAGACACATTATTCTAGATTTTATATTAATAGGTATCTATAAATCATTATATATATATATACTATATATACTGAATTATATAGCGACTTTTTAGTGAACATATTTTAGGTCATCTACTTTCATAATCTGTTTCCTGTTTGCAAGAAATGTATCTAGAAGTGTCATAATATGATATGGTCTCATTATATCTGTATCTCTTAAATTAGCGGTCAACCAAGGAAAGTGCAAGTCAATTCGCATCTAATTAATTTAATACTGATATTTTTTTAATTATATAAATTTATCAAATTTCTAGATGACCTGGTGAACTTCGTATCACTCATCTTCTTATCAGCAATATATTTTAGTCTTACAAATGCTTTCTATTAAAAGTAATCCAAAGTAGCGATTCCCATACAATATTACTAGTCCATAACCAATTTATCTTAAGGGGGCGGTGCAAGGTTGTATGAAAATATAGCCAATTTTAAAGCTAAGAGCTTGAAACTTATTTGGCTGTTGATTAGATATAAATAAATATGACATTGAAAGTTGCTGCTAACAATTAGTTTTTATCATATTGAACAAAATAAAATATATAATAATAAAATATACTGATATTAATTTTCTAGTACGAAGAGATAGAAGCGGCGCAATACGAGGAGTACATAACTGACGACCAATATGAGGAAGTGGAGGAACAAGTCATCGGTATGCAGCACCTGGAGGAAGGTAAAACACTAGAAATACACAGATGCTCAGATAAATTGTATGAAAATAATATAAACACCGATACTATTATTTGGACTCTATGAGTGGTTTAGCTGTTTCTGAGATTAACGTGTACTGACACTTAGACAAATATCTTAGCCATTACTGTTTTGGGGTCTGCTATCTTGATATAACAATAATAAATATATATATTTAATGAAAACGATTTATGCTGGTGGTGTTCTAGTGGAGGATGATAAGATGACCATGAGGTCAGGTCAGTTAGCCCATTGTGACAAGTTCACCAAGAATTTACCATGATTATTTCCAGCGGGAACCACGTGAAGGTCTACCTGACTTGGTTACACTGCCAACAATGGGCCTATTAGTCCACATTACCAAGTCAGTACATTGTTAGCAATGGGATTGTAAGTCCACATTACTAAGAATACCCTGCCCCCAACATTCTTATATTACTGAGATAGTATTTGCACAAACAAGCTTGCTTTATGAGATGTTTTGGTTGATATCTCATCATTTATGGCAATAAAATTACATGATAGTCTTCCGGAATGACAATGTATGAGTGTTATTAGGGGTGTCACATGATGACGTAATATTGACAGTTATACTTAAGATGAGGTGGGTCGGCCACGTGTTTGCTATTGCAAAGACATAATAACCTTATCTAATTTTAATGACTGCCATCCTGACCATGGACAATACAAGGTAATAGAAAAGTATAACCATTTAAAAATTATGAGCTTATTTATACACGTTTCTTAAAAGCATTCATTTCTATCATAATTCCAATTTGTTTCAGCAAAATAAACATGATTTTCAATTAATAATATTGAATTGATACTATTGTTTGTAATTTTTACTATATGTCAATGTATCAAATTGAACCGATAGAGATGACGAGTGCTCTTGATCAGGAATAAATTAATTAAAATGTTAAAAATTCATGTCACAACATAATTTCATCCACTTTCAAAATGTCGGCGCCTCGCTGACAGATTATAAAATTGCAGTTGGCAGCGAGGAGGTGATACTGCCCTGTATTTCTGGTGAAGAGGTGCTAAACGCCAATGAGAGCCCCTACGATCCTTTATACCAGACCACACCATCTAGCAGCAGGTATGTGTATGTTTGTTTTATAATTAACTAGGAGTGCCCGCGGTTACACCCGCGTTAAATTTCAATAAAAATATATGAGTTACTCTGATGCAGAAGCTATATTAGTATAAAGTTTCATCAAAATCCGTTCAGTAGTTTCTGCGTGAAAGAGTAACAGAAATCTATACTTACAACCTTTCGCGTTTATAACTATTAAGATTTCGAAAGGAGAAAGTTGTGATGTATTTGTTGATAGTATGTTTTTATACATAATTTTTTTTTAAGAAAAATGTAGACCAATACAAGACTAGTCTATATAGATCTGCGTATCATTAGCTTATTGACGCATATACAAAGCTTATATAGTATTTTTTTAATGGATGAATCTGGAATGGTGCTGGTCCCTGCGCTGACGGCCAATTATACCTAAGAGTAATAATATAGAGTGTGAAATACTTTATTTCGTTTAACAATATACCATTTGTTCTAGAAGAGGTCGAGGCAGACCCCGTGCCAACGCTAATATAGCAAATAATATCCACCATCTAATGCCTATTGGTAAGCAGAATTTAAATTGTATTTAGACTGGGAACTTTAGTATTTTTGTAGGGCCGTAAATCATACCAAAGTCAATATCAGTTATTGCACAATAAATTATAAAAATAGATAAAATATAATAATATTAACCCTGGACAATTCACACACCGCTATCTACTCTAAAGCTAAGCAGAGCTTGTGTTATGGGTTACAACTGATATAATCGCGAGCAAAGTCAATGGAATCAGTTATTGCAATTAAATTATGAAAATAGATAAAATATAATAATATTAACCCTTTGAAAGTTCACACACCGCTAACTACTATAAAGCTAAAAATCAGAGCTTGTGTATATTTATTTGCTGATATACGATCTCGAGCAAATATGGAATATAAAACGTGGTAAGATCCGCGTGATTTTGAGTACTTAAGTATAATAAAAATTGTATCTTTTGAAAGTTTAAACTGTTAATTTTAAATTGATACCAAATTCATTAAAATCACACTTTTCTACCTTTAAGTATATGTTGTGCATACAACTTTCCAGGTGAGGTCCCTATGGGTCTAATGGAGGGTGTGAACACGGCGGCACGGGGTACAGCACGCCGGTGGGAACAGAAACAGGTGCAAATAAAAACTATGGAGGGAGAGTTCTCAGTCACCATGTGGGCTACTGGCGAAGATGATGGTATTTATTTCTTTTGTTTCCATTTCCTTTTCTCTTCCTATTATATATGTACTTAAAAAAATATAAGAGCATCATTGCATAGTTATGTTAGTGTAGATATAGATCGGCGTATCATTTGCGTATTGACGCATATACCAAGCTTATGTAGTGTGTTTTTAATGGATGAATATGGAACGGTGCTCGCGCCTGCGCTAACGGCAAGTAAGCCGGCGGGGCACTATTGGAGATAAGCATAACATCAGGTTAGCCCATCGGGCTACCCTAACTACCTTACCCCCACTCGTAACTTAAATCAAAAGGCTAACTCACTGAGTTCAGATCCGGTTGAAAAATCTTTGTAGGTATAAATTTATATATTTGCCTTTCTATGAAGGAAACAGATGTAAATTAATCTAAAGACGACTATTGGCTCGTCCTATAGAATGTGGGCGTGTCAAGTGTTACGTTTACCAATCAACGTCAATTGCTATAGGCTCTGACTACCTATTCCGAGATAATAGACGTGAAGATGTATATACATGTGTTATTCTCAGATGATGCTTCAAATCCTGAGCCTGATCCAGATTACACGGAGTACATGACGGGAAAGAAAAATATATTAGGAAGCGAGACTATGCCAGGTAAACTAACTTTAACTATTAAATTTTTTAGTAATAATAACTACATACATGAAACACAGAAAAATACGGTTCTGAAACATATGAAACATGTCCATACTAATATAATTTGAGTCTACTTGTTAATATAATGATCTCTTGGCATTTTTTTTTTGTATAGTATGATGATGGAAAAATGAAATACACTAACGGGGCACCAGTGGAGACTGATAGAATGAGTATGAAGTTGATCAGCATGGTTAAGTTACCAGAAAAACCAGGTTACAATGATTTCTAGGCTATCTACCTGTCGTGAAATAATTCCCATCTCTCCTCAATCACTGAGCTACTAGACCAATCCTTAAGATTGTTTCACACATGTTCCTGTCCAATTTCAGGTCTAGACTTATCAGATCCCAAGCAGCTGGCGGAGTTTGCCAGACCCGGTCATAAGATACGGTTAAAGAAGCCCTCACCAGAATCATCTGATAGAACTATAGGTATATAACTTTCATTACCACCCTAATGTCGTCATTTCTGTAAACTGGAGTAAATACAATTAGTATACAAATTATTATCTGAAATTGTAAAATTATAATTAAAACACAACTAACTGAAGAACTCATGGAAGAAATAAATTATAAACTAAGAATACTAAATTGAATAGAGTTTCAAGGTTAATTTTTTTTTTAATATTCTAATTAATTTCTAAAAAATTGATTATATTAATTTATCATTTTAATTAATTATTAATAAATAACATCCTAATCCGAAGGTTGAATGGTAGAGATTGCTATGAGTGTTACATTTAGCTTATGTACAATAATACTTTATTTGAATAAAATTATATCTACAATTTCATCATATACGGCCGTGGTTTGAGTCGCAACTGTCAGGAATTATAACCATTTCTTATCTGAAAAGTGCACGTTAAATAAATAATTTTTACATTACTTTTTCGACAGCATGTCCACACAAAGGCTGCTCAAAGATGTTCCGCGACAATTCCGCCATGCGCAAACACTTGCACACACACGGTCCGCGCGTACATGTGTGCGCCGAGTGTGGTCAGTATTCATACCTATATATCTACTAAATGCATTCCATTTTAGTTACTTTGGACAACTCACACTGCGCTGTCTTATTCTGAAACTAAATAAAACTATTATTGTGAGAAATCAGGTAATATAATTTTAAGAAGACCAGCCAGGATGGTATTCCTAGTAGCCACCTCAAGTTCAAGGTGGCTGCCTCTAGAGTTCTGCTAACAAGGTGTTCACAAACAAAAAAGTTATTTTAACTTATTGATTTTCGAATACTAAACATATGAAACCGAGGGCACAGCTAGGTCTAAAAAAATTGAAGTTTTGTTCCGTTTTATTATCTTAAATTTTATTGAAAAATTAATATATATGTGACTTTAAATTTCCAGGTAAAGCATTTGTTGAGAGTTCAAAATTAAAACGGCACCAATTAGTCCACACAGGCGAGAAACCATTCCAGTGTACGTTTGAAGGATGCGGCAAAAGGTTCTCATTAGATTTCAATCTCAGGTAAGACTCATCACTAATATACTTTCATCGATATATTTACTCCCTCTCCTTCCGAATACAAAAAAAAATACAGTAAGTAATTCCTGTTGAGAGTGTGACCTCATATATAGTCTATTTTTCGGCGGGGTAGTGCAGTACTTACTGGATTACCGATTCGTTTAATCGTAAATTTTTATTTTAGAATGTTAGTTTTAAAGCTTAATATGCAATTTATCAAAATTTACAATAAAGTTATTAAAAATTTACGACGCTATTGACTTTGTTTCCATTACTCAAATTTATTAATTATTGTTTTTGCATTATGTAACACAAAAATATATTTAATAATAATAATAATATATTCTTTCTTAAAAAATTTGTTAAACATTTTGTTTTTAAGTTTTTTAAACATTTTATAAGATATACACCACACGAATATCATTTGTTAATATGTCAATATGGTTTTTATTCCAGGACCCATGTGCGTATTCACACTGGGGACCGTCCATATGTCTGTCCGTTCGACGGATGCAACAAGAAATTTGCACAGTCCACTAACCTCAAGTCTCACATACTCACACATGCCAAAGCCAAGTAAGTCTAATATAGTGAGTTCAACCTCTGACTACTTCTGAACTAATAGAGAAAAGAAGGTACTTTTATCCTTCATAAATAAAAAGACATTTTTTTTTACAGTCGAAAATCTTGGAATTCGTATCTGCCAAACAAGTATTTTCCAGACTGTCTAATGTCCTTTTTCTATATTATAATATCTCAATATTTATAATTTTGTAACCACTGTGATGATGTAACACATGTAAATTTATATAACTTTGGTACCATCTAATTTTGTTGCCATATCACCTAATGTCACCGGAATATATTGGATGTGAAAGTAAAATAAATAAATTACATTACGATTAAATTTATTTGGATAGACATTGTTTTTATTGTAATCTATTAGTAAATAAAAAATATATAAGTTTTAAATTTGGGAAATTGTCTATTACAGATCTAGAAGTTCCCTGTCACGCAATAGCGGTAACAATTACGAATCGGCGCGGACGACGCCGCAGTTTGTCCAGCTGGAAATGTCGCCCGACGATTCGAACCCCCAACTCATCTTCTACGCACACGACTGAAGCTCCTAGCGACTCGCCACTCGCCTTACGCCCGTCATATTCGCCATCCGCCTTCTCAAAAACACACTGCGACTGGCGCTGAGGTTGTGACATATTCTGCTGACGTATTGTGTGGTGACGCTCTAATGAAAGTTGTGAATAGTGAAGTGGGACTCGAATAGCAAGACTGTGGAACAGATTTGTAAGACTGGTGATTGTCGGTAACATAGTGGTATACATTGTAGTTTTAGAGTAAAGTGGATGTGACCAAAGTTGGAGTAATTTGGGTGAAATAACTAACGCCATTTTCTTTATTTAGGTTCTTGATTTAAACACAGTTTTTGTATGTTTACAATTCTTTTGCATTCGGCCGATTGGACTGACGTTTGATACGCGCCAGGGGTTACTCAAAACGTATTTTTTATTTTGCTTTTCGTTCCTGTGTTAATAATGTATTTTACATGAATAATATGAAATAATTATAATGTCGCCATCATAGTTATTTTAAGAACTGGTTCTTTTTTTAAAACAAATGTTAATTATTTTTATTGATCTATTCACGATACAGATAATCTTAAATTAGAAATATTACTTCACATTAATAGGGATGCGACAATATTCTTTTTATGATTAGAAATGCCCTAAGAATAAGTAGTTTATTTTTTAATTACTTGTGCTGATGTATTTTATATTTTTTTTTAGAATCGTTAAGTAAATAATATTTATTTACTTGTACGCATATAATAAATGGTCCAGAAGTTGTATATCTATGTAACCAGATTGCATGAATAGAAACGAGTACATATGACCATTACAGGGCGAAGTAATTTTTATATTGAGTCCAGTCGCAAATACCTCATTTTTATACATTATACACATAGTGCTGTAGGTTATAAATATTGGTAGATTCAAAATATCAGTCGGTATATATTTTATGTTGTTATCCATAATAATAGTAATTCAGGTACATACATGCTAGTTCAGATACTGTTAGTTACATGTAGTGTTCCTATGATGTATAGTGCCTATAGTAAAGCCACATAATGATTATTATTCATGATATGGCACCATACCTTCCTAAACAAATTAGGAAATTACTAAATAGGATTGGTGGAAGCCATTAAAATAAAAAAATGGAACTTTAAGGTCTATGGCCGAAATTACATTAAATAGTTTGTGGTCAGACAGACTTCAAATCTTGAAACTAAAAAAGAAATGGTTAATATTCCTAAATACAAGGTTTCAGAACCTGAGATTGTACGCTTGAATAACATGTAAATTTTGTACTATATTTTATAGATATGCCAAAAAATAACAATTGTAATATATAAGTTGATATAATTTTAATCGAGGAGAATGCATACCTATTGTGTAACTAGATGGAAAACTAGTTATGTTGCTCGTGCGGAATTTGAATAAATCAAAACTTTATTAAAAAAAATTAAATACGTTTCAATGTTTTCGCCCATTTATTATGTATCTAATACATAAATATGTTATAATAGATATTGTTTTTTTAACAAAATTGAGCAGTGTGCACTATGTTACACCCATATTTTTATATTGAAAGTGTTAAGCACTCACATAAAATAATAGTTTTAGTTTTCTTGCGCGGCACTCTATATATCTATCAAGGTAATGTACTTGCCCGGAACGGTGCTGTGGCAAAGTACTATGTGTGTGGAGACGTGAATGGTACACTATTCAAGTCTCCACACACGTGAGAAATGGGAGAACTTGGGCCCACAAGATACGCACATGGGTATCCGTATGTTACGTAATATGTAATAATAAAAGTACGCAATGTAAAAAGTTACTTATATATGTATAATAGTGGTACATATTTTGTCAAGATCACACTTGTATACTCGGATTCCGCTACATATGATGAACTTAAAATATTTTAATACGGAAAAGAATAGACACCTATTCTACAAATAATTAACTTTTTTATACTACGATATAAAAATAAATCAAATTTATACGTATCGTGCTATAGAATTTAGTGATATTTACTAAGGGCGAATGAGGCATGGCTCCCCACGGTTGATTACCGATATATTCATTCTATTTCGTATTTTTTAAAACTAAATATACATTCATTATGTATAAACTATATCATTGACATGAAATATATTTTCCGTTCATTATAATGCATTCTCCTTAAGTGCAGACATGGAAAAATTGACCACTAAGTATTTCTAAGTCCTAAGTCATAATATAATTCTATAACAAAAGAACAGCTAAAAGTAAGAATGTAAAAGGAAATGTAAATAAAGTTTCAAAACAGAACTACACATTACTACAGTTACAGCCTAAGAGCTCGTCGACATTTGAGATATTGGTCTTTCTGTTAAACTAGACATATTTTTGTGATGAATAAGCATGCTAAGTATGATTGCCACCATATGTTAATTTATTTTATGTACAATAATATTAAAATTTTATCGACGTAGGTTTGACATTTTAATAAAACTTAGTACATTAATTACTAAGTAGGCATAGGTGGTTAATTTACAAGCCAAGTTACCTGCCAGACAAGTCAATAGACAGAGCTTGTGTACCCTCAATAACTTGCTAATCTTATTCAGCATGCATCATTACTAAAATAATTTGTTTAAAGATCATTATCGCAAGAGGCTCACGATCTTTTAGGTTTTACAGATATGTAAAAGCTGTTCTACAAATAATTTAACTTGGAACAGTCTGCAACACCTGACATGGGTGTTACAGATTGTTTCAGATCTATTTTTAAGATTGTTTAATACCACAAAATGCACTTGTGCATATAAACTTAGTCATTTATCAATAGTTCTCATTTTATTCAATGTTTTCCATGTATGCATTACTAATTTCATTATAAGGCATACTAAGAGATGATTTGGCGATATTGTCGTCGCTGGCATAAAGTTTTGTAATGACTGATGTATATATTATGTTTGTTTATTATTGGAAATTTAGTTGTATTGCATTACTTTATTGAGATCAAATTAGGTGGCCTTTAAATGTGTATTTAAATATATTCTTTATTTAGAAAAAGGTAGTAAATAAGACCACAGCTTATTTATATAATACATCTTTTTAGCAAGAATATATAATGTAATTTAAATTTCAGTCAAATACTTTTTTTAATAATTTAATACTTTATAATTATTACTCTATCAATATGTTTCAATGTTATTTTTAATTCAGTAAGGTATACACGAGCGAGCCATTCCGTCGCAGCATCCGAAAGCATCTGCCCTAATCTGTAATAGCATGACTGTTTCGAAATAGTTTATATATTTATAGTGGAAGATCACAAATTTTGACAGTTACAATATTTTCTTTTTTACCACCGTGCTGGTATTCCAACATTAAATTGGATTATTTTTCAATTATTATTAAAATATTATAAAGTACGTATTTTTTCCCATAGTTGTGAGTAATTATTGATTGGAACATGATCTTTATTTAAAGTTGAATTATTTACTGTGTACATTATATAGTGGTGCAATACATCTGAATAGATTTCTCAATCGAAGTGAAGAGGGACAAATAATAAATTGTAAATATTTATAATAATTGTGTTTAATTTTTTTAACATTTCTAGCCTTCCCTACCTAGAAAACATTCAAGTTACCTAAGTTCCGGAATATTGCTAGTAAACATAGGGCATTATTAGATATTAGAATATATTGCATAATGCAGTATGTGATGCAGACTTTTAAAACAGATTTTTCGATAGTTGCGTACGAGATGGATCTTCGCAGATTACAAACATTAGTAGGTACCTACGTCTGTTATATTATGTATATATTTGAAGGAAACTGTCAGTGTTCTGTTACTCAACTCATATACAAGCTATGCATAGTACTAAATGACTATAGTAAATATTGATGTATAGTCGTATTTTTAATTAGACCAAGGTAACTGACAGTAGCTAATGTCACTTTGTAAAATAATGTTGCCATATTTAAAGTAATAGTGATGCGTTTAGTTCTCGGTCAGATGAATGAACAATGAGTGTGAATAGTTAATCATTTTAAACTACAAAAGAATATTATTTCTATTTTACAATAAAATTTTATAAATGTGCACTGATATAAGTTACTAGTGGTATGTAACTACAATCAGTTTTTTTGACGGCTTATTACGAAGCGCGCGCCTACTAGTGCCAACACCGATCAACGTCGCGAGCGATTTTGTTCGTAATTCGGCTTCTAATCTCTGGTCTGAGAGCACGAATGTTTTTATTTTTGCGCTCACGCTGTTTAGTTATTGTTTTTGTTAAGTTTTTCTTTATGTTGTATTTGTGGTAATTGTTGGGTATATTGTATATTTGTTATATTGTTTCATACAAACAAAATGAATCCTCAACCAAACACGTCGAGCCAAAGCTTGTCTCCAAGAAAGAAAAGACCACGGATTGCTTTAAGCGTTACTGAAAAACTTATGTGACAAAACGTCTACAAACACGTATTTGAGGAGAAAGCTGCTTCACTATTACCTATTGAGGCTCTCGAAAAAAAAGAATGTATTTCGAAAACAGCTGACGTTTTGGGAATTGGTGTGACCTCAGTCTACAATGTATTAAAAGGATACAAAGAAAATGAACAGTTTAAGTCTCCGGAGAAACGTGGACCGAAACACTGTTTCAAAGATAAATTATTGTCAATTTTTCAGACAGATTTATAATTAATGTCACTGAAAGCGACAATGATTTTTTTATCTGATGATGAATAAAAACAAATTTTGTAATAAGCGAAGTTTTTTATTTTTATTACCTACCTATATTATGTTATATTTTATACATCTATAGTTTCAACTACATGATGTATTGTAAATAGGACAGTTTTAAAAGTTTCCTCGCAATTTTTTTCTTTATATTTAAAATACTCGGTATTCAGTAGAGGTAGATACTGTAGGAACATAGTCGTTGAAAACTCGTTAGTATGTATAAAGCACGGCTAAAATTCGAACCCCGTACCCGATATATGCAGTTCGGCACACTAACTATTCACTAGACTAGACAATCGAGGCAATTCCATTAACTCAGGAGTTTTTTCAATTATTCACTTTGTCACAACACTATTTTTATTTCATCAAGTACTGACAACACAGTAAATGTCAGTTGACTTCGTCTAATTAAAAATACGACTATAGTATGATCCTATCCTATTCTCTATAATATACTAAATAAGAATGGACAGATTCATCCACGTCTCCCTAAGAGGATGCAGGTATGGGACCTCGGGGCGAACCCCTTAGCCCCGACATCAACTCCGAGTAAAAAGTTTAATTAAAATAGACTTAACTAAAATATTTAAAGCGTAACAACTTTGACTTCAATAGTGCTATATGTGGGGTTTTTTTACACCAAATATAATGTCTAAGGTACACGCATATTATATATTGACATTGACAACTTTCAGATAGTTGTCAATTTTGACAGTATAGAATAATGCCATATTGATTGTGATATTGATTAAGTGACGTGTAAGGTGTATTCGTCGGCACCCCATAATTTTCTTATTTTCCAAAAGAAAAAGCTCAAAATGAGCTCTTTCAAGCGTGATAAAAAAGAGGAGGAAGATAGCGGTGGCAATCCATACCAAAATCTTGATAAAACGATTGTGTTACAAGAGGCCAGATATTTCAATCAGACTCCAGTAAATCCTCGAAAATGTTGCCTGATCTTGTCGAAAATCCTCTACTTGTTGAATCAAGGAGAGAAATTCACTACACAGGAGGCAACCGAAGGGTTTTTCGCTACAACAAAGCTGTTTCAGTCGAAGGATGTAATGTTGCGCCGTATGGTATATTTATGCATAAAAGAATTAAGTACGTTGGCCCAAGATGTAATCATTGTTACATCTTCTTTAACTAAAGATATGACTGGTAAGGAGGATTTATATAGAGCGGCTGCCATAAGGGCTCTGTGTAGTATAACTGATAGCACTATGTTGCAAGCAATAGAAAGGTATATGAAACAAGCCATTGTTGATAAGAATCCTGCAGTAAGCTCAGCAGCACTTGTGTCGGCTTTGCATTTGTCGTCCACCGCGCCTGATTTAGTTCGTCGATGGGCGAATGAAGCACAGGTTTGTAATTTTTTTGTAATAATACAACAACAAATACACTAGTGACTTTATGTCAGGTCACTTGGCCCAGTTCAGAGTATCTTCCATAAGCTGCGTACTGATTTGTAAAATGTATTATGGCATTGATTATTATGGGGAACAGAGATGTGACTCCTTAGTCCTGAAGAATGTTTACCACTTACCTGAAGTTTGTTTACCATGTTCTGTCAGATTGACAGCCGACTTGTTTGCCTTTCTAGTTTCATAAACAAAATCCAATTGTTTGGCTCAGCTTTAAATTATCAAAGGTATCAAATATTGTATTATAATTGTACAACTTGATAAAACATAAGCTTGATATGTCAATGGCCATAATAAAAAAATATTGTACTCCTGATTTTAAGATCTGCTTTCTAAATCCATAAACAATTTGTCTACAAAAACAAACACAGAATCAGTTTGATTTTTACTATTTCAAAGTATATAATACCATGAATACTTTTGTTTACATAAAGTTACTTAACTCGCCATTGATTCTCACCAACCAGTATCAGCCCAAGGGTATTTCTGTTGTTATTTTTCTTCCCTTTGATTAATACAGAATCCTGTATACTGTAGTATATATCGTTATGATGCTGTAGGAAGTTGATTGGTGATAAAATTTTATGAAATTTATTTTGCCTTATATAATATATTTTTTGTTTGACATTTCTCATTACTATTAGTGCTCCTCCAACCCAACAATCCTTCACTACACCACACATGGTTGACTGGTAGATAATGGCGCAATGTGTTAAGTCTGCCATATGTATACTTTATTTTTGTGCATTGAAGTTAAATAAATAAATAAAATAAAATTAGATGGAACTGAAACACCCACATAATGTCTTTTAACAACATCTATTGTGGTCTAACCTCTTCTATAGATAAACACAACTAATGTGTAAGTATCATACATTATTTGGCAGATGCTATTTAAAATCAGGCTTACAGTTTCAAGTCTTGAATTAATTTTAATATAACTAGTTGATTTGTAATTGACTACAGTAATCATGACTACTTTTTAATCATAAATCAAATTAATAAAGTGATCCAGAAATTAATCAATTAATTAATCTACCAACTCTAGAACTAACTCTTTTCAGATGATACAAAAATAATTTTATTAATCTATAATATATCTGTATTACAAAGATTTTTTTAAATCATAATTACATTACAAAATTTGAAATGTCATTAAAACCAATAAGAAAAATGAACAATGTTTAATATTATACTATTACAATTTTATTATGTACATATAAAAAAATTGTAATAGTATAATATTAAACATTGTTCATTGTTAAAGATCTGTACATATAATAAAATTGAAAAATCATGAGGAATAGAAAACTGTCTTGTTGTTTATCATTCTGTTTGTGAAATTTTCTCAGTTTAAACAAAGGTGGCAAAAATAACCTCCATAAATTAAATTATGGAGCCTTGTATATGTAGATGCTTTACTTATTGTTTGTCTTTTGATCAGCATCACTAGATGGCAATCTAGGATATACATGCATATGAAGTCATATTTCTCTTCCATTCATCCCTGTTCACAGTTGTCTCTTATGTTATGTACTCAAATACATATTTATTTAAATTAGAATCTAGTAATATGGATTTTAAAATGGTTACTTATTGTATTTACATTTATTTACAGGAAGCCATCAGTTCTGACAATCCAATGGTGTCTTACCATGCACTGGGAGTTGTAGCTGGTTCCAGAAAGAATGATAAGTTATCAACTGTGAAACTTGTTACCCGTCTTGCTCGTTCTCCTTTAAAATCTCCATATGCTCTATGCCTACTCATTCGTTTGGCTGCGCAACTTGTAGAAGATGATGATTCAGATGCTTCTCAACCCTACATAGAATTTATTGAATGTTGCCTCCGCCACAAATCTGAAATGGTCATTTATGAAGCAGCTCATGCCATTGTAAACCTTCGCAAGACTGCAAGGGACCTTGCCCCGGCTGTTTCTGTATTACAGCTATTTTGTGGGTCCTCTAAAGCATCTTTAAGACTCGCTGGTGCCAGAACTCTTGCAAGATTGACAGCAAAACATCCTACTGCAGTAGCTGCATGTGCTGTTGACCTGGAAAATTTAATATCAGATCCAAATCGTTCTGTAGCCACTTTAGCAGTTACAACTTTACTAGCAACAGGGGCAGAAAGCTCTGTTGACAGACTTATGAAGCAAATATCGAGTTTTGTGTCTGAGATTTCAGATGAATTCAAGATAGTAGTTGTGAGAGCTATAAGACGTCTTTGCACAAAGTTCCCAAGAAAACATCAATCATTAGCGTCATTTTTAGCCGGCATGCTTCGAGATGAGGGCGGTCTCGAGTATAAAGCAGCTATTGCCGATGCTATAATTGCGTTGGTAGAAGAAAATCCAGATGCTAAGGAGACAGGCTTAGCTCATCTCTGCGAGTTTATTGAAGATTGTGAACACACAGCTTTAGCTGTACGTATTCTGCACTTATTAGGTCGTGAAGGTCCAAAATCTCGTCAACCATCACGGTACATACGTTTTATATACAACAGAGTTATCTTGGAGTCTGGACCAGTTCGTGCTGCCGCGGTTTCCGCCGTTGCCCAGTTTGGTGCTCAGAGACCTGAGTTATTGCCTAACATAAGCGTACTCCTCGCGAGGTGCCAGTTAGACGATGAAGATGAAGTTAGAGACAGGGCTATTTATTTCAGTGCCATCCTAGAAACTGGAGATGAACAATTAATCAATGATTATATTATAAATGTTCCGAAACCAAATCCAGTTTTGCTTGAAAAGGCTCTGAGAGACCACATCGCCACACGGCCTGATGAACCGTTTGATTTAAGTACAGTGCCTACAGAAGAAGAACCAAAAGAAAGTAAGGAACCTATTGCAGAGATTGAAGTGAGGAAACCAGTTCAGGTATCAATGGAAGAGTTGTATTCAGAACAATTGTCAAAGATACCAGGAGTAGAGAGATTGGGACCATTATTCAAAACAAATCAACCAGTTGATTTGACAGAGGCTGAGACAGAATACAGGGTTCGTCTGATTAAGCATGTGTACAGTAGGCACGTTATACTGCAATTTGAATGTGTTAACACACTTAGCGATCAAATACTCGAAGCTGTACATGTAAGGCTGGAATGCCCACCTGATTACGATGTAAAGGCGATTACACCATGTCAAAAGTTGGTATACGACAAACCGGATAGCGTGTTTGTCGTAGTGGAATATCCACCTGGAATTTTTGATACTTTAGCAACATTTGGTGCTAGTTTGGAGTTCACTGTCCATGACTGCGATCCCACAACTGGAATACCCGACCCTGGAGAAGGCTATGCTGATAATTACCCATTAGAAGAGTTCGAAATGGGTTTTGCTGATCAAATCCGTGCTAGAGCTGCTGCAGATGATTGGGACCAAACTTGGGAGCGTGCAGCAAACGCTCATGAGGCTACCGACACCTTTGTATTATCACAACACGATATAAACGAAGCCGCTTTAGCAGTTTGTGAACATCTAAGTCTACCTAAGAATGCTATTATAGGGGAAGCTGTTAAGGAAATCCGTGGTGGCGGTATATTTAGAGGAGGCGCACCGGTATTAGTAAGAGCTCGATTAGCAGGAGGCAGTGCTGGTATTACTATGCAGTTGGCATCCAGGTCCCCTAGAGAGGACGTCGCACAATTGCTTCTTGCGGCAGTAGGTTAAATAAGATTCTGTATGATTTTTATGTCAGTGAAGTCGCTGTTTATAATAAATGCCGAATTGGATTAGCCCTGTTTTTATGGATGTAACATGCAGGGCAACCCGTTATTACTTACTTTATTTTAGATGTGTCACTTAATATTTCATATAATACTTTCAATTGTTTAGACATGGCCTACTGTGGCTAAAGTAGTGATTAATACAAATAATAATATATGTTACTCCACATAAATAAATAAAATAAAAATGGCTTTTATTTCTTGCCCATTTAAGAAAAAATAGTTTTTAATATTATGAAGTAATGTTAGTGTTTAAAATATTCTTTTACTTTATTTTATTGTTTTAATAAATTTGAGTTTTATAAATGATTATATGAATTGAAATTTTTATATATTGAGCATAGTAGTTAATTTACTTTTTATTGTAATATTATTAAACTATGATTAAAGTATAAATATTTTTTATTAATGAATAAATAAGTTTGGAATATATCAATACTATATTAAAAAGTTATGTTTGTAAGGCTGTAGGAGATAATATGGAACTTCTGTACTTATTTTGAAAATTCTTTTAGCTACGTTATTTGTTAGGCTAAATAACATCACGCTACGATTAAAAGGAGCTGACCTATAATAAAGTATGTCGCGAAACATTTTTTCCGTTACATATTAGTAACGGAAAAAAGTTGCACAGATCACAACGACAAACAAAACAACTGTTTCATTTTTTTTTTGTGTTTGTTAGAAGCAGGCTTTTGGTCGATATCTTCAGAGGGAACCAACCGTAGTAGTAGATCTAGGAACGGATGCCCTTTTGTAAATCATTCTCGATTGATTTGCGTGTCATTTTCGCAAATATTAGCGGCAGTGATTAAAATACTTCTCAGCAATTACAAACCATTCCAACAATAAAAATAAATCCGCAAATACGTGAATAATAATATTCAGAAATGTTCTTGACGGGACTTATGTTACGGCGGGCGATATTTGCCTTTTAAAAATATATTTTATTTAATTAAAACAAATGAAATTATTAAAGTACAAAAAGTGTAATTATGTCTAAAGATCGAACAAGACTACTGTAAAAATATAACAATTAATAATTGGTGTTAGGTGCCGATTCGTGGTAATTTGCTGTTCCTGGTAGCGGTGTCAGCTTATTGTGCCACACACAGCAATTTACCAGGCGTTACGCCATGGTAACTCCTCCCTCCTTTAGATAGAACCGCGTCTCGCTGTTCTTCTGCGGGGATGGTCTAGCAATCTGGTCTGCGGCCATCTTCTTCCTTCGGGTAGTTATATATGTAATTAATTTCCAGCTCAAATAGCCTAACCCAAGGAGGTATAGGGCGATGGTAGTCCAACTTGGTTTTAGTGATATGAAAGTCTCATTATTACCCACATCATCTTGTATATAATGCGCTGTTTTTATGAGTTCATGTATATTGTCTAAGGAGATGTCTTCTAGTTGTATTTTTTGAATTTCATTTGTTCTTATTGCCTCCTGCTTTGGTAATGGAATAATGTCTTCAATGGTTACAGTATTGCTATGAGTTTGTAGAGTTTTATTTAAAACTTGCACGTAACACTCGTTGGGGATTGCGATGAGATGTACTCCGTTGAGGGTGTGATACGTTATTTCAGTACCACATGTTGCTTTCAGGACCTCTTGAGTGTTGGTGATAAGAAGCCAGCTACTAGGACTAATATTTTGTAACTTTCCCTTCTTTATCATCATTTTTGCGTATGGACAAGATTCGTGGTTGATTTTATGTTCTATTGTTGCTGTGATACAATCTCCAGCGTCTTGTAAGGATTTCAGTAACAACTGCTTGCAGATGTGTACGTCTTCGGTGATGCTGCGACAATCTTCATCTATGTACGTGTACTCTCCCTTTCCAAGTACTAGGTATTTGGATTTATAATGGTAAGGTTGTCTTTGTTAGGAATAGAATACATATGGATAAGGTCATAGGTAGCTGTTTCTACTGAGGGTATTTCTAAAATGAAATTTAATGATTGTTCTGTACTATAAGCTTTAACCTCTATAGACTTTTCTATTTCGTGGATATTTTCTAGATAGATCGGTGCCACGGGATTGAAGCTATATTTACGTTTCATATCTAACATTTCAATAATTAAGTTTTTAGTATTTATTACACTGGGGTGCATGATACCTATTTGTGCGACTGCCATAGCGTCTTCTAAGATCATTAGCTTATCTAATATTAACTGTAAACTAAAATCTATTTGTATATGAACTTGTAATAAACTAAACTGCCTAAATACTATATTAGAATGCTGCGTTATATTTTGTATAATTAAACTTAACCTATTTTGATTTTTATTTATCTTATCTAATTGATTCGCAAATTCTGCAATATTTGAGCTATTACAATAGATTTTTCTTGTATAGAATGTATTTTATTATTGAGATTAGAAATTTGTTGCTCTATTTTTACTGCATCATCGTAATCTAGATTGCCTGTAACTGTTTTTACTAAAGAACCTAATCCGTTAAAAATTCCGCGTCGTACTCTACTATGGGGTATAATAGCTATTATTTTGCTTTGTATCATTTGTATTTTATACTCTATTTGATCTGTATATGATTTATGCAACTCTCCTGGAATTATCTTATCATCATAAAACTTGGTACTTGCATATAGAGAACTCAGCTTTAATGTAGTTGTATATAAATAACTAATGTTGTAGGCACATACTAAGTTAAAAGTATCTATTTGTCTAAGGACTGACCCCTGCTTTAGCAAAAGTATACCATTAGAGTTATCAATGGGAGTGATTTTCACGGTGGTTGCTGATGTGAGCATGAGGGCTCCGGAGATGATCGTCCTGGAACAAGGTGGGGTCTTCGTAATAACTTAAAATGTACTCTTATAGATTTGGAATTAGGGTGGTTACCTATTATTTCAGCCACATTGTTAGGGTGTAAATGAATAATTTTATATGGGCCTTTAAAAACTGGTTTTGTTTTGTCGTTTCTCGCTGTTTTTGCCACCTGCTTATAAACGGTTTCACCTACCTTCAGACGTATTTCCTCTGCTTCCTGGTTTCGCTTGTTTATTACCTGTTCTTTATTTTTAGACAGATTGGCTGCCACAGACTGCTGCACTGCTTCTGCGTTTGTCCTATGTGTAAGTACAAAGTCTTGGTAAAACTCTTTGTTATAGTAGAGTTCTAATGGGTTTCTAGCCGCTGTATGTCCATAAAGTAATTCGTGTGGAGTATAACCTGTTGTGGAATGAATGGAATTGTTATATGCGATAACTGCATATCTCATAAGTGTTTGTATAGTGTCATCTTTGTTAGTCATGCGTTGAATGCGTATAATTTCGCCGATTGTTGAATGGAATCTTTCTATAGGGGAATTTGAGTTGGGGTTATATGGGGTAGTGAAGTGTATGTCTATATTATGTGATGCACAGATTTCTTTTAATATGTCGTTGTCGAATTTAGTGTCTGAGTCTGTCGTTATCTTTAGGGGCAAACCTAGTATAGCAAATATCTGTAGTAGGCCATCTGCAACGTGTACGCTGCTGGAGGCTTGTAAGGGCACAGCTTGCGCAAACTTCGAGAAATTATCAATGATAGTGAGAAATGTTCCTCCGCCAGTAGAATATAGATCCATAAATAAGTGTTGCATAGGTTTAGTAGGTGTTTCCGTTTTCATCAATGTTGGTCTTAAAGGATTGCGTTCGTATTTACCTTTTAAACAAATGTCACATTTATTTACAAAAGCCTGAATTGATAGGAGCATGTTCGGCCAGTGATAATTTCTACGTAGATGTTTATACGTTTCCTGAATACCGCGATGTATATTTTTACCTTCGTGATATTTTTTTATAAGATTTTGTTGTTCTGTCTTATTTTCTACTAATGTGACACGGGTTGTACACCTAAATAACTTTGGGCCTCTTTCATTAAAGACTGTGGTGTATATTTTTGAAAATTCTAAATAAAGGTTTTCGTCGAGAAAGTAACAGTGAAAAACTCTATCTGCTACAGTATGCTCTTTTAGAAATTTTATTATTTCGCGTTCAGTATTGTTAATTGGTATAAATACATCTTTAATTGTTGTTTTAGAATTTGTGGACCTATCCTCTACTCTATATACAGATCCTGGAGTGGACCTTATGTAGAATTGTTTTTGCTGTCTTTCTATAGCGTCTTCTATAATTGGAATTCCTATATTGTCGTTATCTGGTTGGGTGTGTTTGGTAGATATGAGGTGACCTGGCTCAAATGAAGTTGTACTCATACTATCGGTTGATGTATGTGTTTGTACTGTAGGTGGGTTTATTGTAGGCTGTACATTTAAAGGGTTTACTTGGTTTTCAGGGGGATCAGCTTCAGCAGCTTCAGATTCAAGTTCCCTACGTGCGTTTTCAAATATACGTGGGATAATTTCGTCGTCATCGTTGTCATCGAAATTTACTAACAGGGATTCAATGCTATTATGAAATATTTTTGCTCTGGATAAAGCATCCGCATTAGTGTTCTGTTTACCCTTTTTGTATATAACTTTATAATCATACTCAGCTAATTTTAACCTCCATCTTGTTAATTTTGAATTTGGGTCTTTGAGGGACATCAGCCATGTTAATGGTCGATGATCTGTATAGATAGTAAATTTACGGCCGTATAAATATGGTCGGAAGTATTTTACCGCCCATACTATAGCTAGCAACTCTTTTTCAATAGTTGAATAGCGGGTTTCTGTTTCAGAAAGTGTCCTAGATGCATATGCAATAGGTTTGTCTGAACCTAACGGGCCTTGAGAGAGGACTGCTCCGAGAGCAAAGTCTGATGCGTCTGTGGTAAGTATAAAGTCCTTGTCAAAGTCTGGGAATTGCAAGAGTGGGTCGTTGGTTAGAATTTGTTTACATTTATTAAAAGCATCTATGAACTCAGGTGTATGTGTAACTTTGTGATTTTTTTTTAAACAAATAGTCATAGGCTTTGTTAATTTAGCAAAATCTTTAATGAACTTTCTATAATAACCAACTAAACCGAGGAAAGACTTAATGTCCTTCTGTGTTTTTGGGATAGGGAAATTTAAAACAGCTTTTATTTTATCTTTATTAGGTTTAAGTCCGTCGGCTGTTAGTTCATGTCCTAAGAATTGTACATGTTTCTGTAAAAATTCTGATTTATCGAGTTGAATTTTGAGATTATGAGTTTTTAAACGATCAAATACTTGTTTTAATTTATTCATGTGCTCTTGTAGTGACGTAGAAGCTATTATGACGTCATCTAAATATGTAAAGACGTTATCGAGTCCACGTAAAATATGATCCATTAGTCTCTGGAATGTACTTGGAGCATTTTTGAGACCAAACGGCATTCTTAAAAATTCGAAATGTCCCCTTTCTGTTGAGAATGCTGTTTTCTCAATATCACGAGGGTGCATTTCTACCTGGTGGTACCCACTTGCTAAATCTATTGTACTGAAGTACTGTGCACGTCCTAGTCTATCGAGTATATCGCTAATGTTCGGCAAAGGATATTTGTCTTCAATAATCCTATCATTAAGTCGCCTATAGTCAATGACTAATCGCCACTTGACTTTGCCAGAAGCGTCAGGCTTCTTAGGGACTATGTGAACAGGGCATGACCATGGTGATATACTTTCGCGGATAATGCCTTGTTTCATAAGGTTATCGATTTGGGATTTAATTTCTAATCTTTGTTGTGGGGCTTGTCTATAACTACGTACAAAAATCGGGGTGTCGTCAGTTAATCTTAGTTCGTGTTTAACAACGTGAGTGAAGGTTAAAGGGATGTTTTCGGAATAAAATATATCTCTATACTGATAGCACAATTTAGTTATCTCGCGTTCCTCTTCTTCGTTCATATGGCTAGATCGAATTTTCTTTAAATTTTCACATAGTTCTTTATCAATATTTATATTACTTTGCATTGAATATGAATAATGAATCGGTTTTTCATTTTGCTTATATGGTTGTAATTCGATTGGGGATTTGTTTGTAATAATTTTCTTTTCTGTATTTGAATTAATGATTGATGTTAGGAATGTCCCATTATGAACCTTAACTATCGCCGCGGGAGATACTAAACCGGGTGTCCAACTGTACTCGTCATGGATATACTGTCCGTCTGTGTAGTTACATTTAATTTTAATTATTTTTTGGCACATCGGTTCTAATCGAATATTCTTTTTGGGGTAATCGAAATAAATTGGTATGTCAGTAGTATGGGTGCGAAGTATTTTATTTTTTAAATCGATATTACTCGAGAGTGATTTTAATAGGTCTAATCCAATTAATCCTTTATATTTATTGTCAAACTCGAAAATGAGAAATTTGTGAGTGATGTTCGAGTTAAAGACTGATGGTAGGGGCAAATGAGCGACATATGCATGTTGCGTCACCGCGTGAGCTGTCTTTACCTCGAATGGTTCGTAATCGATGCATTGTTCGAGTTTCGCGTATTGAATGACATCGGGCGATATCATAGAACGTGAGGCGCCAGTATCAATGAGAAACTTTCCATTAAACTCGGGGATTATTATGTACGGGAGATGATCTTTATCTTGGTGGTTTAGTTTTATCAACTCTGGTCGTCTTCGTCCTGAGTTTCGGAAAAATCCTGAGATGTTTCAATTTGTTCTTCTATTAAGTTAGTGTTAGGGTAGTAATTGTTATGCTGTTCGTCATGAGGGGAATAATAATCTAACGGGTTGCAATAATACTGAGGTGTGTCGGACTTACCTTCGTACGGAGTGTAGAATAATTCCTCATATGCATATTGTGGAGGTGTCGGTTTGTTAACCGATCGCATAGTGACGTCAGATGTAAGTTGATTCGGACTTACCTGTTGCTGTGGAACGTTCGGCTGTCTTTGCTGGTTATTGTTACTCCTAAAGTTGCCTGAGTTTTGCTTAAAATTACCGGGGATTGGTCTATTCTTCCAGGGTAATAATGAATTAACTAACTGTTGCCGTTGTTCCGGGCTGAGATTATTTTGTTGAGGTACATATTGATTAAATGGCATTTGTCGTGAAAAATGTGGCTGCGTTGAAAAATTGAATGGTGTACCTACTTGACCATGAAATTGACGTGGAAAATTATTAGGTTTATAATTATCTATTTTTGTAGCTTTTTGCTGTTGGTTTTGGGAATTAAAACTAGAATTATTCTTATAAGTAACTGATTTCGTCTCCTCCTGTCGTGCGGTTACTATTGCAAGTTCCAATGTACCTGGCATCATAATTCTTACGCCTATTGATATATGGAAGTCCAATTGACTGATATATTGCTCAATAGCCATTTTCTCATAGTACGATTTGTCGGTGTGTTGCCCAACCATATACAGAGTATCTAAAAGGTCCCTAATCCTTTTACCGAAGGATTCCGCATCCTCGTTTTTATTCCGACGGATACGTGTGAGCTCTTGCATAACTTGAATCTCGTTCCTAGGTTCTCCTAGACGTGTTAGTAGAACGCGTTTTATATCGGGCCAACTGTTTAATGACTCCTCATAAGCTATCGCGTCAATCGCCGCACCACTAAGGCGACTTTTTATAAGACAAACTATAGCTAGAGAGCCTGCATCCGCTGTTGGGTGGATAAGTCCCATTAAATTATCAACTTCTCTTAAATAAAAGTTTAATCTTTTAGGGTTCCCATCGTATTTGGGCATGAGGTCAGTAATCATCTTATAGTCGGCTGCGAACTCCATTTTAATAATATTTTATATTTATGATAATAACTATACTACTATTAATACGTGTATACACACAGAATTCAATTGATTTTAAATTGACTTGTGAAATCTATAGCGATACGAGCCTATAGACAGATACACATTAAAGTTCACTTATAATTAAATACGAAAGGAAATAGAGCATAGGATGTACTTGGAAAGTAATAGAGTACTCACCAACACAGCATCTTCTGCATCTCCGTTTCGGGTCTCGTCGATCACAGGTCTCCAATTTTCCGGATTCCCGCAAGTCTTCAATATGCCGCCGTTATAGTTCTTATTATGAGATCGCGGATAGTTACGATTAGCACCGTTCACTCTAGTTCTCAACACACGAAGAGTCTATTCGCGCGAGGACTTCTATTTACAAAGTCCTAGAGTGCCGCGATCCTACCGACTGCGCCACTTATGTTACGGCGGGCGATATTTGCCTTTTAAAAATATATTTTATTTAATTAAAACAAATGAAATTATTAAAGTACAAAAAGTGTAATTATGTCTAAAGATCGAACAAGACTACTGTAAAAATATAACAATTAATAATTGGTGTTAGGTGCCGATTCGTGGTAATTTGCTGTTCCTGGTAGCGGTGTCAGCTTATTGTGCCACACACAGCAATTTACCAGGCGTTACGCCATGGTAACTCGGGAAAGGGATGAAAAAATTAGAAAAGGTTGAAAAACACCTTTATTCAAAATAACTTTATAACGGTAAGAAATATGAAAATGTTTTAAAAGTTGTAGAGAAAAAATTGTGTACAAAACAGATCATTTTCATTTTTTCATTATCTTGTGTTGTTTAGCCATAAAAATAAAAAAAACTAGCGGCTGAACGATCTGTAAAAGGGGAAACATGTGATATAGTATAAGTATATGCTTGATGCTGGGATGCGCGTGCTGCATTATATAGGGTTTTTAGTTACTTATTATTATTTTTTTGTTTGTTTTGCGCTGATTTTTATTTTCTACAACTTCTATTTAAAACATTTTTCAAATTTCTTACCGTTATCGAGTTATTTTGAACAAAAGCGTCAACTTAAATCAAAATTTCTTTCTGACTATATTATTCACGTATTTGCTCACTTATTTTTATATATTGCGCCAAAACTGGCCACATCATGGTTTAATTTAAAATTTTACTGGACTACCAACCAACAACTCTCATTTGAAATAGATAAAATCAACAAATAACCATTTAATGTCGGAATTGCGAACCGTCCTACTTAGCTTGTACCTACAACTAGAAAGTAGTTCCTACAAACATTAAACTTATCAATAGTAATCTATTCAAATTGAGGATTGTTAATAACTACGATACGTAATTAAGGACCTGAAACTCGGGAAAGAGAGTAGCTATCTCAATGCCGTGGCATTTGCTTGTATTCTATATTAACGAATAAAACAAACCTTATGTATGATCTTTTAATATCAATGTTATTTGTAACAAACTCAATCAACTTTATAACAAACATAAAGATTTGAAAACGAAAATATAACAAAATAAATGCTTTCATAGCAACTGAAACATAAAGAAATCTTACAGATAATCAACAATATATTAAAAATAAATCTTATATAATACTATAGGAATGTCAAAGAATTTTGTTTGATATAAATTTACTTTTTACTTATCATTAATAAAATATAAAGTTTTTATTATCATTTCGTTGCGTTACGAGATCTGTACCTGTATACATATGTATACAAAAACCTCGACTAATTAACGGAAACGAAAAAATGAAATACCTTAAGTCTTAATAGAAATAACCAGCCTTATAATAAATCCTAATACTGTTTTAAAAAAAATCCACAGATGTTTACAATTATACACATTATATAAATGAGATATTCTAGTACTAATCCTGACATAATGTTACAATGAAAACACATATTTTTTTAAGCATACTCAAACAAATTGTAGTATCTGGTAGTGCGCCGTGATGACGTACTTATTGATAAGTCATCGTCGTCAGTCAACGCAAGCATCATCCTTAAGGCATGCTCCAACATTTGTGCCTGCTCCAAACATTTTACTACGACTTGCCTGAAAAGAACATATATATAAAATTCTCGTGTCACAATATTAGTTACTCCTCCGAAACGGTTTGACCGATTTTTATTAAATTTTACCTAAATATTTAGTAAGTCTGAGAATCGGCTACTATTTATTTTTCATACAAGTGATAAGGGTTGCTTATTTTTTTTAATAAATGTTATGGTTTATATTTTAGAATGTGGCATTAAAAAATACAACCCTAAATTTTCACCCTTTTACCATCAACCCATATTTTTTAATAGCAATTTTAATGTATATTGCAAAACAACGTTTGCGTATTCAGTTAGTTGTATTATACAATATTTAACATATAGTTACAATAGGGAGTCCCAACTCTAAAGTAACGGCCGCAATGTGGGCTAACATTGCTTATTCGTTTTCAATTTCAACTCCACCATGTAATAATCCGGTTGAAATAACGACTTTATGTCAGTTGCTTATGGTATTATATCAATGTGGTTACTCATAGTAGGAGATCTTTATATGTAGTTTATTAGCTGTTAGCGACGGCTTAGTCTGCCTTTATTTTAGTAAAATAGCCTGAGTTCCTCTTTCTGATAAAATCTATATTGAAATTAAATTCATTAAGATCCGTTCATCCGTTCAGACGCGAAAAGGAAACAAATAAATATAAAGATTTATTCATATAAATAATAATAGTATCCTTACACAGCGCCATTTAATCCCAAGCTAAGCAGAGCTTGTGTTATGGGTAATGATGTAAATACAGACACTATACACATAGAAAACACCCAGGCAGATATAAAAAACCATACTCATGAATGAACGCGAGGAAACGAACCCGGGACCATCAGAAGTAAAGCGCTGTGTTAAACCGCCAGTCCACCGAGGACGTCAAATAAATAACTTACTTATATCTCGTCATTCGTTTGTCTGTAGAAGCGTGTGTTCCCGCCTTGATGAGTAGTTCTTTTAGTTCGCTGTCCTCCTTAGATTCTCTTTGAATGATGCTGGAAATAAAACATACTTACAGGTTATCATCCTATTTTTAACTCAGTTTTGGAAATTCAGTACTGTGTACTGTACAGTATTTGTAATGTATGTGTGTGTGTGTGTGTGTCCTACTCTCATCTATTTCAGTCTCCAGGCAGCTTGCTTTAGAAGCTGTTTGGAGGTGTGTTTCAAAGTGGAGATAATGCAGTAAGATTCCTGGATATGAAGATATCGTAGACCTTCAGAATGCCAAATAATGAGTCGTATACAAGCGTCACATGATAACGTGACGTGCATGTATATAGACGACGCCATTTTACCACCAAGTGACCTGTCAGCTTGTTTAACAATTAAATTACATAAAATATCAGCAGCAGATTTTTTTGCCTTATGAAACCTACACAGCAGCCTTAACAGCCTTAAAAAACATTGATCGTATGAAACAGATATCATTGGCTTACCTTTTCAATTTTTCAATGATATTAGCCAACTGACAATGTGTGTGGGAGACCTTGCTGTGGAGTCGCCGCTTCTTTTCGTCTTCTATGATATCATCAAATCTAAATTCATTTATATTGTCATCTCTGTAATGAGTAACTATTATTGTAAAGGAAGCAAGAAATATTATCTTTGAAATGGAAGGATAATCAGAGGGATTGTCATCTGAAAATTATGTAATGTACACAACATATTACATACTAATTTTCCCTACATACGAGGCTTATAACCCAGCTGTCAACTGTCGCTTTGCGCCATATTATTTTTATTAAATAACAGGAGACAACATAGATTAAAAATACTTACATAAACTTATAAATTGACTTCAAAGAACCACTCAGTTCGGTTAGAAATATTTTCAATAATGAATAAGCTTGTATGCTCTCACTCTCAAAACCACTATCATTTGTACCACTATCATCTCTGTTTGTATCAGAATTTCTTAATGGAGATGAACTGTCAATGGTAATATAATTTTCATTTAACAGAATAATAGTATCAGTGTCATTTATTGAATTAATATGATTAAATTCATTATCATTAGTACTATTTATATTAATATCCAAATTTTCATTGCTGAAGTTTCCATCTGTTATGCTAGACAGCGACATAGCTGTAAAATCGGAGGCTTCCAACAAGGATTGTTTCTTCAATTTCTCCTCGTAGACATCTAGTAATCTTATATTTCTTATTACTGTAGGTCCATCATTTTTAGTTGCATTAAAAGTGTTACCGTGTATTGTAAAATTTAAATCATTATCATCATTTCTATTATCACCATTTTTTAAATTTACATTTGAATAATGTAATTTTCTTACTATTTTTGATTCATCAAGTTTAATATAGTCAGCACCAGCTGTATTGTCAATATTTTGTGGAGTTCTAGTTTCCCTGTTGATTACTATTACATCACCCAATTGTCTCGTTTCTTTTGATTCATTTTCGTTTATATGTACTTCGTCTACGTCTGGTTGTATAAGTGATAAAGATTTCATTTTGTCTATTGTCAAATTTTTTAAGTTCCGTCCAAACGTACGCACTATTTTTGTATCAGTATTAACTTTGCAATTATCTTCTACTGGTTTATTGTTTACTTCACTATATTTCCTCCACTGCGGGAAATGCTTCTGTACGTACTCCATTACTTGAGATGGTTTTTTGATAACTGTTATATTGTGAGAGTCAATAAAGTCATAAATTAGAAGGATGAAACAAAGTTACTAACTAGGTCAAAATTGCTTGTAGTTTTTTGTGTGTATATAGTAATTCGGTGAAATTGTATTCTAAGCTACATAATGTTGTTATTTTATAGTCATAAAAATAAGAGAAATAAATTGGGTCTATTTAGATACATGTAGTTACATGAATAGATATTTTTTTACATCTCAGAATATTTCACACAGCGCCATCTAGTTCCAAGAGCAGAGCTTGTGTTATGGGTACCAGATAACTTATATACTTCTTTTCGTAAATATGTATCAAGAAAACACCCAGACCGATACAAACTATCATACTTAAAATGATGATGATACTTATAAATACAAATATAAAAAATAATTGTAATAATAATATTATATTTGCTTAATTTGTTAACTCACAGCCATGTCTAGGTGTTTCAATCTCATCATCCACACTATGGCTGGGTATAGAATACCGTACTAGGTCTTTCTCGTCTACCAGTGGTACTGGATTTTTAATGCTTCGAATCATATTTATAAGCTGTTGTTCTGCTTCTATAAGCGCTTCGCAATCTGGTCGGAACACCTGAAATACATTAACAAACAAAAAGTGCATAAAAAATTATATTTCACTTACTGGATTGGACTAATATGGAAGTAAACTTAATTGAGGATGAAATATATAACTAAAAATTGGTTAAGATATTCTTTTACATGTAATTGGAAGCTAAATAAACATGGTACGTGGTAACCATCCCCTATATACATGAACTATGGATACAGGTCATCATCTGACGTCCGTAGTACACCGTTGATATTCTAGAGGACTATGACGTCATGGCACCGTATTCTGCAATTACATTGCTTTATCTCATGTTTCAACCGAAACACATTACACGGAAGGTCTTTTATTTCGGAGTACCCTAATGCTGTTGGCCGCAGCTGGCCTTTACAGCCCCAACTCGCGGAAGGACTTTGGACCGGCTGAGGCCAACACGCGCCTGACCGTTACCACTTTAGTCTGAGGGCATCGCTAGGGGTTCGAACCTCGGCTCAGGCCATCGTAATTTCGATCCCCGTTTGAATTGGACGAGGGATCGATCAGAGGGGGCGGACGGACTCAGTGGTCTAGCGATTTAGCACACCGCTCACCGCTTTTCGGATGTTCATTGGCACTGCTGTTGCGTTGATACTATACATACCTGTAAGTTCCGTAGCAATATCACAGAACATCCTACAATTCTCATGAAATAATTGGGTTTCTTATGAGATTCCAATTTACCTGAAATATTTAATAAAAAAATCATACACACGAATGGTATTTTAACCTAATTGTTTTGGTCTACTATCAATACAGCGCTTGCGTTAACGGCATACGCTCGCTAGTACAAAAAGCTTATGACTTTTAATTAGCGCGTTTTTACAAATTCGGTCTACAAATTTGTAAGTGATAAATTTACCTTTCTCACAAGAATTATGTAACAATATTAATAATTTGTCCACAATCTCTGTAATCTCACTGTTCTTGTATATTTCTTTGAGAGAAACAGTTGCTTCTTGTACAGTCCATGGGGGCCTTAGTGGTAGTGTATTTGACTCCTGGAAATTATGTAAATAATACTAATAAAATAAATACTAGTCTATTAAATACTAATATTTCAAAACAAGATAAACCGCAGAAAAGAAAATAAGAAGAGTGATTTTTCTTTCTACTGTTACACTGTAGCGCAGTCAAGGAGAAAAAGACGTGTGCAAACACAATAATCCACGCATTATCTTTATATTACTTAATACGTGAAACAAAAACTTTGTATCCTTTGTTACGAAAATTGTGAAGGGGTATAAAATTTCGCACACTTATAATTATAGAGGAGTGCAAAAAGCTAATATAAAATTATGAATAAAAATATGTACATTAAACACTCTACCATATTTGACCCACACACACATAGAAGTCTTTGACAATAGACCTTAATAATGTTAAAATATAATAAATTAACTATGGTCCAATTTGACCATTGGGAGAGACTACTAGTTCTTATTATTATTACATTTATCAGAATTAGCTTCCCTTTAGGTACAACGTTTAGAAAATATTTATTTATCACCTTTCTGATTAACTAATTTTGCATATTTAAGAAAAAAATTTATATGCATTATATAAATATTTTTCAATTATAATTTATTTATTCATTTGGCACAACATCTTAAAATAACCTGTAATGATTTTGACGTAATATGTTTTTTACCTGCAATATAATAGCTAATGCATCTTCCATGACTTGTGAATATGAGCAAAACCATTCTTCAATTTTGGACTTGATTGTATGTTTAATTACTTTATTTATCACATCAAATCTCTTCAATTTGTCGTCTAAAGAAATTGTAGTGTCAGTCAGTTGACTTTCGTCTAATACTGGCAGGGTTTGATATTCATTTTCTGTTTTAATATGTAACATATTTTGCCTTTCATCCATATGTGGATGTTGAAATTCGGAATTATTTGTTTTTATTTCATAAGATTGTTCATTCATTTCAACATCCCCATTCAATAAGTGCGGTACATTATTAAGTATTTGTTTAGTGTCTTGATCGTTATTGGATATATTTTGATTTAGAATATTGGACTTTAATTGATCTGGCATGTGTTGTTTATCTATACTTTCACTACGAGGGATCAACAAATTTATACTATCTTGAGGTTCATTTTCGATCTTTTTATCCACACTGTAAGGAAAATTATTATCGTGTTCATCAGTTTCTATATTTTTTCTAATTATTTTTTGTAAGTCCGTGTCAACATTAGCAACAGTAATGGACAAGGTACCTTCATGATCGACTGAGAGATTTTTGTTTTGTACGGATACATTTGTAAAATGTGTATTTGTTAATTGGTCAACATTTATTAGGGACGTATTAGTATTAGTATCCGCCATATTTTCCATTGTTTGCACTCGAGCCTTTTCAAATAACGGGTTTCTTGCAACGTCAACAGTGAAATCGATTTCCTTGCTCAATAGAAAGGGGTCCAGTTGATCTGCTCTTTGCAGGAATAGATTTTCATTACTATTACTTACAGTAACTACAATTTTTTGATCTTTAAACGCCACTTCCGGTTTAAGGCCACTTTTGATTTCATATAATTTATAGCAATGTATCAATACAGATTTTGCTTTATTATATAATTTTGCATCATTAGTTATTAATATCTGAAAATATGAAAAATAACATATGAGAGGGTCAACCTATATCTAGAGCAAACAATTGAGAAGGCTCTTTTTATTAACAGATGTATACATGTAATAATAAAACTTTATTTATTTCTCCTCACAAACATGGATGGATACATGAACAAATACATATCGCGTTTTTGGATAATATCATGCAAAATAACTACGATTAATTGATATAAGTACATGATTTATTTCTATGTAGCTAATGTAGTAATGAAACAGTTGTTACTCGAGTTGTACGGAATGCACTAATGGTAGCCCGGTGCAAATAGACAAAGATACGATGAGAATGAAGTCAGTTCATCTCATCATGGCGAATTCACGAAACGTGAGAATATAAATGTGTTATCCGACTACAAAAAGGAAGAGGTTCTTGTTTCTCATTATTTACACGAAAACAAATGGTAAGTCTACATACCACATGATAATTTCGTTCAGACGTCTTGAGGCAACAATACACAATGCGGTCTAATGCAGACATGTTTCTAGCTGCATCCGTGTTTTCTACATCCTGAACTGTGGAGGAAAAAGACAAAGAAAAGGTAGAATAGAAATAATCTTTATTCAAGCACGTTTGAACAGTCATGTTATTGTTGGAAAGCAGCGTCTCACAGTACAATTTAGTAATATGGACATTTTATTTTTAGTGGATCCCCACAAGTTGCATCTTTATACAAACGGAACTTACTAGCTGCTAGGTTGCTGTTTTGTTAGCGTCCAGAGTACATAGTTATGATTTTTAAGTGGGTAAGAGTCCCAAATACCCCCTCATCACAGCTGGCGACGCCAGAGTGGTGACGAAGGGGAGGGTGCACGGTGTTTCGAAGATTTTTCCATACGATTAAAGTAAAGAAAAAATGTGGTTGCTGGTTTGAAAAACTTGATATGGCACGACGAATTTATGAAAATTATTATTGAGGGAAAAATATAAAAAAGGGGGAGGGGATAACCAAGGCGCAGTACACCAAATTAAAGATAAGTAGAGTTGTATCAGCATTTAAAGAGCATGATGGAAGATCGTGTAAAGAGCTCCATAGACAAGAGTGGGGCTCTTTAATTAGGAATAAATAGTTTTAAAAAACTTACCGACGAGATATGCGGGCGGCCTGTCCAGCCTGCGGACGAGGTGGCGCGCTAGCATCATTCTTCGCTCATTCTCATTAACATGATTGCGACTTGCTGACAACACTGCCTCCATCACGCTCCGAGGGACCAGCAGACGACAGCTCGAATCTACAAAGATAGTTAAAAATAATAATAAATATATAAACAAAATTCAGACAGCGCCATTTAGCGCCTCAAAATTAAGCAGAGCCTGTGCTAAACTGCTAACACAGTTAACATTTTGTATATATAAAACAACACCGTGACCAAAAAAAAACACATTGTGCAGGCATTAAACCCGCGACTAGCATAGGACAAATAAGCTTGCGGTTCACCTGATGGTAAGTGATACCCACCCATGAGCACTCGCAACACCAGGGAAATTGTAAGAGTGTTGCCGGCCAAGGAGAACAGAGAAGGAACAAGCCCATTTCTTGAAGGTTTTAATATCTTATTTGTTGAGAAATTTCACATTGCTGGAAGGAACTTTTATTATTTAATAGGCAATTACTGGCACCTATATTTTTATTAAGTACATAAATTTGACGTAGCAAAGTGTACGAAACGCTGCAACAACGTTGTATTTAAATGAGTTTATAAAACCTGATATCTACCAGTCGGCACCCCCTACGAACACGCGCCCGGATGCGGCTACACCCTTAGAACCCCCGGCTAGAGACGGCCCTGATACAGGCATTCAAGACAAATAAGAATCTAAGTTGATGTACTAATTACCCAATTTAACAAAACTCTCCATAAACGCTAATTCTTCCAACAATATTTCCGTGTCAACTACGATGTACCAAATGTCCGTTCTTAGAGATGATGACGCTAGATCTCTTAAGATATTGAGAGTATTCTGCTCTTCTTTGTAAGTCTGAAAAAAATATTTTTGTAGAAATATTACAAATGAAATAGGATATATTTTTGGGTACCACAATTAAAAACAGGTAATTTTATGCTCATATACATCGACTGTACATCAATAAAATATAACATTTTTACGAGAATTGCGCGAACGGTGAAGTACAGAATTTCGTATTCCTATATTATATAAAGAAGCATATCAATAGCATTCTCTACTAATAATACTTTTTTATATATATAATGAAAAATGCTAATATTTTATTAAAAATATACATAAAAAAGACATTAAATCAATAGATAAAAAACATTACACACGATATCACGTATCTGACACACACACACGCATACTCTTTTGTTTTATTGCCTACGAGACAACCACAGCCTGTGATTATAGATGTATACTTCTAAGTCTATAGTCTTTGACAATAGAACCTTAATAATGTTCACATTTGTAATTTAAATTAATTATGGTAGAATTTTGATCACTAGTATTGAGGCTACCAATAGTACCTATACATTAATATATGAATTACAACGCATCACTACTTCATACTTACATCGTCGACATCACCCGCACAGTCAACATAATAAAGTTCTTCTAAATTGATGACTTCATTCCGACTCCCCAAGTCGAAACTTACTTTTTTCTTTCCAATTCCTTTTGACTTTTCCTCTAAAACAAAACCTTTAGTATTGTTATATATACAAATATATTTTTTTTAATGGTCGATTATTGAATGGTGCTCATGCATTCGCTAACGATTTACGCTGGCGAAGCACCAGTGGAGGATGATGGCCTAACTGACCTGACCTCATACTCATGAGGTCAGATCAATTAGCCCATCATGGTAAATTCACTACAAATTTATCATGATGATTTCCAGGGGGTACCGCGTGGAGGTCAACCTGACACATACCTGACACAACGGTACATTGCTAGCAATAAGATTCATTAGTTCACTTAACCTCCCTCTCCCATACTCACATTATAAATCGCGAAAGTGCTACTATCTGTCTGTTTTTTACCATTTGATGACTAAGTGTAGTAAGTAGTAACTTATCTTAACCAAAAATGGCGTGAAGATAGATAAACAAAGTAAACTAGTATAAAATGACATATATTTATTAATGAGATTATGGTTATAAAATTTTCATTATAATTAAGACTATTGTGGTTTAGTGTTTTAATACACCAACTGCCACAAAGAGGTGTGAGTTTGATTTAGACCTATATTTACAGAAAAATAAAATTGTACTTCAAGAAAGGCTCTAAAATGAAACAATCTTTCGAATTTGTAATGAAATACATACATACCATCTACATTATTGGGCAAATTGTCCACATTAACAGTTTTATTTTTTTTTGCCACAAGCAGAAATCGCAGATCAGCATTTTCTAAACCATTCACCTTAAAATCTTTGTTCTCAATATCATTCTCAACTTTATCACTTTGTCTTAAATTTAACATTTTCGTATCTGATTTTGATGTATCTTTGTTCCTACACAATTGATATTCACCATCCCCTGTTTCTAAATCAGATTGACTGCTGCTTTTAGGATTAACTTCAAACTGTGACACTAATGCTGATTTATAATTAGTTGTTTGGACTGGCAATTCACTTAAGTTTTTATTATCTATTATTATTTTATTTTTATAATTAAAAATTATATGGGGCGGTTTAAAGTTATTGAACCTCTTACACAGGGGAATGTCACAAGCATCTACATGGAGTTGTGAAAAGTTTTCTGTTATAAATGTTTGAGTATTTTTATCTGTTGTTTGTTTTTTTGGTGTATTGGCCGCAAGCATTGAAGTAGAAATTGGGATTGGAGTCCATAGAATATTTTGTATATGTGGACCAGCATCTGTAATATACTTGGGGAATACAACTTGGGCAAACACAGGGGATGGTTGTGTTATGGTTTCTGGATTTTGAGGGGGATATTGGTAGTTTATGTAATTTACATGAGAATTGGAGGGTATTTGGTTATCTACTACTGGAGTCTTTGGGTCTGGATAACTGTGGGAATTATCTGGCATATTTTCTGTACTGTACTCTCTTCTTTCATTTGTGACAGTTTTTTTCTGAAAAGAAATATTTAACATAAAGTATCATGATGTCATTTTGATTATAAATTTCTAATAGATTTTCTTAGGGATATCATTTAACTGCCAAACTGCCATGCTCAAAAACATTGTATTTGACTCTTGAAAAAATAAATTCAAATAATTAATATCTCAAAATTAAAAATTATATCTTTTTTATGACCAGCAAATAAACAATTCCTTTTTCACAGCAACAGTTGCCCATCAGATGGTATACAGGTACCATAGCTTATAAATATATGAAACACAAAGAGTATCACATGCATCTTACTGTCTCTTAAGAAACCTCATACATAGTCTCTAGGGAAAACCTCAGCATTTAGTTAATTTCACAACCTGAGACTATATGGAAGGAAGATATTCTCAAACCAGCATGTTACCACTAAGATTCCAGAATATGAGAGTGAAATCCCTGTCCATGGTGAGTGGTGCGATTGTAGGAGGAAGCCATTACAACAGTCTAGACCATCCTGTATTTTTATATGAGACCAAAGAATCTCTTACCATAAGGTAAATGTATAAATATCAGTCATTAGAGTACAGTCAGTAAGAGCAAAATTAACATAAAATTTTATTTTATGCAATAGAATTACTATCCTTGGATATTAATTAATTCACAAACAGGGCTGGACGCCTGAAAAATCATTCTATTTTAACAGAATAAAATATATCTCTCAAATCAAATAGAAAGACCGTAAAACGTTAATTCAAACGTTTTAAACAAACTTCTATTTAAAGTTTATAGATTCGTAGATAAATATAATCGTACTGTTTATATACAGTGAAATTTTTTTTAATCACAATATATATACATACTTACATCAGCATCGTTTAAACTCCATGCGGTGTCCCCATTAGTTACATTAAAATAATAAAATTTGCCTGGAAAACTTTTCGAGGGACACAGAATCCAACCATTATTATCTTTTTTATTGGTATTCATTGTGTTATATTACAACGACTATAAGTTATTTATGCTACATGTTTTCTTAGAAACTGTGCTCCCACTGTATCACAGTCAACAAAAAGAAACTTGATAACTTTTGTAAACAAGTCTAAACATTTTGCTGACACCCGCGAAAACACAAATATAATTTTTTATTAAGCTTTTTTTTCTTATCGTACCTGAGTTGCCAACTTTAGTATTTTTTGACTCATCTCATAGTCGTCGTAGTAATATTATTGGTACATAAGAAAACATTTAATGAAAAGCAAACAAAGTTGCCGGTAACAGCTAGTTGTGTGTGTTTTATATGTTAAAAATGGTAAATATAAAAAAAATATTAATGGAAATACATCACCAAAACCTTCGTCAATAAATTGTTTTTTTTATTTTTTTATGACTTTCGATTCGGTAGATGTTAATTCCTAAAAGTGAATAAATATCATATTGCGATGTTACAGATAGATGGACAAACGATTAGACAAACTGAATGGTCGCTGAACAAGAATTTTAAGATATTTCCTTTTTTCTGTTTAATTAAGAATTCAGAAAAGAATAATTTTTGTTCATGCGATTTTCTTAAACTAAGTAAGATCTAGGATTGTGATGTTAAGATAATTTTGAAATGTTATTAGGAATGTAACACCTATTAGGAATAAAGGGCAATGAAACAATAGTATATTTACAAAACATTTTTTTTTATAAAATATTAAAAGATAGTATCTTAAAGCTAAAAATGAGCAAGTTAGATATTATAGGAACGATCACAGCTACGTACTACCACCCACATTATCTCATAATTATTACATCATAATAATACCATGCCGTACCAAAACTGTTATTAAACCATTGTACCTAGAAATGAGGTAAGTATTATACTTTATATCAAATAAAAACTTAATTATAAAATATTTATACATTATTATAAGAATATTTTGAATATTTCAGTCAATATTTGAATAAGAATGGGTAATTTAATAAAATACCTATTTACAGGGAAGCCATTCGTATAGATACTAGATTAAAATAAAATTATGCCAATACAATTATAAGATTTTTCACTTCTTGGTACGGGATAGAAACTTTCAGGGCTGGCAACCCTGCCTACCTGTATACGTAACGTACTCCACTCAGTATATGACCCGCGAGCCAGGAACGTATAGAGGTGGTCAATTTCATCATAGTTTGGGTTATGAAGCCTAGTTAATTGAGGATGGCTTCAGGAAAAGCATCCTTGCAAGTATGTAAATTTTTACATAAGACAATAATTGTGGTTCAAAAATCAATTCAGTTGATATATATATAGTTGAAACTATTAATTAAAGATGAAAAATAATCAGTTGGCTGTAACGTGGTGTACTATACTTTAGTATATACTATACCTTAGCTTTATATACCTACAAGATCCGACTTTCACTAGGCTTCAAAATACAACACCCATAATAACTATCTTAGAAGTTATCGACCGCGAGGAAAGAATTGACGATAAAGCCTCTGGCTCGGGGACTAGCAGCATGATACAAATGACAGACAGTTTATTTACACTAAAAATAAAATGTTAGCGTATTACTTAGTAGGTGTAGGTACATTGTTTTTGGTTTGAGCATATCGTCACAAAGGTATGAACTTATTTTTAGAGAGAACTGATATTTCTGGCAAAATAATATTAATATGAAAGTAATATAATTGAATAAATACAGACCTCCATAAGTTCATACACCACATCTAAGACTGTTAATATACCTTAAGTTAGTTAGGCTGGTAACATACACTAGATTAGTTGTCAAGTTGCTGAAGCCGTATAGTTGGATGCAACCGAATGCAACGTACTGCTATTTAGGATGGGCGGTGTGGCAACCAAATGTGCCTATTTGTCGTATTGCATTTGGGCAACATGACTACTAGCTGAATATATGTTACCAGCTCGAAATATATTTTAGCCCTTGTACTGTTTCAACAAAATAGCTAATAATATCGTGCACAAATTAGATAAAAACATCTAATAAATAAATTGCATTTGATTAAAATTTAATTTAATGTAAATACTATTAGCTAAATATACGTATGGAACACTATATTTCGAATCTTGAGTTCTGAATATATGTTAAAAGTTTGTCTCAAAAAAAATATCAATCTACTATAGAAACAAAGAATAGGCGTGTTAGGTATTTATGTTCACGCCATAATTTCTTGAGGGCTCAATTATTTAACACTATTACAAACAATTAATAATGGTAGTTAACTTTTGAATTTTGTTGATGCAAACTTAAATGAAGGGATCACAGTTGCAACTGCCAGAATTACTTTATTCTTCTTTCTTTCTTCAATATGTATTAATTCGTATAAGGGTATGAAGCCTCAAGTATTATTAATTATTAAGTAGCAATCTTTGATGTAGGTTTTAAGTCACTTTTTTTGTTATTTTTTTACCCGTTCAGGAAGTAATTGTAGCCAAGAAGAATTGGCAAGAAATATTAAGCATTAATTTGTAATTTCACAAATACATTTTAACTAATAATTTGACACTCACATATGCACACCTACCTTACTTTGCATCAATGATGGCAAACAACCAATTTTAATTTAAATCACAATTGGCAGAAAAGATTGTTTAAGGACGATATGTACCAAATAACTTAGTTTACCATGTGGAAATGAAAGTGACAAAATAGGTAAATACACGAAGGCGATTGGATTGTTATTAATATATTAAATTTTTTGTTGCTTTATTTAGGGCAATTCTGACTCATTATTCAAGATAAATAATCTTTTTAATATTGATTATAGACTATGAAATAGATAATAGTAGTTTTAGACTTCGTACAGCTTACATAAGCTATAGGCTGCGTTAAGGGTGGAATTTTTTATTATATTTTTACAATAATTAAAAATAGATTAGAATTGAGTGTAATTCTAGTTTGACTACCTAAAGTGAAAAAATAGTAGTATTTTATATAATAACTACTAGTTAACTTTCTCAGAACCAAACACAATGTCATTATTTTTAATAGACAATATATTTATTTTTTAAATTTAATCTATAATAATAATGGGCCCCATACTTTTAATTTTTAATTAATATTCAGTCTTTACTTTTTTAGGTAATGTACAATAAAATATAACTTATAAATCGAAGTGATTTAACTAAAGTTTTTTTATAAAGGCCTCTTTCTCATAAGCGAACACTTTGTTGTTTGTAAGTGTTTCTGTGTTTTTGCTCTTAAAATGTAACAGGGAATTCAACATTTCGCTTTGTACTTGATAGTTATAAATATTTTTGGTTATAAAGTAACAGCCCAGAAGTAATAATAATGTTAGGAGTACATAAGATAAAGGAGGTAGGATAACAACTATGAAGTAAATTGTCCATTGTATATTTGACGGCAATCCTTCTTGATTCTGAAACAGAAATAATAAAATCTTTTAATAAAAAAAAGCTCTTAATACAACTGTATTCGAAAAATGAATATTTTTATGTTTTGTGTGTGATTTTGATAAATTAATTTATTAATAATATTGAAGCTACCTTGCTTGTTAAAATTAATTGTAATAATAATGATCGTGAGTTGCATTTTAATATGGGGCTGTAGTATCCGGGGATAATTTATAAACTATTACCGCTCCATTGAATTAGAATCGCAGGACCATTTCACTATCGAGAAAATAACTGTTCCTGCAATGTCATTCCAACGTTAAAGGCACCTAACGTAGGTAGTCAAGGGATGCATTCACCATAGCCATTTGGCAATGCCTCCGACTGGGGAGATGGAAGGAATTATTTGTAATGAGGACTAGTGTACCTCCAAGCGATGACAACAATAGACTGGTTAACCTGACTTCATCCTCATTCTACTACATCCTCCACTGATGCTCCGCCAGAGTTAATTGTTAGCGCAGACGACGGGCGTACCTACATTCTATATAGATTAATAATTAACTACTCCTAATTAGGCGAAGGTAGGAAGATCGCTAGTAATATGGATTAATAACCGGGTGCACCACTCCATTACCATTCATTCATTCATTATAGAAAAAAACTATTCCGTTTTACCCCGTCCAGAACCATCCTACACAAGTCAACTAAAATTATTAGGTATACAATAATTAAACTTACATATTCCGCCCAAAACAATGGCAGTACCAGATTAGAAAACTTAGAGTAGGGAGAGTTGAAACGGGATATATCGTGGACTCGCAGGTTGCTCTGCATCCTCGCTACAGACCGGAAAGGGGTGCCAGTTAACTGGAAATGGATAATTAAATAATATTAACGCTTTATGAAACAAAAATTAAAATTGCATTCGTAAACATTTTAACGCTAAAAATAAGAGAAGTAAGAGGTAAGTATGGCTAATAAGTATTGTAAATTCCAGATATAAGACTGGTAAATAGATGTATTAATTAAAGAGGGACAGTACATGATAAATAGATGTATTAATTAAAGAGAGACAGTACAATATCTCTATCTCACGCTAAGCAGCTTGCTTTGCAATTTATGCTGTTTTGCGATGTGACGTATAAGATACAAACAATATTAAAATACAGTAGACAGGTATAACAACTTAGTCATTAGGAATGGCAACGCATGAGAGGTATCACTAGTCTTTCAATAAGTTTTCTGAAGTTTGTAGTGATGTTTACTTAATAAAGGTAACGGTTACCGTTTTTTAATAGATAACTTTTATTGTTAGCTTGAAAAATTTTAAGTTTATCTTGTTGGCTACAGCTGGCCTTTACAGCTTCACCGAACGATAGGGAGTGAGAGATGAGTGCAGATGGATACGACTTTAGTCTGAGGGCATTGTTAGGGTTTCTCGAATCTCGGCTTAGGGCGTCGTGATTTCGATCTATGTTTGAATTGGACGGGGGATCAATCGAAGGGGTTGTAGTAGCATGTATAATAATGTATATTATAAGAAGATTTAATAAATGGTCGATATTATATAAATTTCACTCACAGGTTCCACGACTATATAAGAGTTGTGCTTATATCTATTTGGTTGAAGTCCTGTCACGTATTGGTCTCTCGGTGGTCTCCCTGTGTAGAAGTGTGGGTACGAGACTACCATTGGAAAATCTAAAAATAAATAAATGAACATTTAAAAAAGTTCTGTGTCTGTTTTTTTTTTATGGATGATTATTATTATTATTATTGGGTCGTCCGCTGGTCCTAACTGGACCGCTGGGTACGGGCCCCGAGCTTGCGCTCCTTGCCCGGGCATTCTGCTGGGGTGAACCACCCCAGCGTCGTTCTTTTACCAGCCGACCTGCCGGCCGGCCGGAGGGCGGCTGCTTCTCAGCAGCCGCCTGTGGGCGTTGTGTGGCAGGAATCATTATGTCGCTCGCCGAGCCGGCTTAACGCCGCCACGTCACGTAAATGACGTGATCACTCGGTGGAGAGTAGGTCGCGCGGGAGCGCGCGAGTGGCGTCCGGTGGGCGCGCGTGGAGGGGGGCGAGGTCGCGCAGGTGCGCTTCGCGCCCGCTGTCCGCGCAGGTGCGCTTCGCGCCCGCTGTCCGCGCGCGAGAACATCGCGCGCGTCAACCGGACGACGAACTGCTCCACCGATGGGACCTTGAGGTCGCGGGCGATCACGTCATTACGGACGTACCGTCCGGCATTTGTGCACAGACGGAGGGCGGCGTTCTGTTGGACCTGCAGTCTCCGCCGCTGTGAGGCCGAGCACAGTGCGTACCATGCGGGGGCGGCATATGTGAGCCGCGAACGAATGTAGGTCTTATAAATGCCTACTTTCGTCCGCAGCTGCAGCCTGGATTGTAAGACCGGTCGCAGCATAGCGCGCGCGGCCTTGGCTTGGGTGACAGCCCGGTCCACCTGCGGCGTCATACGCAGCGACCGGTCGATTTCTACCCCTAGGTAACGCACTGTGCGTTCCCACTGTATGGGCTGGCCTCTCAGTAAGAGGGGCGGCGGGCATTTGCACCCGGGGCGGGTAAGCAGCGCCACCGTTTTACCCACGTTAACGGTGGTACGCCACTTGTCCAGCCACTCGGGGAGCAGGTCCAACAGCCGCTGCATTTTGCGAGCGGCTGCGTAGGCTCGGCGAGACGACGTAAGGAAGGCACTGTCGTCGGCGAAAAGAGCGAGGACGACATCCCTCTCTCCCTCTCGGAGCTCATCCCTCAAGGTGGGGATGTCGTCTGTGTACGTCGTGTAGAGCGCTGGCGAAATGCAGCTGCCCTGCGGGACTCCGGCGGCGATTGGGCGTGTGGTAGAGTCACAGTTCTCGACCGAAACGTAGAAGCTCCGGCCCGAGAGGAACGAGTCCACTACTCGCACGTATGCTGACGGCGTGTTGGTGTCGAGCAGCTTTGACACCAAACCGTCGTGCCACACACGGTCGAACGCCTTCTCTATGTCGAGAAATACGCCGACCGTGTAGTGGCCGCGGTTGTGCTCGACAGCCATGTGGTGGAGCACGCGCGTCAGCTGCAAAGTCGTCGAGTGTCCGCCTCTGAAACCGAACTGCTCGTCGCGAGGCGACAGAGTCGGTCTCAGGCGGCGGAGCAGGAGGCGCTCGAACGACTTTGCTACGTGCGAGAGCAGAGTGATGGGCCGGTAGCTTGCCGGCAGGCGCTTGTCCTTACCGGGTTTCGGGAGGACTATGACTCTACCCAACTTCCAGTTGGTAGGGAAGTGGCCGGTCCGGAGTATGCCGTTGTAGAGCCTCGCTAGACACGCTAGGGCTCTACGGGGCAGCTGTGCGAGCGCTGCGGTGCTGATCCCGTCCGCTCCGGGCGCTTTGCGCTTCGGTAGGCGGCTGACGAGCCGCCTTACCTCGCCGGGCGAGACGAAGCTCACCTCGGTAACGTCCGGCGACGGAGCGGTACGGAATTCACATACGCGACGTACGACTCGCTCGTGGTGCTCGACGACAGTGCTGGGTGCGTCGGCGGCGATTGGATTGGCCGTGAATTGCCCCTCCAAGTGCTGTGCCAGGATTTCTGCCCGGTCTTGGGCTGCGTAACGACGTCTGCCCGTCTCGTCAAGCAACGGGCAGACGGGGGTTCGTGCATTGGTGAGCTGTCGATTGAGTTTGTGCAGGTCGGTATCGTGTTCGCCGGCCCGGGATATGACACCCTCCCAGGCGGCTCCACGCCAATCCCGCACTCCCTCCGACAGCTCTGCAGCCAGGCAGTTGAGCTCACGCTTGACCCGCGGGCAGCGGGTTCGGGCCCATAGGCGACGGAGGTTCTTTTTCCGGGCGAGTTTTTCGCGCAGATGGTGTGGCAATTCCTCTCGACGGCGAGAAGCCACGTTTATTGTGGTAGTTGCCGCCTCCACTGCGGTGCGAATTCGCTCCGTTATGAGTGTGGAGGCGGCTTCGACACCCGCTGACGATGATAGTTCGCCGTCGAGGTGTAGATGCTCCAATTCTGCGCGAAAAACACGCCAATCCATCCGCCGCCTCGACGGTCTCGTCGGTGTGGTGGTGATGGAGAGGTCAAGCGTGGCTAGAACTGGGAGGTGCTGTGTGTCTAGATCATACAGCACCTCCAGTAAGACCGGGCAAGGCACAGCCTGCACTAGGGCAATGTCCAGAACGTCTGGGCTATGTGTGGGATTTGAGGGTACGTGTGTTGGGTGCGCTGGGCCCAACACCTCGTACCCGTGGATCTGCGAATCCTGGAGGAGTCTTCGACCTATCGGCGAGCACAGACGGGAACCCCAAGCCGTGTGCTTCGCGTTTAGGTCGCCCATAAGCAGGGTGGGACTCCTCCCATCCAGAACGTTCCGGACATCGGAGGGGCTGAATTCCAGTCCCGGGGGACGGTAAGCTGCCAGGACCTTCAGTTCCGCGCCGTTGACGTTGATGTTGACTCCTATGGAGCGCATGACGCGGAACTCGGGGCGCTCTAACTCCACGTGGACTACGTCTCGACGGACAAGTACCGCCGTACCGCGGTACGCAATGCCCGCCGGTGACGTTTCGTCGCGTCTATACACGTGGTAGTTAGGCACCCTCAACGTCTCCTTTTCTGTGAGCTTCGTTTCACCCAGGAGTATGATGTGCACATCCTGGGTGCGAGCTAGGAGACGGAGGTCCTGGACTTTATCCTTTATTCCCCCGGGGTTCCAGTACACAATGCGCAGGCTAGTACCCGCCATTTGTGTACTGTTGGATTTTGGCCAATCCATTTAATGCCGCCGACTTTGTGTCCGCGCCAGCCGCGAGCGTAGTTAGCAGCTCCGTCAACAGGCTAATAAGCATGTTCAGTGCTCTGTCGACGGGCGCTTGTGTGAAGGGCGCGGGCGCGGCGTGTGCCGAACGCGGCGCGGGGTATGAGGGAGGCGCGGGAGGTGCGTGTCTTACGTCCGCCAAAAGCGGCTTGAAAGCCACTCTCGGCACATTGTGTGCCGGTGGCGCCGCCTGGCGGCTACGTGGCGCTGCACGCGGGCCCTGATTTTGGACGGCATGCATGGGAAGGGAGGGGGGTGCGGTGTACGCAAATATTGGGGTGGGATCAGGTAGGAAGGGGATTGGGGTTGATGCCGTCACGGGCTCATCTCCGCGCCTCTTCTTGCCGCGTCTTCGGCGGCGGCGCTTTTTAGTTGCACCGGCGTCGGCGCCTCGTTGCGTCGGTTCGTTAGCCGGCGCCATTAGGTTGGCGCCAGCGGTTTCCTCGACCGTTATTACGGGAGGGGGAGCCTGGGCGACGTATGTACGAGGCGCCGCGGTGGGATTGTTGCGCCGCCGTTGCTGCGCCGTGGGCGCCGTCGACGTCGCAGTGGGGACGGGGGGACGGGGTTTGATTCCCCTCTGCCGGGCCTCTCTTTTATAAACCGGGCACTTCCGGTCGTTGGCGGTGTGTGACTTTGCGCAGTTGGCACAGGTCGGCTTTTGGTCACGCGGCCTGTCGCAGTTCGCCGCCGGGTGCTCCCCACCGCAGCGAACGCATTTTACAGGCCGGTGACAATTGGCCGATGCATGGCCGAATGCCTGGCATCTGTGGCATTGTGGCAGCACCGATGCCGGCTTCCACGCCTCAACCACGACGCCCCGCATGTACAGGAGCTCATCAGTCGCGTACAAGCGTGTGAGCTCGTCCCTGTCCATGGGGTCGAGTTGGGCATGGAAAATGCAGCCGGGGCGGCCGCGACGCGCGGGTATGCCCCGCACTAGCCGCACTCCGAACCCCTTCTCCTGCAGTGCCTCCGCAATCTTTTCATTGGGCGTGTCGGCTGGGAGTCCCCTTATCGCCACCTTGGTGGGCAGTTCGGAGGCCAGACTATAAAAGTACCAACTTATTGTTGGGTCCTTTTCGCTGGCCTCTATCAAATACCTTTGGACGGCACGGAATTCTTCGTCCGTCCTAGGCAGGAATCTGACCCCCGTGCCATAGGGTCTTGCGTTGGGTGCCTCCCCCAGTACGCGCCTGAGCTGGTCGAAGTGGCGCGTCCAGATAGGGAGGCGTTCTACCACTATGGGGGGGTATTTGCCTCGCCCTGTGGCGGGTTCTACGCCCGTATCGGCGACCTTACCCTGTGAGGGCATTTGCGGGGCTGGAGCCGTGGTGGCGGGGGTTGGGGTGGCGGGGCCTGCCACTACTGCCGCAAAGGACGGCGGGGTTCGTCGTCGCGGCGAGGGGACGGGGGGGAGCATCGGCTCGGGCGATTGTGGCACCGATTCGAGTGCCGCATATGACGTGGCATCATACTCGCCCCTATCTAGCGTATAGGAGCGAGGTAGCGGCGAGGGCACACGCGAGGGTGCTGGCGAAGGCTCAGGCGAGGTCGCAGGCGACGCATGTACGTCGCCGTAAAAACGCCTGTCTTCCCCTTCCTCCTCGCTCCCGCTATCCGGCGGGGGGGAGGGTGAGCGCGGAGGGGGTGAGGGCTTTCGCCGCACGGTACCCGACTGGGACGGTAGGGGTTGGTAGCCCTTGTCCACAAGCCGGATTCTCGGCGTCGGCGGCACCTTCACTAGGTCAAGGTCGCGGGGGGGGACTCCTCTACGTCCCTCCGTTTGTCGCCTCTAGCGGGCGAGGTCGGCGACGGCGGTGCGCGTCTTTTAGATGGGCCAGGTTGCGCGCATCTTTCCCCTCTGCCTGGTTCCCGGTCGGCGGCATCATTGCCGCTTCCCGCGAGGGCAGAGGGGGTGCCCTTGGATGCCGGGCGAGCGTGGAAGGTCCCCAGCTCAGTGGCGGGGACCAGCTTGGTCGGGTTCCTCAGATCCCGACGCACAACAGTTCGGGGAGCTCCCCTGTCAGGAGGTTTCCTGGGGGCTTTGCCCCTTTGCGACATCACGACACGAACGGGTGATGTACTAGGAAAGGGGACTGGAGGGGTGGAAGAGGGTGGTGTGGGGGCTGGAACCCCACGACGAACCTACCGAAAGGTAGGGAATTCCGCCCTGAAAGGGCAGGTGGTCACACTGTAAGACAGTCGCAAGTGGATTGCAGCAACGAATTTGCGTCAACAAATTCGGTCTACAATCCTAGCGCGTTCTCTCGCTAGACAAAGTACACTTTGTGTAGCTGGATTACGCACTGTATCGCTCTCAACAATTTGCGCAAGTGGGCACCAGTTGCGGGGCTCACTCTGGAGACTCGACGGCGAACCGGAGTCTCACAGAGGATCACACGACCAACGGTAAACTCAGCAAGCAACAAATTGGAAAGCTTATGGATGATATTAGAATGGTGCACCTGCCTACGCTAACGGTTTACGCTGGCGAGGCACCAGTGCAGGATGATAAGATGGATATGAGGTTAGGTCGTCGTTAACCCATTGTAGCATATTCACCAAGAATTTACCACGATGGTTTCCAAGGGGAACCGCGTGGAGGTCAACCTGACATAGTTGCTAGCATTGGGTTTATTAGTTCAGATTACTAACAATCTCCGTCCCCCGAGCTGAATCTGATTAGTATTTCGTATTTTATAATAATCAGAACAGATTTTTCAATAATTACCTGATTCAAGAACTTTTGTTTTCGTTCCCATTAGGTTCATTATTCAACGAGTTGGTTCTGTATTTATTCTTTTAACTCTAATGAATTACTTGATAGTTTGTATTTACACATTTCAACTTAAAAATATGAACTTACAACTAAGTTACAACAAGAACAACACGCAAGTTTATTGTTTTTCTTGTGATGAGACAGCTTTCCGAATAAGCGGTAGATTAAAAAAATAAGTAAGGACTACTTAAAAGTACTAAAATGTAAGTTTATTTGAATAAAGTTTCTAATAAAAATACAGGTTGTGTATATTTTCACAAGAAACAAAAAGATATAATTTTTCTTGCTAATATATTAATACTGAGCTATAATATCAACTTACTGAAATAACACTTGGAGCCGTCGCTCAGTCCTGGTGGTAGCGATGGCTCAGTGTCGTAACAATCAGTTCCGTTGGTGATTCTCTCGAACACAATCTCGGACAGATTGTATCTATACACGGGTACGTTATCTACCAGCATTTCACCTGAAAGATATATTTTTGTATATAATTAATATATATTAAAATATAATTAAAAATGTATCCCCTGAATAAAGAAATGTTTAACGGCGTCAGTGGTCTAGCAGTTTACACGACCTTACTTCCGATGAACGCGAGATCGATTCCAAATATTTGTATTCATGAGTATAAGTGTTGGTATCGGTCTGGGTGTTTTCTGTGTATAATTAGTAGGTATGTATTTGCAAAAAAATATGTATTTGTATCAATTGTATACTTATACAAACTCTGCGTGAATTGTCTTGAGATATCAACTTTCAAATAAAAAAAATCGTATCCATATCATAATTGATTAATTGGTTTAAGAGCTACGATGCTACAGCAAATACACAGACAATTCACACACGGTTAACACAGAATTAACATTTGCTTAGAATCAGCTTATGTACTCGAAGCTTAGCTTCAGTTTAAAAAAATCCACAAGGAACAAACATTCTCATATGTCTTTAATCTTATTATGTACTTTGAGTATATGTTATTGTAATTATTCATCAATTAAAGATTGCTATTGTATTGCTATGATCATAATATCATAAGACAAAATTACTATAATTATATCGATCATTTAAAAAAAAAATATTATGCTAAGTTCTTTATAAAAGCTATTCAAGCAGAGTTGTCGGTCCTAAGCGGTTATCCTATCATAAACTATTATCCTAAGCATAAAAAATATTTCAAAGCATTAATAGAACTAGAACAGAACCAAATAAAAATAATAACTAAATCAGTGAGGTAACGCAATCTTCTTGTAAAAACTTCTATACATATTATAAACCATAAATTAGCGCTTAATATAACAAGTAGTAGATGCTGCATAAAGTAAAACAAAACCAGTTCGTTAAACTTATTGATGGTTTATGGACATATTAATATAATGGTGACATCACTTAGTATGTTATCCAATGATTAAGATGAGTCTAATGAAGTTTACTTATCACTACGTTTTTAAAGTAGGTAGTACGCGTTACGCTAAAAATCGGGATCATTGATTAAAAAACAATAACCTCTTTCTTTGACAGTCACTGGAATTTTTTATAATATTTTTTGCATTAATATTAATATGAGATACAATGAAAAATAAAACAAAAGATTGAAGAATAAAGCAGGTATAAAAGGCGTCGCTAACGCAATCTCTTCCAGACAACCTTAGGAAAGAGAGTAAGATAGCATATGAGTGGAAGTGGAGTATAAGTTGACAACAAAAAAAAAACGGCAAACAAAATGGTCATCGCTTTCACTCATGTGCTGATGGTAAGGGAGAACATCCTCTTTAGACGTTTGTGGCGCTGGCGCCGGCATGATACCGACTTCCGTGTTTCATGCGTTGTCATTTCGGAGGACTAAGATATTATGGCTCCGTATCCTGTAATTTACTGCCGACAGAAACTCTACTTACAAAATAAGCTGCTTGGCAGCTAAATAGATGAGCTACAAAATTGAAAATATTTAAAAGTCTATATCTAATAAAATCTTGTATGCTCTTGTAGTGGGGTACACCATGGGTCCGGCCCAAAGCCATATAAAAGTTTGCTTGTGTGTGAAATATACAAAAATACCTACATGTTTTTGTACTTAGTAGATACGGTTTAAGATACTATTACTTACCTAATATTCTCTCCTTTTCCCTTTAATTTCGCAATGTAATAGAATATTGTATTATTATTATGTTGAGTATTTTATATTATTTTCCAATCATCTAATATTAGATATACTCACGATCAAAATAAAGAGGCATTAATTTGCACACGGTTTTTCTCCAATAAAGCACGACGTCTTTCTTTGTAAGATGTTGCCTATACATAACACCTTCGGATGAACCAAAAATTCTATCTGGACACTCCTAGGAACAGAAAAAAATTGATTTAACAGTATAACTTCCCGTCTGTTTTCTAGATAGAGTAGTCAGAAATAATATCTATTGTCGACATCTTGTTTTTTTATGGATGATAATGATGCGCCTGCCTGCGCTAAGGGTTTACGTTGGCGGGACATAAGTGGTGGATGATTGGCAAATGGCAATTTACCACGATAGTTTCCAGGGGAAATGTCGTGGAAGTCAACCTGACATAGCAATGATTATTATGGAGGTAGGGAATTCTTAGTAAGGTAATTCCATAATTAACTAACTAACTAATTCCATAATTTCCAAAATATCTCAGTCCATATAGTCAATTTTAGATAATACTAATGACATTTTTAATTGTCAATAATTCTTTTATAGAAATAGAAATTTGTTTTGTTTTATATAATATTCAAAAATGTATATTATTTTTGTCTTTAAAGCATTGTCTAAGAATTACAATGACATTACCAGCAAGAATTGACTTTAAGTCTTACTTGTATTTTTTTTAAATAAACCAAGAATGCACAGTTATACATGGCCACGTGTTCTCTTATCCTTCCAGCTCCCATTTCCGGGTGCTGCTAGGGTATATAGGAACACACAATACGGAAAACTAACGGCCACCTTGGTGTAAAATATGAATTTACTTACGTTAGGATCATAACTGGGTAACTGTGGTTCTCCTCGAAATCTGTCTATTTGGAAAAACTCCTCGTGGCTCCATTGCTGACCAATTTTGACTGTAACCTCGTCTGTGAAGTCAGCGTAAATCTAAAAAAATATAGTATTATTATATAATATTATATTATCTGTGACATTATAAAACTTTTATGCCATTAGCGCTTGAACTAATAGTGTTATTATTAGTAACTCATTACAATCAGTTGGTTTAGATGGATAAATTAAAGTTATCTATAGACGACCTTCGTGAATTGACACCCCCGCTATTTTCATTTTCATTGAGAGTAAATTGTACATCGTTACTTGAATTCGCGACATTTTCTAAACCAACAATCAAGTCACGACACTCCTAATTGGAACAAATTACAATACTTACTCTAGCTAGCATTCCCATGTTATTAACAGGAACTAAGCCCGGAGCCATATTCTTAGAGGTGTCCAAAATAGGCTCTCTGTAATCCCATAAATATTCATAGACAGTCTTCTTCAAAAAGAACTTGCTACCATGCGTGGTGACCATCAAACGGAAGGCGGTCAGTACAAAGTAATTCGCGCTGTGCAGATACGAAGACATGCCCTGTAATTAAAAACTATTATTTTATGCTATCACGCGAATTTTATACAATTACATAGCATTTTAGTGCTGGTAATTACAAACATCTAAGTTGCAGTTATTTAGATAGGAACATTTTATGTTTATTTTTGTGCAATTCGAATATACATATATGTACATGATCAGCTCTACGGACATCCCATTTCATGTGACATCCGAGATAACACTCATGCGTTGTTATTCTAGAGGGCTAAGATGATATATCTACTATCCTGTAATTTCACTGTCTAATCTGCGTGCACCCTGCAATCGAATAACAGCTTACTTTACAAGCTGCTTGACTGCTCAAATAAATGAGACTTATTTTGAGGCACCTATGAAGATTAGGGACTTTTTACAGACCACCTCTGTTAAGTTATTAGATTATTCTATGAAATAACTGCAACATTGTATTGCCAGAGTTTCTCACAGAAACTTTAGAATTACAGGTTAGAATAGAAATATGCAGGCCAGCTAGCCCAATTCACACATTATATTTTTTTCCTATGGCGTCAAAATCTTAGTATGAATTAATTAGTTTGTTTTATTTATTATTAGGTACCTGGATATAAACATATAAAGAAAACCATATTCTATTCCACAGACTAACTGAGAACAATGTAATAATAATGTATAAATATTTATATATAATATAATACTTATTCAATGATAAATAAACAAGTGGTTCTACCTAACAATTCAATGCAAGTTCACAACGACCTCATTATCGGCGGACCAAGACCAAACACTTTTGCACCTCAAATAATTTTCATCGTTTGCATAATGGACGCTAATCGTCACTTCACTCAACATAGGGTTAACATCTATTGCATTTTACCATCCTTTTCAGAGCTTAACACTATATTGACATTGAATTTGGTAACATTTAAAGAGAATGACGGAAGATTGTAATAAATATGCAAGAGTTAGCATATTAGGCATGACCTCCACCAACGAGAAAACAGCTCTAGATTTTTTTAAATTTCTCAGTTTGTACTATACTATACTATACGCACTAAGTATAAGTATATACCTTTTGTATGTATTAAAGCATGTTGCGTAATTTAAAAGATATAGGCGAACAGATCGGCGGCGACTATGTATTATCTAAAGACAAAAATGGGACTTTACAATGTCGTCTGTAAAACGTGGTCATTTCTGTCATACATAAATCCACAGATAAGCAGTTTGCTTTGTAAGATAAATTTGCTCTTGAATTGCATATGGATATGGCAGTGGAATTACAGGATACGGAGATATGGCTCCCTAATCGTGGAATGAGAGGTACACCGAACGTCACATGATGATGAGATATCTCATGTGGTGTTGTTCAAGTATATACGAGACGAATGTCACTTTCCATAAAGTGGGCCGTCACCTTCCTGTTTTACTCTTTAAGTTACCAATACTCAATAAATATGGAAATGTAAAAGTACAAGTGGATTTTTGCTATTGTGTTAATGAAGGTTTCGAAGGATGGCAATAGAGTTCATTTTCCATTTTGTGTAATAAATTAATGTGTAGAGTTATAGGTATATTGCAAAAACAAATTTGTGTAAGACCTTGTCATGCAGATGGTGAAAACCGTAATATTTGACAATATAACAGTAAATGAATGAATAAATATAAATAGTAATTATTAGAATACAATACGTTATTTAAGAAACATTATTACTAGTTATTATTTTAAAAAAATTTAAATAAGATACCAACATTAGTATTTATCTGTAAGACTTTTGTCACTTTTGTGATTTTAGCAATAAAGATTTTAAGAAAGAATTTTTAGTCTGTAGTCTGTATATTACGTAAATTTAATTTATTTTTAAGTGAGAGATCTTTAACTTTCACGTTCACAAAGGGTGGTTTTTTTCCTCAAAAATTAATGACCACTGGAATAACTATATATAAAAAACCAGCCGCTCTTTCCGAGTTTTCATTTCGGTGTTTTCAGCGGCATATTACAACGGAGTTTTCCTTGAAAGAAATTTTAGGGGCACGCTGAAATGTTTCCTTTTTTGGAATACCATACGCGTAAAATTAGTATTTTGTACATGGTAGAAACTTAAAGAAATTGACAGCTATATATTAGAAAGTGGTAAACGTAAGCTATACCTAATCAATAAAAGGATCATAAGTAATACAAGTGTATTTAGTATTATTTAGGTAGTAGTAGTAATATTTACTACCGCGCATAGAACCTTGGTTCTATGGGCGGTAGTATTCCTTCCTATGCTATGGTTCTTGCGTTGCTATATAGGTAGGTACTTCGTAATACAAAATGATTCTACAAAAAATGGCAACCCTACCTTTAAGCTGTTACTTACATACTAAGTATTTTATAGCAATTACTTAAATTGTCAATCCTTGACACGGTCTTGTAAATAATTATGTGGGCCTATGTTATTATTTTAATATGTAATTGTGGGTGTGTTCCGGTTATTGTGAAGAGACATTAAAAAGAGATGTTTCTTGTTTTTTTTTATTAGGATTTTGTACGTTTGGTATTGCGACCACAGACCATTGAAGATTTCCTATGTAGGTTTATTAGGCGGTTTTAGTATAGTTTTATCATTGGTACGGCCACTTGGACGGTCAACAGTCCGTGTCGCTAGTTGTCTAGTCTCTGTACAATTATTATTTTAAACTGAATGACTTTTATGCCGTTTAGATAAAATTTAAGATTCCATAAAGAATAAGAAAATAATTTAATAATAAATTAATTCATGCATATAATTTGTATGTAGTTAAATTACACTTATAATAGATAATTAATGATTTAAATTTCTCTAAAAAAATAATAGTAAGAAGCTTCATCGTCGAATATGCAGTAAATACGAGAAAATAATGAGGGTAAAGGATTGCTAGTAATGAACCCCAAAGCTAACAATGTATGTAATGTCAGGTTGACCTCCACGATTTACCCTAGAAACTATCATGTTAAATTCGTAGTGAATTTCCTACGATGGACTAACTGACCTGACCTTATATATACTCATCTTATATATATATACTCATCTTATCATCCTCAACTGGCGCCTTGCCAGCGTGTACAGGTGCACTTTTCCAAAACCAAAGAATAATAGATATCTTTTTTTAATTCCTAAATACTAAAAAAATTAAAATACCTTCTGTTTTGTTTTACTTTCTTCCTTCTTTAATCTAATATCTTTCTATAATATTTTTCAATGTACATATATTGCTTTTAATTTGGGTACAATATTATAAAAAAATACCCTAAAGCGACAGGTACACTTACCAATAATGCCAAGTTTGGTACATATAAAGTTGCATTGAGGTCAACTGTGTTTTCGTTGGGTAGATAGATGGGGTACCGCTTTGCCGTATACGTCATTGTACTATTTTCATTAAACACTATATTTGAATGTAACAGCTTCTCTCTGAAAATAACAATAACAATTTAAAATTGTGTTCCACAATAACGATAACTCACGCAGAGCCATCTAGTCCCAATCTAAGTTAAGCTTAAACTATGAGGACTAAACAATTGATAGTTGATATTATATAACAGAATAATTAAAGACATTTTTTGTAAATGTATAATAAAGTAATTACAATCAATCCTCATCATACTCATAATTAGTTTTTATAACAACTTGCAAACAGTTTAGTACAACCTATTTGTAAATGAACATACAGTTTGTGGTAAAACCTATACTAAAACGCTATGTATACATAAATTTTATTTAAAGGTAGGTAAAGTATATCTATTAGTACGTAACCTGTTTGTTTAATAATCATTATAAAAGATTGTATAGGCGTGAAAAATCATACATGTAAATATAAAAAATTATAATGACTGCAAAAACAAGGAAGTGAACCGAAAACTATTGAATGTACCTTAAACCATAAGTATTAATTTAGTATTAACATATCTATCTACAACCGAACGAACTCTATTCTTATGAAAAAGTGTTTTTTACGTAATTGAAATGACAAATAAGCTGACGGCTTACATGATCGTAAGTTGTAACCGTATTCTATCACCTAATGATAAGTGGCAACCGTCTCCTAAATCTACAAATACACGAATAGTACTTCGCTATCACGTTATCACGTAACACCAACTATTGGAACTTACGAGTGATATAACTCATACGTTGTCATTCCGGAGGTTTTTTTTATTATCCAAATTGATTTGGGGGTTTTTCTTACTAAAGATGTCAACACCATTATATCGAACCTGATTATCACAACTCTTGAGGTTTAAAATATAATTCTGTAATTTCACTGCTTTATATTAACGATCAATCAATAAAACTTAGAAATCAAGCTGCTTGGAGGCTGAAATAGGTAAACATACCTAGGTACGCAAACGTAATTTTATAGTCTACATCGATGAACGATTGTAGCTATTGTTATAACATCTAATATATAAAATTCTCGTGTCAGTGTGTTTAACAAAATTCCTTTGAAACAGCTTGACAGACTCTTATGTAATTTTATGTGATAAAGGTCAGTACATAAACTATTTTTTTCATTTTTTAGACAATTATTTTTTATTCTACATTTTCATCCTACCACATCAGTCCTATAATTGATATGGCGAAATAACGTAGACAACAACTAGAACTCATTTTTGGGTAAGGTCCAAGATGCTAACACCTACACAGAAGTCTTTTCTTCTCTAGTTTTAAGATATAAACGTGTTGGCAATTAGCTGTAAGTTTATATTGTATAAATATGTAAATAAACGTTTGCCGTGTCAACTAGTATAGATATGATGATAAATAAGTCAAGCGGGGTAGAGTAAAATGAAGATAGGCAGAACGTAATCCGGAAGACACGAGTATGTTCAGATACAGCTGACCTTAAACGTGCACGATTTACTTTTAATCTCTTTACAATGTGAAACATAGATGACGTAACACATTTTTTTTAATATGGACACGTAAATTTAATTGAGACGGGGAGGCCTATGTCCGACGATGAAGATGATGATGCTTAATAGCCGATTACTCACAATTACTTGTCATGATTAGTTACGGGATAAATAGTGATAGATTTTTTTAGATACCTTAGATTTTTTATGTGTAAAATATTTTTTTACCAATTCACACAACGCTATATAGTCCCAAGGTAAGTGGAGCTAGACAACTGATAGAAATACTTAGAATGTTTTTTAATGCATACATTATATATAATGAAAACATCTAGACCGATACAAACAATCATAGTCAAATGTTTATACCGTGCGAGGAATCGCACCTGCGACCATCGGAAGTAAAGCCGCGCGGCGTATCGTTAGACCACCGAGGCCATCAAATTAGCTGATAAGCCTTGTGCTCACCGCCTCTTGAACAGGCTCTATCTGGCCGAGGGTTTGACAACCCTATTGTAATAAGAAATTAATACAACAGAAGAAAAATAAATAAAAAAAGCAGAGCTTGTACTATATGTATAGATTTTTTTTTATAAAGACATAGAAAACAGCCAAATACAAACAATCATACTCAGGAATGCAAATGTTACCGTGCGAGGAATCGAAGCGGCGGTGTGCTAAAACGCTAGACCATCTAGTCCGTCAAACAAATATACAGTTTGTTGTCTGTGGTTGCATGATCTTTTTGTTCTTAACCGACGTCATAAAATTGTATGGTCGTATAATAACGTATTTCCATACCAATTTGCGTATGACGATAGAGCATAAAATCTGCAGGGTATATCCCCATTGACCTAGAATTCTTTAAAATTCAAATCAAGAGTAGGGAAAACTGATGAGTATGCATGTACTTATAGAGGTAAAAAGTAAAGTCATATATGTAACGTGACGTATTTTGGTATTTTACCGAGATAGACATAATACAATATCTTATGTGTTTGTTATGTATATATATATACATATATGATGATATAAATGAAATATAGTTTTATTATGAATAAGCCAGGCCAAGTCCAAAAATGACAAGTATCTAATATTTCACTGAGTAATTTGCTCCCTACAACCGACACTCAGCTTACAGTCTACCTGTCACTTTTTTTTATTCTACAATGGAGGCAAACAAGTATGCGACCTATCTGATGGTAAGCGGGTACCATATTCTATGGATACCTATGATCCTATGATACCATAGCCTATGGATACCTACCTGTAACACCGAGGTTTCACGTGCGCGCTGCCGACGTTTAAGAAACCTTACATAGGCTGTTCTACTGATAAATTTCGTGCAGAGTATAAAGAACAGTATGTACAATCTTCTGTCTCGCTCTATACTTTGAAACAGAATTCTGTAGTTCCAGTCACACCATAGTTACTAAACCTAATGTACTTACAAATATACTATGGGTCCGATTTCTTCCATGTTTATTTTTTCATCTAAGCCTGACATGAATCGATCGTGGTTGGTCACATTGAATACATAAACGCGGAGCTTCACTTCATCCGGAGGGTCTGCCCACCACTCGAATGGGGGGAAGCCTGCAACAATTTATTTATTTGAATAGTATGCATTTTCGATTATAATGCCTTATTCAGTGATAACATAGTTTCTAGAAGGACGCTTTATATAAAGTTATAGTTATAAAGCACTATGAGATTTCCGTTCATCTCTATAGGCGACGGTTACTATTTTGTATTAGATGGACTGGAGTTTCTTTGGCATTCTAGATACGTTAGAAAAAAATAATATAATAAGGTAGGTATATGAAGTCTAATTATGACTACACATAACTGTATTTTGTTGTGAACTTGAAGTTGTATTTTGTATAAGTGAGATCCTGAGTATGACGGAACATATTTTGTAATATCTACACTTAGAGATAGGATACATATACTCGTATTTGGAGATACTTGCCTGGTCTCATATTTAATTTTTCTTTCAGTACGAAATCCAATGGCTTAAATATAAATCCACCAATGGAGATGAAGAGTAGTAACACACCCCATACGCACTGCGCCACAGTATCTGCAACAAAACTAACTATTACCACAAATTGGGCTGTGAAGGGAATTATTAGTAATGAGGATTGATGACTCTATTGCTAGCAATGTACAATGTCAGCTTGACCTCCTCGCGGTTCCGTTTGGAAACCATCGTGATAAATTCCTGCTGAATTTACCACGATAGGCTAACAGACCTGACCTCATGCTCATCCTAACATCCTCCACTGGAGTTAGTGAAGGCGGGTGAACCATACCATTATCATCTATTAAAAGAAAACACTTTTTTTTTTTTGTAGTTGCTAATCAATGTCAAGGAGATGGCTTGTGGGATGATAAATCAATGTAGTCGAAATATGAGAATCACTGTACTCATTATTTATGCCAGCAGACTATGCAGTATCAGACTAGCACGCATTGCGATTAATGTGGTCTTTGTCAAAAATGATAGTAACTGGCAACAAAATAAAAAAATCTATAGGTGAGATTGTTTTAGACCACGCGTGTATATTTTTATAATAAGAATATCTGCAGTCATTACCGTTTTAATTAATAAAAAACAATAACAAAGTTATTTTATCAAGATTTCACAGCGTTCTTTACCAAAGGCCGCATGATGTCATCGTATTCTGAGAAAGCCCTCAACATCTTTCCATTGTTGCATCTCGTATACAACAAGTTTATCTATAATTATTTATAATTACACTAAAATGTTGTTTTTCTATAAAATTCTATTTACTAATATTGTATGATTGTATGATAATTTTCAAACACCGCTAATTGCCGACCTATTTGTCTCTACCATTGTGAAAACAGCAAGATCAAAGGCGGAGTCTATGACAACTGTCATGAACTACAGGTCAAAGAAACCACATGTGATTTATCCGTGATTACATATTGTAAAATCAGTAATTAAACGCTATAAAATATACATACACCTATATAAAACGGATGTTATTGTTGTATCATTGTACTTATTTTGTATCAGTATAACTATGTATTTTATCATTCTGATTATTAGTATAATAAACAAACTAAATAACCCCTAATAAAAACTAGTGAGCATCAAACAGGTCTTCTAGTCAGAGTATAACTAATTAATAATTACTCTATAAAAATCTTTATTTATTCAGAACTAGCTACCCACATAAACCTTCCTCTTGAATCATTCTATCTATTGCTAAAGACGCATTAAAATCCGTTGCGTAGATCAAAGCGAACAGACGGCGGAAGCGACTTTATTCTATACTATGTAAAGATTAATAGTTTTGTATTTTTATTTAGGTACTATTTTAGGTAGGTAGTGTAGACTTAAGAATTCCTTGTATTTGTAGACACGGACAAATTCATTAGAACAATCAGCTACAGTTTCAATGGATAATAATCAATAATTAACACCTGACTTCGAACCTTGGTTATTATAGATAATCCAGAACCTTCTAATAATATTTCACAACAAACAAAACTGTTATTGATTTTGTTGACATTGTCTAAAAATTAACATACTATTTATCTATATGTCTAGATATTATAAATGAGTCTGTCTGTCTGTTGTTACCTTTACCACAGATAACATTATTACATACCTTTACAAACGTAAACGGCTGCACAGGTCCTAATTAAATTTGACATGAAAATAGATTGTACCAGGAAGAAGAACATAGACTATTCTTTATCTACATAAAGCAGACTAAGTGCCGGGAAACAGTATAAAATATATGTCCTTGTATATGGGGCTACCTAATTTTCATCTAAGTCTGGACATCTTGAAATAAAATCGTAAATCATGCACTATAATAATATTGTAAACGAGCTGTCTGTACATTTTTTTATTTTATTTAAACATGCATGCTGATGCTCAGAAGTATTTGAAAACAAGAAAAAGTAGAGGAGTTTTATTACTATTAAAATTCGAGATTCCATATTTTATTTATATTATTATGTATACGAAAATGCTGGGTATTCATATTTGTCATAAAATAATTTCTAATTACAATTTTAAAATGTACAAAACTTTTTATTTATCACAAACAATTATATACTATTACTTACAATATAAAAACTATTTTTCAAACATATGTAATTTAGTTTAAGTTTTGTCTGCATTGATAGATTAGGTACATACTCGTACATTACTCCTACCACTAATCTGTTTACACTTGAAAACTCCATGGATTTAACGGGACTGATAAATTCTACACTTTAAATAGTCTATCATTTCCAGAAAATTAAATAATTCACATACTCTTACTTAATTATTAATTTCATAATATGTATTTAAACAAATACTAATAATGGCACCTATCATTTATTTCTTTAAATAATTCTATTCACCAAATAAAAGTTGTTTTAAAATATGGCAAAAAAGACAATGCTATTGTTCTAACAAAAAAGAATGCTTTTATTCTCAAACAGTCAATATACTACTTATCTCTATGTAAACCTTAACAATTATCGAGTCATACTCTAAAATAGATGAAAACTAAATTATAAATATACTAACTACCCGCCCCGGCTTGGCACGGGTGTACATGTATTACTTGTGTTATTATAGTTAAATTATCGTCCGGCAAATTTGTATAGATACAAATTTATATATCTATACATATATGTACATATATGAATTTTTAGATTTAATTAAATAATATAATTTGGAAATGTCTCGCTTTCTTCTTTATTTTAGTATTTAATGTATTATATTTTTTTTTGCAAAAAATACAAGTGTACAGACTTTATGACCTTTATATTACACATGGACTCATCTACATTACAATCAGGGGAGACTTTTGACTTATTAATTCTTCATTTTATCGTATAATCAATATTCATCTAACGATCTATATAACGTTGCGTAGACGCAAACGATATCTCAATAGCGAGGTATGTACTTGTAATTCACGGTGCATGTATTGTGACCTCCAATATGTTGAACGCGGACGTGTGGACGTATGTTTATTTATCATAGATGCGGCATGATGTAATTGTGCGTAATTGTTATTTATTCAAAAACTATAAGGGTTTGTCGCCTATATAAATACCTCATATTCGGTATACAGTCGGTTTTTTGTCCTTAGCTATGAGAAGTGACAAAAAAAAGTGTATTATTTAACATCTGCGACCGAAGTGTCAAAGCCGAAAATTTATAATCTGTGGTGATTATCAAGAACCTATTATTGCGTCAATAGAATCAATATATTTTTTGTATGAATTTGTGTAATAATTTTTATTTCAGCGCGGCATATTTCCAGGCACAATGCATTGCATAGATTCATGTTGAGTAGTTTGTTCGCGTATGCAAGCCCGTCTTAATTGCAATAAAATAATTAATGTGTGAAACTGATAATTTTGCATTAAGCACAGTTTGTTAAATATTAGTTAAATATAAGTTTTATTCAATTCTTGAAAAACGTAGTATGAACTATTTTCTCAACCAAATATATATCGTCTTTTTTTTAAATATATTTAATGTGTTATATACTAAATGTAAATAATATATACAACTATTGTTACATTAACATATTAGAGTAACATTGGAGTAATCTTGTATTTCTGAACTAATGATAAAAAAAATATGAAAACTCTACATCATCATCATCATCATCATGTTACATGTTATATTTTAAATGTAATAAAATTATCGGAGTTTGTTGAAGATCTTCTATGTGGGTTCCTCGTCTTATCTATTTCAGCTATCAAGCTGCTTATTTAGAAGAGTTAGTAGCATATTACACCTAGTACAATACTGGATTATTCCAAAATCACAAACTTTGTAAAATCTATTGAAATGTATTAGACGTAAAGTCTAAAAGAAAGTAGAAAAGAAATGTACCTATCTAAGTATTTATATCGGTTATCACACAAGCTCTGCTTACGCTGTGACTAGATGGCGCTGTGTGAATTGTTCACGAATATTATTATTATTATAATCGGATGGTTCATCGGCTTGCTTGATATTTCAGTTATATAAAAAAGCACTATCAATGAATTTTTATCATATGTCTTATCAATATTTTAAACGTAAAAGTTTGTGAGCATGAATGGATAGATTTTTCTTACTTTATAGTAGTATAGCTTGTACGTCAGAATAACATAGAGGCTATAAATTTCGTGCGGTTGAAACCGCGAGCACAGCTGTTATTCATGATAGCGAAAATAATTATTATATTAAACTTTGACCTTTCATTTCTACAGCAGCCTACTTCGGACGGTAATGGAAGATCTGCCACAGAAATACCCACACCATCCGAAGCGGCGAAGGGCGTAAACACCAACGCCAAACCCGCCAGAGGCAGCTTTCCCCAGCCAAAGGGGACCTCGCAGACGAGGATCCCCAGTTTAGAGGACGGAAAGATCGCGGCAGTATATTATTATTCCAATCGCAACCCAAAGGGACGCCCACGTCCCACAGGGAAGGCGAAAGGTTTGCTAACACGCCCACACGCAAGAAATGTATCAGAGCCAACATTGTCCAGGTCAACTTACATCATGCTATGGCGGTAATTAGCGGTCATAGAAAACCTCTTCCGCAAAAACGACTTGGACCTTACTCTGATACAAGAGCCATGGCTCAACAAAGCCACGCCTTTAGGCCTCAATGCCTCAGGTAATATTCTTTTTAATACCACTGGCACTAAACCTAGAGCATGCATTCTTTTTAATAAGAAACTAGATTTTCTGACTGTTCCAGAACTATGTACAGATGACCTAGTGACATTCGTCAATTTGGATGCACAGAATAAAAGTATGGTCTGCTCTGCATACCTATTTTTGATGAAAACAACAATATATCAAAACCCGACAACCGGCCTACAGCCTGTGGTGGAATACGCCCGTAAGCACGACGAACTCCTCGTGGGCTGCGATGCAAACGCCCATCACACAAACTGGGGAAGCTCTGACATCAACACCAGAGGTAAGTCACTTGATGATTTTATACTAACCAACTGTCTTATTATACAGTGTTCGTCACTGCCACAAGACAAGAGGTACTAGATATAATACTCGCGACCGACAAACTGGCCGAAT